TAGGCCACACCCCTCAGGAAGTCCACAATTGGAGCCCACTGCTTTGCCAACTGCCTGCCGTACCTTGAACCTACGTGTCTGGGCCGACACAAAGCAACACCAAGCCCGCATCACACCGACAGGAAAATCCATGAGCCGAAGTGCAAACCAAAGGGGATACCTAGGGATAGCGTTGAACGCTTTGGAAATGTCCAACAACACACCATGCACCGCACAGCCATCAAGAAACGCAAATTCCAATGTCTGTGCCACATCATACCAGATGGCTTTGGCTTGCCTCCCCGGTACCCCGCCCTGAACACTATCTGGGATCACCGCTGCAACAGTTCTGAGAGCTTCCCTGGCTCTCTCTGTGGACCAAATCCGGTAAAGAAGGCTGTACACCGTAACTGGCCGAAACTCATCAACATGTTGGGCTTGAAGGTGTTTTGCCAGGCTATTGACATAGCCCGCGGCCAGTTGCTCAGGCCAACGCTTGCCCCCCTCAACCGCTTCAAACATAGAAACACAAGCAGCCGCTGCCGTAGCAGGAAGTGCAGCCAGGTCAGGCTGTGAAACCCCATCCGGACCCCTTCCAGACGTTTTCTTCTTGCGCGAAACAGCCGTTACAAATCGCTGCAAAGTCCAAGGTTGCGACTGCCACTCAAGTGGTTTCATCACACGCTCGGCAAAACCACAGATTTGATCCCATTGCCCCGGTGAAACATGATGGGCTTTGTTCCAGCGGGGCTCCCAAACATCATGAAACCGAGCAATAATAGCGGCCTCAGATGTGGTAGCCTTTTCTTGGATCAGCAACTGGCCAGCGACGACCCCCGACACATCTTCAACCCAAATCTGATCGGCCTCATGATGGATGACCTGCATGACACGCCCTTGGACAACAACGGGAAGGTCAGGCAACAACCGAACCGCACGCACCAACACGAGTGCACTCTCCTCTACCCGCACCTCTTCTATGGCCACCTCAAGACGGTCAATCAAAGTATCAACCTGTGGAGCAGGAGCAAGCTTGCAGTCACTGAAAACATATTTAAGGCTATCAACGCGACGTTGTTTGCCAAACTGATATCTGCGCTGGGCAAGACGGATCTCATATTGCTTAACCCATGCCGCTATAGACTCAAACATAGCCCCAAGGTCAGTAGCAGAAGGGCACACCAACGGAAGTCCAACCGGCCAGACGGGACTCAACCCCTGCACGCCCCACCAGATGCCAAATCCTCCAGGAAAGCCCGCTGCAAACCGGATCGCCCTCCAAGTAGCCTCTCGGTTCAACTGAGAATTCAAGGTACCAAGTCCAGACCTAAGCTGTTGAGACAAGGCTTGAAGACGCCTCAATTGTTTGAAATACCTGGCATGTTGGAGGCTAACCCCGAGGAAAGTCGGAGCAACCTCGCCCACTCTGGCTTTTCGGCGGGGTACCTGATAGGGCTTTCGAGGGACCGTTTCCAAAGTTTGACCCCTGCCAAGTTGAGAGCGCTTGCACACAAGTCCATGGTGCGAATTCCACAATTGCGCTTGCGTTTCAACCTGATTCCAAAACTTGGCATACTCAGCTGTCAAGTCACCCTCGACATCAAAATCAACTGAACAAGTCCAATCAGATGGCCAAGGATACTGCTGAGGAACACGCCAGTAGTCAAACACCCCACCCCCCGGTGAACGAAAAGAAGCCACAACTGCAGCATGGTCAGACCACATGTCATGATGTACTTGGACGTCAGTCAGCAGTGCCTGCAACTCAGGAGAAATCCAAAGCTGGTCAATGCACTTCCGTCCTCGACTCGTAGGAACAACCGACCGCCCCCCCCAAAGTGCTGCAAGTGTTTGCACCTCTCTAAAGCCCAAGTCCAAGAGGCGCTGTGTTTGGTCAAGCTCGGTTGCTGCAAAATTGAAATCACCACCTATGATCCTTGGTCCTGTGCTCTGATACCCAACTCGTTCAACCAATTCGGCCAACAAGACCTCAGTGGTATACCTGGCCTGTTTGTGTTGTGCATTGGCAGTGACACCGTACATCATCCCAACCGTAATCCATGTGTCTCCAACCACCATCCCGGCAACCTGCAACCTGGCTGTGCTGTAGGTATGTTCAGCAAACTGTTGGGGCAAGGCTCGCGCTGGAAATCGGCTCAGCAGCATGACACCTGTATGCGAACCTGTGCCATACTGATTCCTTGAGGGACAAGGAGCACCTGGAACAACCGATTGCCAAGGAGACTGCACAGCTCTCAACCCCTTAACAAAACCTCGGACCCCAGTCACAGAGAGTTGGGTTTCACTCAAGATCCAAGCATGTCCGCCCATGTGAGCGACTTGATCCACCTTCGTATTCAGACCCGAAGGGTTGGCAATTCCAAAAGTCCAGATGCCATTCCCTTCGGGCCCCGGATGTGATGCCTCCCCAACCCGCAAAAGAAGTCCACTCAAAATCGCAAAGAACAACCAGCTCCTTCGAACTGGTCGGGAACTCTGAACCGCACCTGATTCTTTCCCAAAAGCCCAGGCATAAGTCCAAGTCCAGCCAACGGGCCAAGTGCAAGAAGGCAGCTGCACACAACCTGCATTCCCCGACCCAAGCGACTGAACAGCCAAAATCCAAAAAGACATGAAGACCACCGGAACGGCCATGTAGCTGCCATACCATGTCATGAGCGCCAAAACGAACCAAAGCAAAAAGGGCAATGTACCTCCCACCAGTCCATCCCAATTGTTCAGGGAAGGTTTCCAAACAACTGGGCACCCTCACTCAGGACGGTGGCGCTTCGCCAAAAGTGACTCAAATTGGCTCATTTGCTTATGAAACATGCTATCCAACATAGATTGTTGATTCACGGACTGCTGTCGGAATTGTTCCTGGAACGATTCTTGGAAAGCATGCAGTTGGGAAGCATGGCTGGCAATTGCTGCTTCAAAATGGGCACCCTGCTGCTGCATCTGGTCACGAACCTCATGAAGTTGCTTGTTGTGGTCAGCCGCATGTTGGGACATGGATTCCTGCAAGCATTGGGCATGCTGCTTCAGCTCATGCATCTCTTTTTCAAGGTGATCAACCCTGGGATCATGAGTCCCTTCACTGTCAACATCCATGCTGGCACGAGGGAGCTGCGCCAACACTGCTGAGACCACTCGTTGTTCCATGTCTTCCAAAGGATTGTGCAAGTGCACTGTCTGCGGTGCAAGCTTCTGAGTCCTGGGGCCTGGCTTTGCCCAGGGATCATGAATCTGCAGCTCATCAACCATCTGGTCAGAGGAGGCCTTGGAGACAGTATTGTGAGAAGCCACAACTGACGGCAGAGCAGGTGCAACTTGGGCAACTTCCGTTTCACGAGTCACGACCACATCTCCATGCGACATCCTCAGCACCTTTTTGGGGGGTTCTGCAATGGCTTGGACCCGAAACATGAGCCCCTGCACTTGTGTCCCAGTGGAAACCGGCTGCAAAGGACGGACAGTCCATCCGAAATCACCCAGTGTCTTGGTCAGGGATGACCGCAAAGTACCATAAGGCATTGGACCCACCAGAAAAGTCATTCGATCACCTGCTGGCAAAAAGACCTGTTCAGGACGGATCTTGGCTGAGAGAGCAGCCGCATGTTCAACTCTGCATCTCAAGCCAAGTTTGGCCCCAAGACGTGCGACGCCACAGACCTCAGGCAGTGTCTGTCTCTGCATGACCAACTGACTCAAGGAAGTACGTGGAGTCCAAATGACCTGAAAAACCGTTGAGGGTTTTCGGCCACAAACCGTTTTGGGTTCAGCAAACACCCCTTGGGTACCACTAAACTCCGCACAGAAATTTGAAGCGTTTCTGGAAGCCTCAAGTGAACAGCATAAACTTCAGCTTCTTCAGGACTGCAAAAGGCAAAGGTCTGTTTCATCCACTGCCGACCCCAAACTTCAAGGATAGGAGAATCAACTGGAAACTGATCCGTACGGTGCCAAGCTTCACACCCTGGACACTCTTCATCCGAACAAACCTGCAAAGGACAAACTTTTTGGATGATGTACTGCAACGGATGAGCCACAACCTGATTCCAATCACCGACAATCATGTCCCGAAACACCATGAATTTGACGACGCAAGTCGGGATAGACTGAACCTGACAGCCAACTGTGGAATCCGGACGACAAACCGGGGTGGCACCAAGTTGAACCAACAAACCTTCCACCAATAAAGGTTCGGAATTCTCAGCACAGATCAAAGGCAAAGTCACAACCGTGGAACGCAACCCCGAAGTCAGCGGAAGGACAGTGTCAACCAAAAAGAACGCAAGTGCACCAGTGGACACGATGCTGGCTGCCCGAAGGTACGGTCCAGCCAAAGCCAAAGTGGTCAACACAACTCCAGAGACATGCGATGCAACTTGGGGCAAAGACACCTGAGCAAGCGGGGTCCCATCAGTGCTCTGAAGCAAACCAAGTTCCAAGCGAAGTCGAGTAGGATCCAAGGACGACACAACCCCTGGCTTTGAGCCTTTTCCTTTGCCTTTGGCATGTTTATGTGATTTCTGACCAACTGATCCCTTGCCCTGTCGCTGTTTCACCTTTTCATTCAATTCTGAGGGCTTGACAATCAGGAACGGTGGCCTCTGCTGGTTTGCTAGCCACTTGAGCTCCCGCCAAGGATTGACTGCAGTAAGCGCTTTGGCAACAGGTCCATCCCCCAAGGCACAAAGAAGGGTCTGAGCACGCAGTTTCACTTCATCACCAGCAACCCCTTGTTGAACCAACAAAGCACACAACGCTTCCAAGTCAACCTGACCAAGACCAGCAAGACGGGGCACCATGCACTGCTGAAGCAACCCAGAGGCAAAGTCCAAACGCAAGGCACTAGCCAGAGAGTTCACAGCATCCTGTGATCGAGGCATTGGGGTTTCCAACAGTAAATGACGCACAAACGCAATGACAGCCGCACCACAGTGGGAAGTGACCTGAAATCCAAAATCCAAAGAAGTCCATACACCAAGCTGTCCATTCCTACCAAGTCCAGGAATCTGTGCCAAGGTCTGCATCACTGAACCATGAGACTCCTTGATGGAGCCAGTGAAGAGCTTGCAACCAACCTCATCAAGTCTCCACACCAAAGGGACCCAATGCTGATCAATGACAACTGCAGAAATCACCGTCACAACCTTTGCCAACACTGCAGTGAGCTGCGCCCATGTGCCAGGGTTGTCAACAAGCACAAGTCCAGAAATCAACAAAGGATCCCAAACAACCACATTCTGCAGCTCATCAGCCGAAGTTGCACAGGGCTCAAGCCAATAGAGCAACTCATCATCACCCCATGTAGGTCCCTGACGCGAAAGGATCTCCAGGCGCTGCGCCTGGGGCATGACAATGCGACGCAAGTCCAAGAGCTGGCCAATGCTGGTCACTTCAGCGCCAGGAGCCACTACCGCTCCAAGCCTGTCCCCTTCAGCAGTGCAATCTTCATCCAAACAGCACGCAACAGCTTCTACATACTGCGACCGCACATCCCATCCAGAAGGCACCAACGTCACAAGCACCTTTTCATCCAACGATTTGTTCAAGTCAATGGGATCACCATTCACGGTGACCTCAAAGTCAAAGTCCAACGTTCCAAGCTTGGCTTCAGCAGCAACAAGCTGAGCACAAGTGGTGCCAGTCGGACATCTGATGGTTTGGATGACGTCACCATCAGCAGGACAAACCAAGTCAAGCTCAAGCATTTCAACGTCAACCTCAACAATGGGGTCAGGCACAGTAGGGGGGATCGGGGGAGGCCACTTGCAAGACACCGCTGCTTCACTTCATGGACATACGCAGACAAGACCTGGTGAGGGCACAAACGGTCAGTGCAATCCAAAAAGGAATCCAAATGGCGACGGATTTGGGCGAAAATCCAAAGCCCGGCAATTGGAGAAACAGCTTGTCCAATTCCACCCATGGCCAAGCGCAAGTGAGGTCCAAAATCAAGCCCTGGCATTCCACCCATCAGACACCACATTTCTTCAGGGTGCAAATACCTACAGTGTTCCATCACCTGATTCATGTGGACCTGTGAACCTCCTGTAGGCACAAGGATACCAATCAATCCCCGATTCTGCACCCTAGCCTCACTCAAAGCAGGTCTACAACCACAACTGCAATCATAGAGAGCATTGCCAGTGCTGTGCAACAGAGTAGGCAGTTTGCCGTCCGGCTGCAAAAAGGCATTTGCAATCCCACCTGAGGCATAGCTATAGTACTTTGCCAACTCATACAGATTCAAACTGATCTGCGCTTGTTCGTGTTCAGGCCAAGTGTGCATGACAGGCATCAGATCTCGGACCACTGGACAGACATTCAAGGCAGGCAAATCCACAAGATTGCAGGCACCCAACAGCGGAGCACAAAACAAGCCAAACCAACGCTCAAGCCGACTGCACCAAGAGTTAGAAAGCTGGACCAATGTTTGGGAAACTTTGTACCCTGTTGCTTCAGCAAACTTCATGATGATGGTCTGTGCTTCTTGATCTCTCATGATGGCAGGGGTGCACTCAAGGACAAAACAAGCGGATTGCAACATGTAGGCTGTCTGAAGAGCCTTTGGTAAGCTCAGTGAACGTGGGTCACTCATGCCAAGCTGATCACCCAAGATGGAATGAGCATTGCAGCTGATTCCTGCACACAAAACACCATGGAGGCAACCTCCTTCAACCAAGGTTCGAACAATGGCCGGATCATTGATATCACCATGCAAGAAACAAGCATCAGGCTGATGAAGCAAGCGAAAAAGAGGCTCCCACTTAGCGTTATGGTCTACTCCAAACTTCAGTCTCATGCCAACCCTGCCAAGCAAACACGAGAAGCCACCAAGTCCACAGCAGAGATCGACAACCTGAAACAGACCAAAGCGAACACAAGGCGGAATGGCGTACACATAGGAGGAATCCACAATGCTGAGATGAATCGGACTCAAAGAAGTCACCTGTAGGCCAAGACCCCCCAACAGCTGACCAGAGGGAAGACTACCATGCACCCAAATCTTTGCCCCTCTTCTGTCAGCACTTTGAACTAGATGAGGTCCAGCTGGGGTGTCCCCACGACAAACCATGGAAAAGACCAGTTGCACTTGAGAATCCACCGTAAGATCACCCCAATTTTGAGGTACCATGGCAACCACCTAGTACAACTACCAACCCGACTTCAGTACGCACAGCTGAACCTACTGGAAGGTATCGGGCCCCAACAGCTTCTGAAAAATATTAGTCAAATGGGATGAATATCCCCAATCTATGGAAACATATAAAATGTTCCAAACCACCAACCAGTCATATACATGTTCAATATCTTTCAATCTGATTTGTGACATGTTTGAATTCATCTCTCAGATTTTCCCTCCAGAGCGTATGGAATACTGCGCCTGGTGGGTTCAACCAAAGGTTCCACCCATCACAAATCAATCAGGGATCACCATCAGCGAGAACTGAAGTGGCTAGAACTGGAGTGGTGGATACCCTTATGTCCATAATTGTATGTTTCATTTTATGTTTATTTGTTTCTGGATTTGGTTGTAACATGTTGTAACTACATGATTTTTATCCAACCCGCATGCTCCATCCATGGAACATTTGACTACATTTGGGTCATCTTTGGATATTTAATGATATTGTGGGGCAAATGTTGATGGTAGATACTCCATACATGAAGCATGTGGGCAAAACAAATCCCAATGATGTTGAATGCTTAAATATGAGGTGAATCACCGTTCTGAAATATGTTCAATGTTTAAATACCATAAGATCATATGAAATGTTCATGTTAGTGCATGTTCATCCCCATGTTCCATGTTCAAAATCATCACTTTTCACAGTAAACATCACCATGTTCATCCATGTTCATGGTCAAAAACCATCTTCATTCCCATGTTCCATGCTTAAAAATGCAACTTTTCGCCATAAAAGAAAACACCATTGTCATCCCCTTCAGGGCAAAAAACCACCCTCATCCCCATGTTCCATGTTCAAAATCACGACTTTTCACCGTAAAATCACCGTTGTCATATTGCCAAAAACCATTTTAATCTTCCATGCTTAAAACCATCACTTCTCACAGCAAACATCACCATGTTCATCCATGTTCATGGTCAAAACCCACCTTCATCCCCATGTTCCATGCTCAAAAGTTAAAAACACCACTTTTCAACGTAAGAATCACCATTGTCATCCTCTTCATGGCCAAAAAACACAGTTTTCCCCCCAATCTCCTGGCGTTCGGAATGCTCTGCAGCTCCCGTGCCCCAGCCGCCTCCAACGCCGGAAGAAGGCACTCTGACAGCAGCGCCGCCAACTCGCCCCGCGACACGGCGCGATTTCCTGTGGAAAGTTGCCTATTTATTGGTGAATTGGCAGCGTGTCAAAACCTTGTACCCCTGGTGAACATCAAAATAGCTGGTAAATGGATGTTCATTCCCCTAAAAAATGGTATTATATATATAATGGGTATTGATCCATACCCACTTATAAAAACATGGTTGATTTCCACGTTTATGTTAGAGGGCAATGGATAGGAAATCACCATTTTTTTGGAAAATTCCTGGGATTTGGGATGATGTGGTTGATCTATTGTAAGTGGGTGATGTGTGGTGATGTTGCATTTTGGATTTCCAAACACTCCCTCGGAACATGGGTTCTACAACGATTTTAAGGCGGATTTGGGTTTGATGAAGTTTTCAGAACTTGCAAGTCTAGAAATCTATAACGAACAAACTAGACAAGTCAAGTGAAAAGTGGAAACATGATGAAACATGAACCACCGACCCCCCGGAGATAAGGACTACTGCTGGACCATTGAAAACCGCGGCATAAATTGGATTTTAAAAACCAAAAAAACACATAGTGATGTGGGGAATGAGCAAAAAACATCTGCAACTGCCGTCCTTGGCCATCCAAATCCAACAGCAAGTCAAGGTCTGAATCTCTGCGTGCAAGGCCGCTGGCTGACGTGCCAAACATAGATACACTGAAGTTCCTGGGTGAAGTCCATCTGTTGCATCCACTCGTTGAAGCTATGAAAACTTATGAAAGTAGTTGTGGTGATAAGATGGGAGTTTCAATTGAAGAGGGGATGGTTGAAGGGTGCTGAATGGCAAAAGATGTGACCTCAATCCTAAATCAAGTGCAATGGTGACAAGAAAAAATAAAAGATAATAGGCAACATCATCTTATCAAGATTGATTATACCAGTGTTAGACCAACTCGCACTGCAAAACAAATGGTGAATGTTTTCTTGTAGTTTTTCGTTCTTAAAATGTTTCAAGTAAGATAATCCACCGAGAAGGAAGTTGAGCAAACAATATGAGAAACACAGAATGGATCATGTCATGGTAAAAAAAACTGGAAATTGTGACACTGAAAGAACCACCCAATGCTGAATTCAAATTGGTGAGTTCCAGACCCCAGTCACTGAGCAGGCAGTTGAGCAATCAATGTGACAAACATTAACAAATTATCCCATTGTACATTATTCGAAGATTGGTTTTTCATGTTTCAAGAGGGAAAAAATGTCATTCAAAGAATTGCCCAAATTAACAGTCATTCCAATTGATCATCAATAGAAATTGAATCCTTTGATTCCAAGAAAACACTCTAGGTTCTACTGTCCAATAGCATCGTGTTGTCTTTTCATTATAGTACCGCACAAGGCGGTGGCGGAAGTTTCAAAAATAGGAAACCAATAGGAGAGACTGGTTGTTGTGAATCAGGGATGGCAGAGCGAAGCCACTGATGGACTGAAAGGTGGTTGAGGTCTCCTCTCTTTCTCTCTATTTCTCTGACTATCTACCTACCTACCTACCTATGTATGTATTTATCTATCGGTCTATCTCTCTCTCTCTCCCCTCTCTCTCTCTCTCTCTCTCTCTCTCTCCTCTCTCTCTCTCTCTCTCTCTCTCTCGCTCCCTCCCTCCCTCCCTCCCTCCCTCCCTTTCATCTAATTACCTATCTATCTATCTATTCTAATCTAGCCTAATCGAATCGAATCGAATCTAATCTAATCTAATCTTATCTTATCTTATCTTATCTTATCTATCTATCTATCTATCTATCTCCTTCATCTGTCTATGTGTCTAGCTGTCTACCTGTCTATCTGTCTATCTATCTATCTATCTATCTATCCTATCTATCTTATCTATCTTATCTCTCTTATCGATCTTATCTATCTTATCTATTTAATCTATCTAATCTATCTAATCTATCTAATCTATCTAATCTATCTAATCTATCTAATCTATCTAGTCTATCTAGTCTATCTAGTCTATCTATCTATCTAATCTATCTAATCTATCTAATCTATCTAATCTATCTAATCTATCTAATCTATCTAATCTATCTAATCTATCTATCTATCTATTTATCTATCTATCTATCTGTCTATCTATCTATCTATCTATTCTAATCTAGTCTAATCGAATCGAATCGAATCTAATCTATCTATCTATCTATCTATCTATCTATCTATCTATCTATCTATCTATCTATCTATCTCCTTCATCTGTCTACCTGTCTAGCTGTCTACCTGTCTATCTGTCTATCTATCTATCTGTCTATCTATCTATCTATCTATCTATCTATCTATCTATCTATCTATCTATCTATCTCCTTCATCTGTCTATCTGTCTAGCTGTCTACCTGTCTATCTGTCTATCTATCTATCTGTCTGCCTGTCTATCTGTGGTGCAGTGTCATTCAGTATAATGTAGTGTAGTGTAATGTAGTGTGGTGTAGCGGAGTGTAGCGGAATGTAGTGTAGTGTAGTGTAATGTAGTGTAGTCTAATTTAGTGTAGTGGAGTGTAGTTGTGTAGATGTAGTTGTAGTTGTAGTGTAGTGGAGTGTAATGTAGTGAAGTGTAGTGGAAGGTCGTGTGGTGTAGTGTAATGTAGTGTAGCGTAGTGGAGTGTAGTGTAGTGTAATGTCGTGAAGTGTAGTGTAATTTAGCGTCGTGGAGTGTAGTGTAGTGGAGTGTAGTGTAATGTAGTGTAGTGTAATTTCGTGTAGTGGAGTGTAGTGGAGTGTAGTGGAGTGTAGATGTGTAGTTGTAGTTGTAGTTGTAGTGGAGTGTAGTGTAGTGTAATGTAGTGAAGTGTAGTTGAAGGCAGTGTAGTGTAGTGTAATGTAGTGTAGTGGAGTGTAGTGTAAAGTAGTGTAGTGCAGTGTAATTTAGTGTAGTGGAGTGTAGTGGAGTGTAGTGGTGTAGTTGAGTGTAGTTGTGTAGTTGTAGTGTAGTGGAGTGTAGTGTATTGTAGTGAAGTCTAGTGGAAGGTAGTGTGGTGTAGTGTAGTGTAGTGTACTGTAGTGGAGTGGAGTGTAGTGTAATGTAGTGTTGTGTTGTGTAATTTAGTGTGGTGGAGTGTAGTTGTGTAGTTGTAGTTGTAGTGTTGTGGAGTGTAGTGTAATGTAATGTAGTGTAGTGGACTGTAGTGTAGTGTAATGTAGTGGAGTGTAGTCTAGTGAAGCGAAGCAAAACGACATCTGAGCCTCCAAAAGTGGTTCGAACCCCTAGTGTTTTTAACATTTTAACTTCCAAATGTGCTTCGCGCCACAACGGCGTGCACTTTTTCAAGATCTGAACTTCCAAAAGTGGTCCGAACCCCTAGTGTTTTTAACATCTTGACTTCCAAATGTGCTTCGCGCCACAACCGCATGCACTTTTTCGACATCTCAACTTCCAAAAGTCGTCCGACACTGAAGTGTTTTGCACATTTTGACTTCCAAATGTGCTTCGCGCCACAACGGCGTGCACTTTTTCGACATCTCAACTTCCAAAAGTGGTCCGCACCTGGTGTGTTTTGTACATTTTGACTTCCAAATGTGCTTCGCGCCACAACGGCGTGCACTTTTTCGACATCTCAACTAGTAAAAGTGGTCCGAAGCTGGTGTGTTTTGTACATTTTGACTTCGAAATGTGCTTCGCGCCACAACGGCGTGCACTTTTTCGACATCTCAACTTCCAAAAGTGGTCCGAAGCTGGTGTGTTTTGTGCATTTTGACTTGGAAATGTGCTTCGCGCCACAACGGCGTGCACTTTTTCGACATCTCAAGTGCCAAAAGTGGTCCGCACCTGGTGTGTTTTGTGCATTTTGACTTGGAAATGTGCTTCGCGCCACAACGGCGTGCACTTTTTCAACATCTCAACTTCCAAAAGTGGTCCGAACGTGGTGCGTTTTGTACATTTTGACTTGGAAATGTGCTTCGCGCCACAACGGCGTGCACTTTTTCAACATCTCAACTGCCAAAAGTGGTCCGAACCTGGTGTGTTTTGTACATTTTGACTTGGAAATGTGCTTCGCGCCACAACGGCGTGCAATTGTTCATCGCTCATCTGGCCAGCTGGCTCCGCACCCGCCGCTTTAGCGAGCCTACTTTTCGACCCTCCGGAGCCCCAAATCATGGGAAAAACACAGTGTTTCGCGACTTTCCTACCTTTTCACGCATCTGCATCTTCTTTCTTCTTACTCTTCTTTCTTCTAATCTTTCTCTTCTCTCTGCCTCTTCCCTGCTCTGCTTTTCATCTGTCCATATTGTCGGAAGTTTGACTTCTAAACTTCCTTCGACAATCTACTTTCCGATGAACTACCCAATTTTGACCCATACCATAATATCTATACTAACCGCGAAAAAGAGAGAAATGAAAGTTCTACCACTATATCAGAAACAGAATTTACTTGTCTTAACTTTGGGGTTGCTATATATCTGCTGTTATCTGCTGTCCGAGGCTCGGCCACGTGCTTTCCAGTGTCTCCCTCAACGCCTGCCTTGAGGGAAGGGCCACCAATAAACACAAATCTTGTGAAAAACCCAATCAAAAAAATGCAGCCCACGAACCCGAATGCTCACACGTATGTTAATGGTACAGATGTCGAAACATGGATATGCAGTCACGTGAACAGTCTTGTACATTTTCCCCTGTTACCATACCAGTGCACCGTAGAATGTGGAATATTGAAGAGGGTGGCGTGCTAAGTGTAAAGTGTAGAGTGCAAAGTGCGGAATGTAAAGTATGGAGTGCAAAGTGTAAAGTGTAAAGTGTGGAGTGTGGAATGTGGAGCGTAGAGTGTGGAGTGTAAAGTGTAAAGTGTAGAGTGTAAAGTGTGGAATGCAAAGTGCGGAGTGTGAAGTGTAAAGGGTGGAGTGTGGAGTGTGGAGTGTAGAGTGCGGAGTGTGGAGTGTAGAGCACGCAATGCGACACGTCTGATGTGACGCGCCTGCCACGCAAAATGAGGATGGAGGTCTCCAAAGTGCTGCGCCTGTCACGAAAACTGCAACTCATCTTGTGGAGCATCAAAACGAGCATTTCGTGCCAGACTTCCTCCAATTTTCATACTTTGTAGCTTCAAAATCGATGTTTTCTTATGAACCTTCAAATTTGCTACCTCAAAATCGATGTTTCGTGCGAGGCTTTCGTCAATTGTCATCACATCTCACAAATGCCACGCCTGCCATGGAATTTGCACCTTGTCACCCCTTGACGCAGCCCTGACAATGCGATTCGCAAAATCACGCCACAAGACACGTCTAACGTGTTGCGCCTGCCCCGCAAAATGAAAATGGACACGTCTAAAGTGCTGCGCATGCCATGAAAACTGCAATGCATCTTCTGAAAACGTCGCACAAGTATTGCGCCTGCCACATACAAACGACTTTCGACACGTTACCAAACACGTCTGAGTGTCACGAAGTGCCACGCCTGCCACGCGAAACGAAGCAACGCGACGTTTGAAACCTCCAAAAAAATTTGCAGAACTCACCATAGGCAGGGCCATCGCGACCTCGCGCGGACGGTTGCGAACAGTTGCGAGCGGTTTCGAACGGTTGCGAACAGTTGCGCGCCGTCGAGGGAACACACCCTCAACCCCCAGACCCCCAGTGAAACGGGAACCCTTGCTACGCATTCGGGAAAAAACACAGGAATATACACTGTAGGAATACTTGAGAATAATTAGGTAGATTTTTTTTTTACTACTGCTTAACTATTGTGGTAATGGGCTCTTCCTTTTCAAAAACCACCACTGTAATATCACCATCCAGGCATGTTGGATTTATATCTGACTGGTTTATAAGTTAATACACAAACTAATGTTCATGTATATGTAATCTGTTAGTGACTGTGAGTGACTGTGAGTGACTGTTAGTGTGTGTGTGTGCAACTATTTGATATTTCTATTGTCAATGCCGTATTACAGTATCTATTTCCAGTAAATCAACGGCCCCCCGTGCCCTGGAAATGCGGTGCCATCAGTTTCCCCTTTGAAACCAAGCCCTCCAGTAGCAAGCTGCTGGATCTCCCCACAGATGCGGCAGCGTCTTTCCAGGTCCTGGTTGGCCATCGAACTGCTTGGCAGGTCATCTTCAACCGATTCCATGAAGAGTTGGCTTAGATTGATGATATACCGTTATATACCTGCATTGGGGGATGGTCATTGACATATACGGATCTCCATAGTTCTTGATACACCCATTTAGAAGTTTCCTAAATCATGGGGGTACCCCCAAATCATCCAGTCGTCATGGATGACCATGTAGTAGTATTGAAGCAGCCATGGTGACTTGGGCTGACTCGGGGATCCCCCATGACTTCAGAAACAGTCATGATATGTCATTATGGTCTTCCCCCAGGTCACCAAGTCTATCCCAGCAAACGTCCTGGCTCTGGGGTCCACAGTGCTGAAGGAAGCTTTGCATCTCAAGCCCCAGCTGCTTTTCCAGCGCAGCGCCCAGTGCTGGCGGCTGTGGTCGCACCAGCTCTGGGGGAAGCCCTTGGAGCTGGATATGAGCGGGATTTGGGGGGTCTTAGCAACTAACATGTGCGGAGATGTAAGATGAAAAGCAACAACCGGTGAGGGGTTAAGCCAAAAATCATGTGTAAAAACAATGTCCAAGACAGCAAATGGTGGGGACACATCGCTTCATTTCAATGACATCGTACCCTCCTTTCACCAAAAAATGAGGGTCGCCAACTCCGCCCAAAGTAAAAAAAACATGAGGTTCTCTTCAGCAGGAACCCCAGGTGATCATCCGAATTATGTGTCATGTTCAATAGTTACAGCGGACGCCCAAATTGAAACAAACACCCATCTATAGATCATAAAGTTAATCCGTAACTATATATGGGAATTACCAATATAGTAATTATTGTCATTGATTCTGGATCATACCTTAAACCATTTTCTCGATATCCCATGAACCATGTCCCACATTCATATCCGTCACCAAGGGCTATACACTTCCGTGCATCTCTGCCCCCATGGCTAAGAGGTCCAGGTCTATCAACATTCCAAATTTTACTGCATGAAACATGGCCGAAACGTGGTATATTATATGGTATATTATATTGTTGTCATCCATACCATACTGGGAATCCTTGCAGTGTTGTTTGTGTATATCTATATATATATATATCACTATTGATGGATTCATTATGTCCATCCCCAAGAACTGGGCACATCATCCAACTTCATCCAATAGTTGGTTCTATATCCCATGAATTTTCCCTCTACTATCCAATTAAATCCGCATTCAATGGGTGTAGAATCCATCTATATAGCTTGACCATGGTACACCAGCTCTATCCCCCATCCATGTACAGATATTCCATTCATCGGCCATAAATACCCCATGAACTCCCCATGGTGAAATAATATTAAATCCATCTGAGCTACCAAAAATACCTCTATCCCATCTCATTATTCTAGTTGGTTGATAGGTTTCCCATGGCTTTTGAGCAGGACACCAAGCTCGGGACCAGCAGCTGCTTGCGCTTGCCGCTGGCAGAGCTCATGATATGCCAGGCCTGACGGAAAGGGGCGGAAAGGGCCGGTGCCTGGTGATGGTGACTAACCTCTGAACCAATAGATTAATGACTCAAAAATTGGCGGTGAACCCGGTGAACTATCAAAAATCACATGAAGATTAAAATTGTGGTGGTCGGAATGGGAATAGAATCTGAAAGGTTGGGATTCTACCAGTAAGAATGGGGGAATAACATGGCTTCTACGACCATCCTGAAATGGGTATACAGTATACAGGCCGTATAATATCAAATACCCCCAGTAAAGGACCCAAAATTCGTAGATCCAAGAACAACGAGGCTAGCTGTGGGGTATTTAATAGTGGAAGGAAATGGGCTATAGTAGGAGGGCAATATTGATAGTGGAAGGGCATAGTACAAATATAATCACCTACGCTCGCTCTAAGTCGACCCAAGGGCGTTAAGTCAGCCCAGACGTGGCAAAACACAGCGGGCGCACTATCTGAAGATGATGGATGTCATGTGTTGCAAATAAGAAAATCGCTTGCACACTGCACGCACATGTGTCATTTACATGGCTCGGACCGTGTTTCTGTATGCAAAACTCAGTGAGCACGCCGCAATTACATGGAACATCACCAGATCTCATGGCCCACTTTGCGGGTAACCCCTGGCAGCTTGAACATGCTTCTGCGCGAGTGCCGTGCGACTCCGCAAGGGACGCGCGACCCTCACCAATCCCACGCCCCCGGGGCTAGCCCTCCGCGCCACCCGGCCCACACCGTGCACGCGCTGCACAACTCGCACAAATGTTTCTGATGCAGGCTTGCCTTTCCTCGCTGCCCATCCAGGGAATCAGATGGAATCAACTCTCAGCATTGCCCGTGTTGTCAACCAGGTGCCCTGTAGCATGAAGACCAAAACCCCAAAGAAATTTAGTTATAGAGGATAAAAGAGAACAGTCATCATGACGGAATGACATGCGCACACTAACCAAATATGAAGCGCACCAAAGATATGAATCAAAACACATAAGCTGAAATTCAGAATTGGGACGACTTAAAACGATGCGGCACGACTTACAGCCGGGACCCTGTACCATTTATAATTGCACATGACCATCATCCCAATTTTGTGGAACTCTAGTCGTGTAAATTTCATTATTGGAAACATCATTAAAATTATGAGGTACATAACAAATTCATTGTCCATATAAAAATAATGAGCACACCCGTAAATTTCCATCCCGCAAAAAAAAGGAAAGACTTGGGCGCAATCCGGGATAGAGATAGAAAAGCGGAACTGCGTTTCACACCACGGATGATATGTAGTGAGACCTGTTTGACCCAGCATTTTGTTGACAGGACGACACAAGTCTCTGTGAAAGTAAGTAAAAGTTTTTTTACCAATTAAGATGGTTGAATCAACAGACAGAAGTGTACGTAAAGAGGGATCAAGTCCTTTAGTACCCTATGGATCCCTATGGGATAAAATGCTGGGGTTTAGTTCCTCAAAATGACCGGTCCAACTTTGAGGCCGTCCAACTTGATCTTCCCGCAAAATTTGTTTGGTGACCACTTATTCACCATGGTGTTTGTAGTGAACAAATCACCAAGGTACAGTCATCGAAAATTTCCGCAACCCAAGGGAACACCCCTTTGTGTCTGGGGTTTAACTACACATATGGTGCTTAGCCATTGATAGCCACCAATTCTACAAGTTGCAGCAATCATCGGTGCACCCCTAAAATCGCATTCAACACCCGACATGTCGCCCCTTGACACCATTTGTTTTTTTTCAGGATTTCCCAACTCATGGTTTGTGTCAATTCCCAAAGTACTGGATACTACAATGAACCCAATATAATTCATGTACTCACCAATCATCATTTATCCATTTATCAACTGTATCCCTATATGTTTGATAGTCAAAACCCCATGAGCTCCCTTATAGTTGTTGAAAAACACTAAAATATACTAAAATAAACAGTTTGAACCGCAAGAAAAAACGTATATAAAACACGTGGGGATTTGCAGTGTCACGCACACTACAATTGATTGTTAAATCTCATGAAATTCCCTGCTCACCGGCTGTAGCTACATCATGATTCTCACCTTCGAACACATTGAAGGGCCGCGGTGGCTGAGGACGCTGCGCCACACGCACTTCTTGACAGTTCGGGCTCTGGTCGCAGGGAAAACTCATGCCGGTGAGGAGTAGGTGGACGATATACGACCTCCGGGAAGGTTCCGCTTGGCCCGCCCGGCCATTTCAACATACAGATTCCAATTTACTCAACCATATAGATTTAAATATACGGATGGAACTCATGTTTCATCAAAAGAAGTTTAGAAGTCAAACTTCCGACAATATGGACAGATGGAAAAGCAGAGGTGGGAAGAGTCAGAGAAGAGAAGAGCAGAAGAGAGAAGGTCAGAGAAGAGAAAGAGTGAGAAGAAGGAAGATACAGGTGCGCGAAAAGGTAGCAAAGCCGCCAAACACTGTTTTTCCAGTGATTTGTGGCTCCGGAGGGTCGAAAAGTCGGCTCACTAAAGCGGCGGGTGCGGAGCCATGTGGCCAGATGAGAGATGAAAAGTTGCACACCATTGTGGCGCGAAGCACATTTCCAAGTCAAAATGTATAAAACACACCAGGTTTGGAATACTTTTGGAAGTTGTGATGTCGAAAAGTGCACGGCGTTGTGGCGCAAAGCGCATGTCCAAGTCAAAATGTACAAAACACAGCAGGGTCGGAGCACTTTTGGAAGTTGTGATGTCGAAAAAGTGCACGCTGTTGTGGCGCAAAGCGCATGTCCAAGTCAAAATGTACAAAACACAGCAGGGTCGGAGAACTTTTGGAAGTTGAGATGTCGAAAAAGTGCACGGCGTTGTGGCGCGAAGCACATTTCGAAATCGAAAGTGGTAAACACAGCAGGTTCGGAGCACTTTTGGACGTTCAGATGTGGTTTTGCGTGGCCGCCGCAAGGGATTGTGTACCTTGTCAAAAGTGGCAGGCGTGGGTCATTTGAAGAGGATCGTCAAAGATGCATTTTCCGTGGCAGGTGCAGTACAAGAAACACGTTCATCAGAGATGTTAGGAGGTCCGGGCACTGATTTCCTGAGAGGGGTGCATTTTGGAGCATCAGATCTTCAGTTTCGGGAACATGATTGTGTGTGTGACACAGGTGCAGCACTTTGTATGACCTGGCATCACTTTTGCGTGGCAGGCGCAGTAGTTTAGACAAATGGAATGGAAAAATTGCAAAACGCATTGGTACGAGGCCGTCAGCTCTGCATTGAGCTTTCCATTATTGAAGGAAGTCTCGCAGAATTGCTTCGTTTTTGATGTTACCAACTTCAAAATTTGAGGAAGTCTCGCAGAACTGCTTCGTTTTTGATGTTGCTAACTTCAAAAATTGAGGAAGTCTCGCTGAATTGCTGCGTTTTTGACGTTATCAAGTTCAAAAGTTGAGGGAAGTCTCGCACAATTGCTTCGTTTTCAAGCCTGCAGATTGCAGATAGACAGATAGACAGACAGATAGATAGACAGATAGACAGATAGACAGATAGACAGATAGACAGATAGACAGATAGACAGATAGACAGATAGACAGACAGACAGATAGACAGATAGACAGATAGACAGATAGACAGATAGACAGATAGACAGATAGACAGATAGATAGATAGACAACTACAACTACAACTACAACTACCACTGCACTACACTACTACCACAACTACAAATGCAAATAAAGTACGCTACATTACACTACACTAATTGCACTACACTACACTACTTGCATCTATAATCATCTATAATATAATTACACTACACTACACTGATTACACAACAACAACAACCACAACAACAACAACCACAACCACAACCACAACCACAACAACAACCACAACAAACAACAACAACAACCACAACCGCAACCGCAACCACAACCACAACCAACAACAACAACAACAACAACAACAACAACAACAACAACAACAACTACTACTACTACTACTACTACTGCTACTACTACTACTACCACCACCACAGCTACAACAACAATATCAACTACACCACATCGCACTACACTGCGTTTATTACACTGCAGCACACAACAACTACAAATACAAATGCAAATACAACTACACTGCATTACACAACACAACACTACACTAATTACATTACATTACTCTACAACTACAACTGCAGCTGCAACTACAATTGTAACTACCACTATGCTGCACTACACGACATTGCACTAATTACATCTAATTACACTACACCACACTACAACTACAACTACACTACCTTACACTACACTACACTAGACTACACTACACTATACCACACTGCAGTACACAACACTACAATACACTACAATAAACTAGACTATATAATTACACCAGACCACAACTACAACTACAACTGCAACTACACTACACTTATTACACATTATTGCACATTACAGCTACAACTCCACTACACCACACTACAACTACAACTACAACTGCACTTCACCACACTACATCCAGCAGTTGTGGGCGAGGTGACCACTGCAACCATTGCAACCACTCCAAAAAACACAACTTCAACCACCTTTCGCTCCATCAGTGGATTCGCTCTGCCATCCGTCATTCACGACAACCAACCTCTCCTATAGGTTTCCTATTTTTGAAACTTCCGCCACGGCCTTGTGCGGCACTACTGGTACTACCTCCGGGGCCTTGTGGTCTGGCCAGCTATGTTATGGTCATATCATATCACATTATTATTGTATTATGTACATCATCTACTTCAAGCCTTCAGAGCAAAAAAAAAACAATGCACGAAAATCCACGGATATACCATTTTTTGCTAAGAAATCATCCCTTTTTGGGTAACGCAATTACTCATGAAGTTGCTTTTAGTGCGAAGAGGAAGGCAATCCTGTTTGGAGTCACTCAGACACTCAGATATTTACAAGATTACACACATGGGTTGCAACCCGCAACTGCATGGGCACACAAACGCACTCGAGTTCGACTTGAAACAAACTGAGTGGACTTCACTCCAGAACCCTCCCACAGAAAGCCTGTCAATTCAGGTTTGTTCCTGGATGTTTATCGAAACGGAAAACAGATGGCACCGCCCTAGACCCCAAAAGAGTCCTTGGACTCTTCTCGTTCAACATCGGAGGCTTCGTCCTCCACCTCACTATCGGCCTTGCGATGTAAGACCGCCATGTGTCATTACTGAAATGGTTCAAACCTACAAAGTGTTGCAAACAACACACAACAATTTGGGTGCTTCAATACAAATAATGGGCTCAATACAAATAATGGCCAGAGAATCTGAAAGTCCATGGTACACATTTGGATCAAGAGGAAACTCTGAACATGTTGACAATTCCCATCTGAATCCAGCTGACACCAGCCATTCTTGGGGTGTACCTTTGTGCCATCCCAGAACTAGTGATGAATTGCCGGATTGCTCATGGAAAACATGAATTTGCGGCAAAGGTGTACATAATATCCTATTTTCAGGCAGACCCACATATCGTAGTGTTGGTTACAAGTTGTACATATATAATTATCCGAAAATTATTCTCAGGATATTCCCGTTGTGGCTGGATTTACACCCAACACGTTTGATGCCCCACTTTTCAAACACACCCACATGCGCCATGGTAAAACCATTATATATGTGGTACGGTCATCCATCACAATGGGAATCAAAAAACATTGGCCACTCCCGAAAAAATATAAAAAAATAGAGTGATGACATGTGATGACCATTACCCATCATTACCCCATGTTTTGATCCCGCCTCCTGGTCCTTGTTGACCTTAACTTGACGCTTCACCGAGTCGATTGGCTGCTCCCCTTGAAACGGCTTGCCATGACCTGGCTGGGGCGGGTAGAACCAACTTCCAGCCTCTTCCAGGTTCAATTGGAACTGGAATCTACCACCAGATGCAAAACCATGCCTTTGAATTTTGTATGTATATTGTATATGTATGATTATGTATGTGTATATGAGGGAGCAATGGAAAAAGAAAAACAGCCTTGCTTCACGCTTAAATCAATCAGTCTGTGAGCACCCAGCAAATTTAAGGGCACATGTTCAATTCACATCTCAGGCCCAAAGGTGTTCGTCCTTTTGAGTAGCAAAACCGTCCATGTTGAAGCTTCTGTATCCACATGTTCTTTGAGTCACCATGTTCTGGTGCCTTAACCCTCCAGCCATCTCCTGCCAGGAAACACAGGGCGATGCGGTCGCCCGTGATCTGGAACCAGGCGGTGTATTTTCGCACAAACTTCTCTAAAGGACCCAGGCCATAGTCACGCCTGGATCCAGGATGAAATCGTGTGGAATCAACGGATTCTTTTTTTGGGGGACAAAAAAACAGGGTAAATAGGGGTAGAAAGCAGGGTTTCGTGTACAAACGCTACGACACAAGTATTCTTTCAGACAAAAACGAACTCACACCAAGATTCATTCTTGAAGTGTTCTTCATCCAATGATCCTGTTACACATGTTTATACATGTTTACCATTTGAACGGGTACTAAGGACAGACCACCAACCTGGATATTGCTGGGTTTCCGGGTTTCCTCTCAAATTCGGACCAAACTCGGGCCAAACTCGGGATCCTTGGATGCTTCACAAATGGCCACCCACATGGGGATGATTCCTGAAGTCAGCAAATGGGAGTATACGCTATACCCCAATGAATCCCAATGAATGGACCAATCCTGAGGGGATCATAACTTCCCGATACTTACTGTATGTATCTGTATGTTGTCACCCGGTTTCCTGACCTGTCATGATTTCAGTAACCTTAACAGCACCGGCTTTCGTTCCCAGCTTCCAATTCACGCTGTTTCGCAAGGCTGCGATGTGTTCCGACGAACCCGGGCGCGTCTCCAAATGTTCTGCCAAAGCACGCAAGGCACCTGCCGTCACAAAGGTTTTGACCAAACAGCCCACGGCGGGGAAATGTGACTGGTGCGGTTAATCCAAAATCCTTCCACTGATGTACTACCGGAAATAGGGGAAACCAAATAGATCAGTATTGTCTGGTCATGTCTGGTCTACATATTTGGTCATATTTGTTGCAGGCAAACCCCTGTGGGTCATGTTGAACTCTTAGTCAGCGTTGGACGCTCGGAAGCTCGCGTACAGTAGCAAGTGCGCCCGGCTGCCCGTACTCCCAAGTGTGGTACCCACCCGAGTAACCCCTTATTATCATTGGTTTCCAGCTCGTACAACCATTTATGATTTATGATCATTGATGATTCAATGATATAATTTAAGTGGAAGATTATTCACCAGGCTAAAAACTGTGTCAAAATCATTCAAAATCCGTGCACCCCAAACCAGTACCTGTCATACTTCTGGGCAAGTCTCAAGTGTCGGGCGATTTCTGATGGATGATTTGAGGCTTACCACTTCCTATAACTCAAAAATTCATGGATAAGTCTCAAGGTGGTTATCAAAACTCAAACGCCACAACCCGAGCCACATGAGTCACATGAGCCACATAGCCTAAATAGCTTTGTTTGGTATGTATTAATTGTCCCCTAACCTTTATCGCCTATAGTTTATCTATGTTTATCTAGTTTGTAATGAGGGGATAACACCCCCCGGCTCCACATCGCCCCGCCTTTTTCGCTACGGTCCTTGTCTTCCCAGCGGACCTCGCGAGAGGCGAAGGCGCAGTTGGACACGCGCAGACCAAGCTCCAAGCCCGGAATTTGCCAGGCCTCGGAAACTTTGAGACTTGTCCGTGAGGGATCAACAAAGATGATCGAATCAAGGATCAAAAGATATCAATTCCGTGAACGTGGCTAACATGGCCTTCTTAGATGATGTTTTTTGATGTGAGTCATGTCGATTTGACCAGCAAAATTGGAGGATCCAACTGACAGAGACTTGGATTAGCTTTACCAGCAACTTGACATAGCAACGGAGAGCGACACCTTGGAATTTCAAGAGGATCTTCGATTGTCACACTATGTCACACTTGTTGACCTGTATCAGCAAATTCATGTGCAACCTCAAAATTGAGGTAAATATATGTAAATATAGTTCACTGAAGTTTTGAATTCACCAAACATCTGAATAAACTATACTGCAGTAATTCACCAACCGTCGTAGTTGCCCAAATTATGACCATCATTGAATCATTTATGTCGTGACGTCGACGTGAGGTCGCGCCGTGAGGTCGTTCATGATATCCAAAGCATACCACCGTTTTGGTTGAGACAGCAGATGGTTGAACATGTTTCCCGGTTGAGCCCACCATTTATCCAGTGGCCATAGTGGCCCCCATTTGCATTTTAAACTGAAGCCACTGGGGTATTCCTATCTAAGCCTATCTACAAAATGAGGTCCTATAGCCCCAACACCAGAACTGATGTACAAAATGAAGGCCCTTGCCCTCTTGCATGGATAAAAAAGCATCTGTGTACCATCAAAAACTAAGAGTATGTGTATTTTGTGACCCCTGAAGGCTCTCAGTTTTAACAAACCAAGCCTGTGGATCCCTCATTTTGTAGACTGATATACCGAAGTTGCCTAAAGCTTACAATGACAGCCTATATATACCCCTCATAGAAAAACCTGAACGCCCAAAACATTTAAAAACACATTAACTAAATGTGTTTTAAATGGTGGCCCAGTGGTCCCATATGGTTAATGCTTTTTAGCACCTTAGGATCTTTAAAATCAACGTCTACGGTCTGATTGAAACCCTATATATAAATGGGATGAACCACCTCTGAACTGGTGCAGGAGTTCGCAAGCATCCACGGTAGCATGAGGGTAAAAATAGCTTTTTTTGAGTTGTTGCAGGTTGTTAGTTGTTCGCCTTCTCTTTCAATCATGTTCCTGTTGTCTTAAGACATGTCAACAGCGTCTTCACCAAGGCTATGAGCACCAACCCTCCTTCAGCTGAAGTCGCCCACTCTAGCATGTCGCCCACATGTGGAGCAAAATCATTGGTCCAACGCAGGTGCCGCATCACATCGACGAAACTCAGAAAACGTCCTGGCCGAAATCGCCCAAGGATGGGTGAACTTGCCGCAAGTTCCTGTCATTACTGAGTCATAGCCCCATTTTTGGGGCTACTTTGGTCTACACGTACCATCTTGTACCCCTAAAGTTCATGGTTTCTACTACAATCTACTGCAGTAAATAAACATTGTCGCTGTCAATCCGTGGTCTCAGTCGCAAGAATTTTGACCCCAAGCCCGTGCCACCCCCGCTGTTTCTCCGACCACGTCCTTCTTGTGGTGGGTCCCCAGGCTCCTGCACTCAGATACCTTCCCAAAAATATGGTTCCTAGTTTGAGTATTCTACGGGTTCATAAATCAGATCCAATCTAGTCTATATATATATATATATATGTATATATAACTATATATATATACAAAGATAGTCATAGAAATGGATACATATTAACTAGAATCCCCATTGATGGCACCAAGAATCAAGCATCACACTAGCCAACCCAGCTTTTCCCAGCGGTCTTGGAGAGCCGGGTGAAAAGGGCGGTATACCCATGAGTAAGAAATCAACAGTCTACTAGCAGCGAGTGTACCCAAATTTAGTAGTCAATGATCACTATTTTTTGGTGTAGCCTCCCCCATAGTGAATTAATCCGGGCTTGACATTGTTATGAACACGCATTTCATCGATGACTCAGCCACACTCTGCGCCATGTTTGATGAATGCTCCTCCTCTTGAATTGTTTGGCGGGGATGGAGCAAAATTTAAGAGCTGTGAGCTCACAAATATATATATATATATAATTATATATAATATATATATTGTTCGTTTTTTTAGACACCCGATTTCCTCGCCCATTTGCACAGTGGCCAGGACCCTGATTGAAATGATGTGACCTGAAGCCATTGGATTAGCAGGTCATTCAGAATGGCCTGGATTTCTTACCAAAGATTCCCGGTTGGTGGCGGTGCAATAAGCATCTTGAAAAATATGAGTTCGTCAATGGGAAGGATTATCCCATATATATAATGGAAAATAAAATTCATGTTTGAAACCACCATTCTAGAACCATCAACCCACCAAGACAGGTCCTCAAACTCCATTTCCGCCAGCGGAGATACAATTCTTGTCTGCCAGTTCTTCAGCTTCTCCTTCACCACTCCTCCGGCATTTCACACATGATGATATTCACAGGCCATTCCTCACCGGAAATTGTTCAAAGTTGATAAGCCGCATTGTGCAATTGTGTGGATTAACTATGGATGGATAACCATATACATGATAAATTATGATGAAATTAACTATGGATGGATACAGTAACTATCATCATTAACAATTATGATAACCATAATTAATCTAGTTGCGCTAAATTATGATGAAATTATGGATGAATTAGGATTGTTTATCGGATTGACCATGTTAGATTGGGAACAATGCTAGGCATCTACCGGATCGGCTGGTTATCACTATGGTCCCATGTTGTTTCTGGCAACATGTTTTGGGCTACCCATTTCCGGTGGCTCAACCACTCTCCAAATCTGCGTTCTGTAAAACCCACGTCGCAAATTACATCAAATTTCATGGACTTATTGTAATTGGATCCACGTAGTGAAAAATATGGCGAAATATGATGATATGTATATGATTGTAATTGATTGTATATGTGTTTTAATCAAAATGATATTCCACATGTTTCTTCTGATAGATCAGGTCATGCCCAGTTTTGGAGTCTTCCCCGGATACACGAACATTGTTCAAGAATAGGGTATCACTCTATAATTCTAGAATATTAATATTTTATAGTCTAGAGAGCACATATTTTAGAAAATACAATATCGACGCCAATTCCGTTCAACTTTTGGGAGGCTGCCAACTTCATGGTCAGAGGTGTGTCGCAGCTCATTTCGAATGTGTAATTTTGTGTAAACATAGCAAGTTACAGTATTTCTTGTAGACAGTAGCAGATGGTAATGTAATGTAGCTGGGCAAATTATAGTAAATTTCAACCTGGAAGTAAACCGGCAAAGGGGTCTCTGGTCTTTCCCTGACCAACCATCACTCATAATAAGGTCCCGGTTGATATTATTATATATTATTATCTCCCAGCGGAATACAATTCCATCTGAATACCCTCTGGTAGTCTAACATAGCTACAGAAAATCACAATTTTTAATAAGTGAATCAATGTGAATCATCTATAAATGGGCCATGTTCATCCATTTTCCATAGCTATGTTAGATTCATGGAAGGTACCCCGGGTTTTCACCATGCCAAGAATCGTTCCGCCCCCCAAACTGCATAGTTGCGCTTGCTCAGTGCGCACTGTTGGCCCGCAAAGTTGTGGTCAAAGAGCGAGAAGCACGCCTGGCGCTCCCAAACTTGGAGGTTCAGACAAACCCAAATGGTCCCAAATGGTTCCAAATGTGTCCAACTTATTCCGAAATTTGGTTTGATGATGAAATCCATGAAAATTCCTGACCCCAAGCCACAAATCTTGTTCCTACTCAGCAATGCTGTGCCTTATGATTAGCGGCTATCCAAACATGTTCGTTGTTCATGTGTTATACAGTTTTGCTCGCAATAAGAGGTAAGGCACCAGGCACAAGAACCCTAATTTCTTCCAAAAAGAGGGTGCAAAACAGGTTTCCGGTTGGATTTCATGCTATTTTTCGGGATACAGCTGTAGTGATTTTTTTCTGGGATCCCTGGAGCTTTCATGGCTCAAAATGATAGCCAAGAGGCTAGGAGTCTGGGCAACGTAAAGTGTCCTCGCAAACATTGATATGAGTCACCTCCGCCGGTTTTCAGCGTCAGGGGCAGACATCCAATTCCCATCACTGAGTCATTACAGCGATCATTTTGGTGCCATTTTGACCTGCAGTTGCCCTTGAAAATGTCGCAATATCACACAGATTTGGCGGATTTTGTAGGTATCTTATTTTATATGTGTATGTATATAATTGTATATAATATATAATTATATATATATTGTATATAGAGAGAGAGATATAGCATTACATATTCATACATATTCATACCATATTAGACCATATTTACATGGACCTTCTGGACAAAGTCAACCTCATGTGCAGTTGTCCCAATTCATCAGCAACATAATATATAATATAACCCACTGGATAAGCGTTTCTACCGGCTCCAAATCAGATGCCTGGCACCTGGATCGGATCCATAAAAGTTATTTTAACTGAAGAGTGTAAATTTGAATGCAGACAATGCATAAATATCAACGTGCTGAAATGTGCTGGTTTTCAACCAACGTTTTTGGGTGGATTCCCAATGCAGTCTCCCGGCAACGAACATCTGTTTCCAGCTCGAAAAGTTGACGCGGTTGAACAGTTTAAAACATGTTGGCGCCAAACCCCAAGTTCGGCCACACCCAAAGAACACACCCAAAGAATATCATATACTTAAGTCATCGAGGATGAATGAAAACATTGGCTATACGCAGCGATTTTGGCTCTAGGTTTTTAGGATTCAGGGTTTTAATTTAGGGTTTTTGTTTTTAAGGTTTTAGGGTTTTAGGGTTTTTGGGTTTTAGGTTTTGGAAAGCAAAAAAAAGGCTAGCCCTACGAAGGGATTTGAGCATGTCAAAGGATATGCGGGATCCGATGCGGGCAAACGTGGGGTTTGCAGCGAACATGTTGAAACGGAATCCAGGACCCAATCAAACTTCCTTCGATGAGTTTCAAACGTTTGGTGAAATATATGTTAAAATGGTCCGCTGCCTATGCCTAAACGGTTAAACGTGGTTCAACGGTTTGGCATTCCAACGCTTTGATGTTTGAAATTTCGAATTTTTGCAGGTGAATGGACCGACCCCGGGGTATTCCTGGGGTATTGAAAAAACCAAGTCGCTGTCCCATCGTAGATCTTCCTCCAAGCGCCAGTATGAAACATGTTTGTTGCCGTTGGCCACATAAATATCCAGCAGATCCTCGGATCAGCGATGTCGGACGGCGTCGGAGAAATTCTGCTGATACGACCTGGTTAATATATATATATATAGTTAATATGTTAATAATGTGTTAATAATGGGTTAATAATGTGTTAAGAATGTGTTAAGAATGTGTTAATAATGTGTTAATAATGTGTTAATAATGTGTTAATAATGTGTTAAGAATGTGTTAAGAATGTGTTAATAATGTGCTAATAATGTGTTAAGAATATGTTAATAATGTGCTAATAATGTGCTAATAATGTGTTAATAATGTGTTAAGAATGTGTTAAGAATGTGTTAATAATGTGTTAATAATGTGTTAATAATGTGTTAATAATGTGTTAATAATATGTGAATATTGTGTTAATGCTGCCTTCTGGTGAGAATTCAACTCGTGGTTCTGTTGCCACCTGCCTTGTCAACGACTCACACAGTAGTACATTTCAAAAGTGTGTAGGCACAACTGACCCTAGATTTCCCTTTATAAAGTTCATGTCCATTGGGAGGATTGGCAAGTTAGATTACAATGGAGTACATAAAATTAGATCATAACAAAATGGATGAGCAACCACTCATTGCACCAACCAAAAATCATCAAAAATCCATCTTCCAGCAAACTGGCCCAACAAATAAACCCATAATCTACACTTATATTAAATTGCAGTAACAGGCTGCGACTGCAACATGTAAACTTCAACCTCCTGCAGTCGCCCTTCCGCCCCTTCCGCGTCATGTCAAGCTGCCGAGATCAAAACGTTGAGCGCCTTTAGGTCCGGATGATCCTCCAAGCTCCCTGTGGCTCCAGCTCCCAAAGGTCGCACCAGCCCGGTGCGCGGATTGCCTGTCGGATTGTAAGAAATGGTGGTTGAACAACTCCCAAAAAAGGAGAGCTGTTCACCAAGAAAATGTGAAACGTGAATCAAGATGAACCAAGTCTAGTTGGGATTTGGACAAAGGTCCAAATTGCAAGCAGTAAATATTTTAAGATATCTGCGTTCTGCCAGTCCCAGCGACGGTAAGTCAATACTGTACTTTGGCGATGAACAGTTTTGAAAAAAGTACATGAAACTGCTCTGCTTGCAGGGCAGAGAAAGTTCCAATCGGTCCCACAGGTTTTGTTGAAGCCTAGAGTGGCTTGGACCTTGCCATATCTAAATGGGAAAACCGCAGCTTAGGGGTTGACGACTCATCATTCATCTGGTGGCTTTATGAATTATATTGAATTATCAGCACACGTGCTGCCCCATCCCGCAAAAAAACAAGATCCCTCAACAAGGCACCTCAAATAAATCAATTGACCATTGAACCAGGCTTTCTGGTATGCAATATTTGGTATGCAATGTTGGTGGGAATAGATATGTTTCATTATTTTTCATGGATTGCCCTCCCGAGAAAAACCAAAACATAGATATGAACAGCCTACCAACAGTAGATGATTTTCCCAGCCAAACCATGGGTTTAGCAATCTATCTTAGTGTCTTTTATTAGGGTACCTATAAGTCATATATATATGTTATATATATATAAGTGTGTGTGTAGCGTATATCAAGTATATATCTTTGCATATCATATCAATATTTCATCAGCCTTGATCGGATCTCAGCATCCAGTCATGCCCTCGTCGTTTTTCCAAGCCACTGCCGGCGCAGACATGCTTTCGGCTCTGCAAGAGGCCATGCAGATCCACCTGTCGCAATGGAGGAGCCAAAATTGTCACATGGCTAGGTGGCCCATTAGATTCATATCTGTCCATATCATATATTATTATATATGATAATGATGCATGTATTTCGTTCTATGATTTATCTGATTTGCTTTTTTTGTCATGCTGTATTTCCAGTTCGCAAACTGAGGAATCCACAGAAATGATGCTGCATGCTATTTCTCGGCGTTGCCACCTGTCATCAAACATGGCTTGCTGTAACCCCCCAAATGACATTCCACGATTTTCCTAGAAGAGAATGCAAATGTTGCCAGCCAGCGTAGATGAAACCAGAGGGTATCTCATCAATCTTGCTTGGTAAAACTCCCACTGCTTCGCAGGGTCATATCCCCAAGTTTCGCAGGGTTTCCCTCAAGGTGGTGTCCCCTCTGGTAAACTAAGATAGCTATGGAAAATCACCATTTGTTGAAGGTAATTCGACTATTTCTATGACCGTTTTCCATAGCTATGTGAGTTTACCAGAGGGTATACAGTTTTATCCACCATAAAACTTACAGGATGGGGCCCCCCAGTTACAAGTTGGTTTATAAACCCCATGAACCATAGTTATCTATAGTTATATCTACCATAAACCATAGTTAAGCCACTTATAAAACAACTTAGCAACAGCTTTGGGGCACTGAATGGCACCGACCCGAGATCCAAACGATCCCTGTATGGGGGCGCCTCTGGGGGAAGATCTAGCGCCCAGCGCACCAACTCCACATCCACACCTGTTTAGATAAGAACCAGCAAAGATATTTGATGATATATGGGAATATAAGAGTACATATGCATACAATTGCATGTATAATCATGTATATATATAATATTAAGCGGCAAACGTCAAAGATTCCAAACACTTAGAAGACTTAGATATTACATTATAGTACCATATGCAGCAACCATATAAAGTAAAGAGAAAAACACAACTGGAATATTCCAAGACAAATTAGTTGATGTTTCGTTTGCACTTTGACCTTTGAAGCAGCAAATAAATTAAAACTTGGAGGCTTAATGACGAGAATTGGGACTACAGGACTTGGAGATACTTGGAGATTGGAGATACTCGGAGGATTTTGGGATTAAAGGTGCAACATTGAAATTTGCATGGAAGCAATGAAGAGCACTGCTGGCCTAGGCATATTATCAGCAGAAATGTCAATGTTATCAATTCACCTTTCAATCAACGGATGAAAAAAAGAAAAGTAACAGCCACCCTGAGCCATAAGCACCCAGAAGACTTAGACTTGGGTGCACCCAAAGACTTGTGGGGTTGAAGCAACAAATCATGCGAATTCAACCATCAAGAATGGTAGAGTCAAGTATCCAAAAATGTGTTGTTGTTTTTTCGCATGGCGATCTAAGACAATGCATCGCTGTTTTTCCGGTCCCAATTTTTTTCGTCGAGTTGCAATCTCTGCCTATTTCCAGCACATGCAGCAATCGATCATCCAGGCGATCCCAATCGATTCCTGCAAGGCGATTAGCTAATCAACATGTGAAGCTGTCTATGTTCGCCGGGTCATCTAACACAGGTGCAACACACACGTATATATATATATATATATATCATATATACAGTATGTATACATGTATCAAATCATATAGTTAGAACATTGCTCTACAGTGCAGTTTCACTAATATCATTAATGGAATTCTATAATATTCTATACATCTATGTACCCTCAAGGCAACTAATATTAAGTTGCACAGCTCACATCTGCCCTGGTCCCTTGAGGTCCCCTTGCACCTTCCGCATAAAAAATATCAGTTTCATGATGTTTCATCTATGTTATACCTGGTTGTCTTGTTGGATCTTGATGGGTATTATATTACATTACATTACATTATATTATATATCATATTATATTATATCATATCATATCATATTATATTATATTATATACACACAATTACACATATATGTCTGCAAGTGCGGGAAAATAGCTGGGGGGGGTCCAAGTCCTGGTACGGGTGACCACTAAAAATCCACGAACAGAATGCACTTCTGGGTCCCTTCCTGCTGGAGAAAGGCATGATCCATGGCCCATATCGCCCCGTCTCGGCCCCTGTTCAACCCATCCCAAAAATAGGAGTCAATTTGGGTACATGATGGAGAACAGCCTTGATTACATCACCACATCATGTAGCTAAGCCATGTCAAAACTCGATTTTTGGGCACATGTGTTTTTTAAAGCACCACCGCGAGCGTTAGAAGAATATGTCTACAACTTAGGTACCTCTAAATCCACTGGTTAATCATCATTTTCCCTGATATTTGGGGTATGTAGACCTCATTTTCACACCCAAGTGATATATTGGTGTTCTTATTTTTAATATATCACTTGGGTGTGTTTGAAAATGAGGTATACATACCCCAAATATCACAAAAATATATTCCAGTGATAAGCCTATAGCCGTTATATTCCAATGATATCACCATTCTATCACCAAATATCCAGGCCTGGGAGATCTGCATCTGTTGGACCCCAAGTCATGTCTCCGTGCACGCGCCACGTGGTTTTTTCAGTGAATCTGGGCTGGGATGTTGAAATACCGTCCTAACATTAAGAGAGAGAGATATATATACATATATATATATATGTATATGTATAATATATATGTATGTATATATATATAACATATATATCCCCAAAACCATGGGTTTCAATACTAAAATGGTCTAAGTTTGGATGATTTGGGGTACTCCTATTTTCGGAACCCCATGTATATATATATACATGTATACTGTAGATATATATATATATATGTATACTGTAGATATATATATATGTATAATATAATCATTTTTACGAATATATATATATATATAAACCTCGGATGTGGGCATCATGTATATATTCTATATTTGGAATTATCAATTAATTCATCGTTTGATTTCTCCAGTGCTGATGGTGATGATCATCGACAAGTTATGGCTGAATGGGCCATTGGGAGAACGTGCGCCATGCTGGTGACGGGGCCATCCTGGCACCAGCATAGAGCCATAAGTGGCCGCGGAAATCATTGACACAGAGGACACTCTGATCCCTCTCACTTTGATCATCTTTGATCCATGATGATCCATGTATACCTCTGTGAGAATATATGGAAAAGCTTGGACTGTTAGTAGCACACAAACTTTTTCGCAGACTCCGCCTTAAACGTCCCATCACAGCACTGCAAGGCCTCCCCGGTATCGCACAAGGCGTTGAAGAGGGTGCTCTTTCCCACGTTGGGAAGGCCAACAATCCCCGTTTGCAGCCCACGGCGTTGTACTCGCCCAGCTCTGCCACCTGACACAGATACAGGATGCTGCTTAAAGCTGGAAAAAATGGCTTGCAATTTTTTGTGTGTTTTTTGTTGCAAAAATCCACTCAGAAATACCCTTACATTGCAAATCGTGCAAAGTTGTTTAGGCCTTTAAGAATTACATCCGAAATTCAAAATAAACCACTAGGCTGTTTGATTGGGCTGGGGGTGTTACCATTGAGAGAATCCCCCTAATTTCACAAACCATGGTTTATTAATCCGGCACATCTGTAAGCAAGCCATGCAGTGCGCTGTGCCTGTGGAACTTTCTCGCATGCCCACCAGGCAGCTGGCGCTGGCCTAGGGACACGTTGTCAAAATAATAGTCAATATGATTAGGAGAATATGTATGTAGATAGATACCGATACAAATGTAGATGTACATATGTATATGTGTATATATACACATATAACTTTCAATATATATATATAATTGGTAGATATCGATATAGATGTAGAACATAGAAATGTGTCAGTAGGTCACTGGGCAGCCCAACTCTCCGTGTGGAGGGGGGAAGGGGGTGAAAACGGTGAGAACTTGAAACCTGGGTGAATGTAAATGTACAATATATATATATAATATTATATATATATAAGATATATCATATATAGGATATAATTAATATATATATATATAATTAATATATATATAATTAATATATATAATATAATATATATATAATATAATATATATAATATAATATATATATATAATATAATATATATAATATAATATATATAATATAATATATACAATATAATAAACATAATAATATATATACAATATATATATATACATATATATACAATATATTATAATCCATATATATATATATCTTGTATATATATTTATATACATATATCTTGTATATATATATATAAATAATTGTGTATATGTATACACAAATATGTATCACTTCCCATAAGCCAAATGAATGATATTGTCCAGGCTTATTGGTGACCCACTGGAACAAAAAGCGCCCGGTAAGGCTTACACCAGCGACGCGGAGGCAGAGGTCCGGCGCCTGCGAAGGGTCGAACTTTGGGGTTGCCTCATAAATAGACAATATGAAGTATACATCATACATATTCATATTTATTATAGATATATATTATGATATATTATGATATATTATGATATATTATGATATATTATGATATATCATGATATATCATGATATATCATGATATCTATATATATAATGATATATAATGATATATATATATATAATTATATGTATACACAACATATGTACATGACATGATGAATGGACCAATCTCCCAGGTCGGCCTCTGGCGCACTCCGTAGCCAGCTGCCAGCATGGCTGAACCGACGGCAGCCTCACCGAGTTGATTTACGGGATCCGCACTCAAAAAATCCATGAAAATCCTGGAAAATCGCCATGTTTGGGCATATTTACCTATTGTACCACAATTGCAAACCTGCCCTGTACCACAATTGCAAACCTGCTCTGTGGACTAGTGAAAAACAATGCGCAGTGAGTGACCATGAGCTTTGCAGAATTGGGCAAGTCTGGTGGCTATTGGAAGTACTGGAAGTAATCACAAAATACACGCAGCTCCTGTTATATCATCATCGTAGCCTCCCGGAATCCAACGTGGCGGGCTGGGGGAATCCCAGAAATATCATCTACAATGGTCTATTTCCAGCGATCCATCTTTGATGAACAGGCTCGCCACTATGGAAGTGTACTGTTCAACACCCAAACAGATGCCGAAAAGTTGCAAAGTTGGTCAAACTATGTGGGAAACATCGGGGGGCTCTACACATATCTACACAGTATACTTGGATTTGCTGAAGGGGTCCCCCCCCAAAAAAACGTGACCTATAGATTCCCCAAATGGTGGATTCTCTATGGGGAAGATACAACAAAAAAACACCTTAAACAAACCCAGGTATACCATGGCAGGATGTCAAACGTAAAATTCCAGCAACTTCGAACTGCAGCATCAGCCCGGCGCAGGGTTGTGCCAGGCCATACTTGAGAATCACCCGTTGTATGTGAAACAGCGGAATCACTCTACCAACTTGAAAATCTATGGTTCATATTGATCAAAAATCATCAACATTAATACTTCAGGTTTAGATCAAATAGATATAAAATATTATAAAATGATATAAATAGATCATATGGAATCCCCATGGATATCATGGATTAAAATTTGGGACCAAAAAAACAGATCTCCCCATGTTTCATGGCAGCATCCTCCAAAGCTCCAGCCTTCAGATGGCCACTTTGTTGGTGCCGGCCACTTGCCGACAGCCCGAGCCCAGTCGGGATAGAGGGGGTGTTCACCTGGGCGATGCGAGGGGAAAAGGATGGAAAAGCTTCAGAGAAACAGATCCACCCTCTGACTCTGGTGTCAATAATCATAGCTGGGATAGTCCCTGTTGAGTTCGATCATTCCCTGCTTTAATGGGCTTTGAAAATTTCGCTCGGACATTCCCCAGCCATGTTTGATGACACTGGAGGGCATATCCAAAAATGGAACAAACCACAGGTTCAAATGGTTGAAACAATCTAAAGAAGACTCTGAATAAGACGAAATGCTTGGAGCCCTTTTGTATACGTTGTGTCTGGTTGAATTATAATTCACCACCGTGAAAATAGCCTGAAATCAGGCAAGCTATGGGGCTGATTCCCTGAATCACCATCATTCCAGTGACGTAAAACGACGTGAGGTCATGAAAATTCATCAAGATTCATAATATGTCATAATTCATCATAATTAATCATAATTATATAATCATAATTAATCATGGATAATGATGGTAGTTGTCCCACTTGGTTTTTCTCATTCCGCTTTCTTAAAGATAAGTTACTTGACACGAACCCTCAAGGGTGTTCCCCCAGTTTTCGTAAACGCGAAGTTGGTATGTTTTTTTCAACATAACTCTACTAAACAATGGGTTTGTGGTAGATACCCTCTGGTAATTTAACATAGCTATTGAAAATGGCCATGTATAGTGGATTTTCCCATTTGATTTTCATTGATTGTCCATAGCTATGTTAAATTACCAGAGGGTATGTTTATAGTTATCTATAGTTTATAAACCAACTGAGGCTTCACCGAGGTCCAGGCCGTACTACATTTCGGAGGCCTTGGACTTTGCCAATTTTGTCTGGAGATGTTCCAGACCTGCATTTCTTGCACTTGACATATGTGTTTTTTCCTTACAAACTAGTATGTCTTAATATGTCTAATATATTCTAATATGTCGTTCATGATCGCAGCTTTTTGGAGATATGTCGTTCATTCATGTTCATGTTATCTTTCTTGAGATCAATGCTGGTTCTTCTAGGCGTAAGTCAACACGGCTCTCTGCTGTCTGTTTCTTCCATCATTTCTCACTGAATTCATTCCCAGGACTTCGAAAAAATGTGGACAACTTACAGGAAACTAGGTACACGCTTGATAGACGGCCGTGGCACGAAATGGGATTTTCAGCAAAAAAATCAATGTGTTTTGACGTTCCTCATTTTGCATTGTTCCAAACTACTGCGAAGCAGCACTTCACAGCCTTTTTTCCCTCATTGTTTCAAAAGTTGTTTCAGCTCTTCTAAGAAGGCAATAGGGGTGATAGGCCCTAGACTTTGTCTAAAGACCCATTGGTTCACCATCGCTTTGACGTCGTCTGACATCAGGGTATGTCCTGCGACTTTGGAAGTCGCTTTCACATGCTGCGGCCACCAGTCATTTTTCAGTGAACGCCATGCTCTGTCTATAATCTGAGTGCCTGCCAGAGAGGTGCCATTTTTTCTTTTCAACAATTTTGCGTGTGAATTGTTTTCTTTGATGGGATACAGCTTCAACCCCAAAGCCTCTTTCTGCAGCCATCGATTCCCAAGCAACATTTCCATCTGGATATACCACCGTTGTGCTTTTCCCAACTATTCGATCCAGCAACTTGGACTCAACAATTTGAGCTTTGGTTTCTGTCGGCGGTCTCCTTGGCTGCACACATTAGGGACACGGGCATGCCAGATTGAATTACAATCTACTATATGTGAGAATTTCTTCTTGTACGCAGTGGTATCATTTTCAAATGTATAGAAGGTTTCATTGCAACACAATGTGTGTGGTATTATCGAGCAGAAGACAAGTCTTTCAAAGAAAAGTTTCTGAATGTTTCTATTTAGGCTCATATAGTATCATACATGTGAGATACATGTTTCTATTTCAGGCTCATATCAAGGAAGTGCAAGACGACATACAATAACGTAGCATCATATATGTGAGGAAGTGCAAGACGACATACAGTAGCGTAGCATCATGTATGTGAGGAAGTGCAAGACGACATACAGTAGCGTAGCATCATATATGTGAGGAAGTGCAAGACGACATACAGTAGCGTAGCATATGTATGTGAGGAAGTGCAAGACGACATACAGTAGCGTAGCATCATGTATGTGAGGAAGTGCAAGACGACATACAGTAGCGTAGCATCATGTATGTGAGGAAGTGCAAGACGACATACAGTAGCGTAGCATCATATATGTGAGGAAGTGCAAGACGACATACAGTAGCGTAGCATCATGTATGTGAGGAAGTGCAAGACGACATACAGTAGCGTAGCATCATATATGTGAGGAAGTGCAAGACGACATAAGTAGCGTAGCATCATATATGTGAGGAAGTGCAAGACGACATACAATAACGTAGCATCATATCTGTGAGGAAGTGCAAGACGACATACAGTAGCGTAGCATCATATATGTGAGGAAGTGCAAGACGACATGAAGTAGCGTAGCATCATGTATGTGAGGAAGTGCAAGACGACATACAGTAGCGTAGCATCATGTATGTGAGGAAGTGCAAATGAACGTTATTACCCCACCCCACCCAACCCCACACAATAACGTAGCATCATATATGTGAGGAAGTGCAAATGAACGTTATTACCCCACCCCAACCCAATGAGCAAAAAAGCAACAAAAGTACGCGGCCGTCTACCAAGCGTGTGCCAACTACATAAAGCTAGATGGATCCTGTAAGTTACATAGGATGTGCTGCATATAGTGTTACATATAACTTACAGGATCTATTATACATATTTGGGTTTGTCTGAAAATAGGGTATATTCCCAATTATAGCCATTTAATAGGGATAATGATCAGCAAAACCATTGGGTAAAAAGGGGTACACGACATTTTCAGACACACCCATAAACCATGGAAAATCACCATTTATAGTGGTTAAATCACCATTTTCCTATGGTTTTATAGTAGAATCACCACAAATATGTGGATGCCAAGAGCCCCTAGTGTTACGAATCTCTGAGCACTTGACAGAGGCCGGATCCCAGCCGAGGCGCCTCAAAACGAAAACGATCCGACCATGCCATGATGGCTGAAGCGACTGGACAGCTAAGATACATCTAGCTGAAATATAGACATTAGATAATATTTACAGTATATATACATATATATGATTATAATGTATTATATTATATTATAATGTATTATAATTGGCTATATATGATCAATTATGATCATATATGTACAGGTGTACACGCGATTTACGACTTGAAATGCCGGTTGATGATATGAGGGAGCTTCCCCTTACAAGCATCAGTGACGTTGCTTTGTGCTCCTTACAATCCAGAAATTGATGGAATGGGCTGTACAGGATCCACAACCAGCCAACCCCCTGCCCAGAAGACACCAATAAAAACTGAAACTCCACTTGATCGTTTCGCCGCAGGGACTCACCTTTGCTAAGAATGGTGCTGGCTTGCAGCATGGCGAAGAAACAAATGCAGGACTACAAGAACAACAAATCTAAAACCATTCAGCCTGAAAAAAACTTGAGCCAAGGGAAGGGCCAAAGCGGGCCAAAACGGCCAAAGTGCAGCACTAAAAAAGGTATGTAGAGCAGCTATTAACTCCCCTTGAGACTCCATAATCTGGACAAACTATACTGTGTAATGTCTATGTTTTTTGATTTTTATCTATAATGTTTACCTCAAGTTTGAACCTATTTGGGAGTGGTTTTCTCATACTGTACTCATCCAAATAGCTGGTGTAGATTGGTGTAACCGCTAGTATACCTGTATGTTCATTCCCCCCAAATCAATCCAAATCTGGGCTTTGACCCACCCTAAATCCAGCACTTACTCACCATCTTCTACAATGGCCATATCTTGCGGCAAATCCATGGAAATCGTGGAGTATTTTTCTACCCATTCCCACATTGGAACTGCCAGACGATCCGCAGGCAATGGATTTTTCAGCCAGCTGGCAGATGTCAAGGAGTCTAGGCGCCCGCGGTCTCCTCGGGCCTTGAACTGTGATTGTTTAGACCATTTGTAAATGACTGGTGATCAAGGGAGAAATATCACGAGTGATCAAGGGAACCCACCATACCAACCCAAATTCCCACCCATATAAACTGGGGCTTTATGAATATTACTTAGATCATCCCACGAATTGTGGTCAGAACCCATTGCTGGGATAAGCCACTTGGGGGACTGACTACCCAGGCTTCTGAACGGCTTACGACGCGTGTGATGATTCAAGTAGACCAGGAAAGTGGTGATGTGTAAAAGCGTTCGCTTCCGCGCATTTGGATGAACCAAAACTCATCAATGTAGACAGAGGTGCTATACCACTTGGGGATATGGGTGTTTTAAAAACATTCAAACACGATAGCCTAAATCTTGTGGTTAGGCATCCTTGTCACCATGAAACGTGCCATTTTCAGTATCCCCTTGTGTTTGGACAAATCATGACAAACCCATCTCTTTGTCAGGCGGTATTCTCAAAAACGTCTGGGGTTGGATCATGTTTTGAGCACTTTTTCATTCCCAGATCCCACAGACTTCCACCGACACCCACAGATATCCACAAGCGTCCACAGACTATAGTACATGGAATGTACATGGCTATATTAGTAACTCTCAGAATCCTGGAAGATAAGACTACAGTATATAGTTTATCATCATGTCATCTCGATTTTCAGGCTTGCCTAATCCAACTTCCGTCCCAGGAGCGGCTCCACACCCAAGATGTCCGCAATCATCTTGGGACCCTTCACTTTGTTCACCACTCGACCAAACTGGTCTTCCTCTCCCCTCAAGGTCCTGGAGCGGTAGTTGACCGTCTTTTAAGGCCGCCCCATGACTTGAGTCATTGGGTGCCCTTATCCAAAAAATATGGCTCGAGGGCCTTCAGCAACTCCTTATTAAGCCATATTTACTGGTGCTTAGCAGGGAATGAGGGAATGATCCACAATAACTATCAATAATCATCCCATTCCCCCATTCCCCCATTCCCATCCATTCCCTACTAAGCACCAGTAAGCCATATAGGGGCTACATTCCACTGAACCCTTCTCTGGCCTGACATTTGGACCGAAAGGGCATTCGTCGAAGCAGTCGTATTCCGCGACCTCCGCCGTACGTCCAAAAAGCCTCCGTTCTTCCCCTATACTGGTTCGCTAATAGGGATTCCCTGAATGGATTGCAAGAAATTCCCACTGTGTTGGATAGTATTGGATATCTGATATATATATATACATATTATATATAATCATATATATATACGTAATTATATATGATCTCCCATCATGATCAACCAATAAGGATCAACCAACAGGGGTGGTTTTTCACAGTCCTCCAGTGGATGTGCCCATGTCATGCGGGACCCGGGACAGCCCGGGACCCACCTCGATGCCAGTGCCTTCTGCCAGGGCCTCAAACTGTTTCTTCAGTTTCTCTCCGCCACCCCGTCCTTGGAGGGAGAACCCTACCGGAAACATCCCAAGATACCTGGCTGAAACTGGGAGGCACATCATGACGATGGCCGAAACTGGCTGAATGCACCCCAGGATGAAATGCAATGTATCCTGAATAGTTGGATGGTTGTGTCAAAGTTTGCGGCTGGCGGCATGCAGCAATTTAATGCACCTTCCGAGAAACCCCTTCGTAATGCGCCAAATCTATTTTTGCTTGATCTTCTAAACGATACTTTTTTTGTGTTGCGTTTCCCAGCCATGATTTTAAGGGCAAACGTGTCCGTGTCCCAGCTCGCCGTCCAGCTTCTTTTGCAGTCTCTGTGGATGCAGATTTCGACTTTCGTGATTTCCTGCCTCATTGCGTGACCATGTGGGCAGGCGAAAAAAAGCGGAAGGGGAAATGATGGGAAATGGGGATCCCAGAATACATATACCCTATGGCCCTATGGATACCCTATGGTAAACTGGTAAACCATGCTAGTCTGGCAATGGAAAGCCTAAATCTTCAACAGGTCAATTAGTTGCACAATCCACATATAGGATTTTTCCATTGTCAAGTTAGTCTACAGTACCAAAGGGCAAATGGTCTAGCTTAGTCGTCGAATGTCGTCGAAAGAAACCCATGGGGTATCCTGAGTTTTTGGACATTCAGAGGTCGTGCCATCTACCAAAAACAGCGATTTTTGCGTCAGGCTGAGCCATCTACCGTCGCTATTTTCTTTTTTTTTGCGCCATCTATGATCAGAGCGGAGTATCCAAAACAAATTCCAACAAAAGTCTTCCATTTTACCCACTTACTACCCTCCGGTCAAACATGGCTTGCTGGGAAATCCGCCATTTAGTTCCATGTTTTTTCCCGTTCAAATGTACATTTTGTTCGGGGATTTCCCCAGGAGCCCACCATGTTTAATCACCGGACGGCAACCACTCAAACATCTCAGCTATTATTTACATCCCATTAAATTATATGAATGAAAAACATGGAAAAACATCCCATTAAACCAACATGATGTCCCATTATCTCATGATATCTCATGTCATAGTTGTTGGTTGCTTAGTTGATGTTAGTTGTATCCCCAAATTCCCATTCCCCATCAAATATATATATATGTATTCCATGGAAACCCCATGAAAATACCTATAGTTCATGGTTAAATCCCATGATATTCCAATGATATTTCCATAGCCAGGCACTCCGCCGCACGTGCCACTCGTGGCATGCAGGCACTTTTCGCACGCAGGGGGATCACGAAGGCCGCGCCTGCCGTGCAGACAGCTATGATCAATATGTGGTTTAACACAATTAAGAACAAAGATCATAATAGATCAAAAGAAACAATCAAGTACGTAATACTAATAATAGAATAATAGAAATAATGATAATGATAATGATAATGATATAAATATAAATATATACAGTATATATACGTGTATATATATATAACAGGTGTGTTAGGTAAAAGTATGTGATCTGGGAGTATCATGCACGGTGTCTTGTTTATCACTGTGGCCCACACAGATGTGAGACACTCATTTGGGATCAAAGTAACCGACGGAGAGATCTAGCTAAGGCGGCAGTATGAATCATCGACAGAGATATTCACTTCAACAAGATTCAAAAAAGATACTTATTATTCTTTGCCACAATCTGAAAAGATACTTTCAGAAAGAGACGTCAACCATGAGAAGCAATCAGTTCTGATTTTTACCAATAAAAATAGGCACAAAATGAGCAGCAACTGAGTTCTCTATAGCAAAATCTCATCGAGAAACACTGTGCTCGACCTATCTTTGATATCCTAGAATCAGATATTTCATGAGTTAATAAGACTTAATATTACTTAATAAGTTAGAAATCTCATTGATCCCTAGTTGATGGTTTAAATCCCATTATCTATCCAATTGTACACCGTCGGATCGCCTAGGAAACATGCCAGGCACAGCCATAAGACCACCTGAGAGCGCGAGGGCGCTATGGAGTTTCTGGCAAAAAAAAACATGGATCTGAATGGTTCGTAAAGGCCCATCTAAATGATAGTTTTCATTGGAAACGGTTGTCATTCCTTGTCCAAACATCTCGTTTTGGGGGTTGCTATACAAGCAAATTTGAACATGTTTGAACCATATTCATAGGATGCGTGTCCACTGTGTGTGTGTGCATGTGGATGTATATGGACAGCTGAGGTGGTTCACCCCCCTGGTCTCAAATTTCATGCAAGCGGCTCCAGGCCGCCCCATGATTTCGCGGTGCGGAGGGTGTTGTCGTTGATGTTTTTTACATACCATCATTTATGGCCAATCAATAGGAAAAATGATGATGAATCAGTGGATTCAGGGGTATACCGTATACAGTAACGTATAATTTCAGACAAACCCATATGTTTCCTTAATTAGTGTGTGCTTTCATTTGGTTTTCTTTGATGTCTTCTTGTCGTTTTTCTGTCCATATAGTCATTTAAGCGGAGTATCATGTGTAAGTGTTTGTCTTGAAAAATGGTCCCAAGTTTGATTCGAAGGAGGGTTTAGAGTCGAAGCAAGAATCTTCAACATGTTTAGAGAACTGTTAGAGAAACATGAGAAAACACACAAATAGAAAGGAAATGCTGGCGAAAACAGAATATGCTGGAAGGTGGAGAAACAAATGAAAACATGAGAACAAGGGCGAGGGTGAAATTACTTACAGATACTTACAGTAGGTGGTTTGCATGCTGCTGTAAATCAACCCTTCCAAAAAAGCGGTTTCATGACTATTCGGACTCACTAAAACTCAGACAGAGGGATTCCGGACAATTTATCAATCAATCCCAAAGCATAAAGCCATCTTGGACGGATCTAAACAATTTCTGAGGCTTCGTCTGCAACCGAGTCATCCACCAAAAAGGGCTCCAACAGCCATCAAAAGGCGCAGATAGAACAGGTGGAGCCTCCCTAAAACGATGAGTCGTTCAACACTTCAGGGGGATCCTTCCTGGTTGGTGGTTGACCTACCCCTCTGAAAAATATGAGTTCGTCAGTCGGGATTATGAAATTCCCAACTGAATGGAAATTCATAAAAGCCATGTTCCAGTCACCACCAACCAGCTTCCAGTCTCCCGATGGACATCCTATAGCACATTGCAGGGTCTCCCAGTCTCCCGATTTTTCTGTCCGGCGAGTAATGAAGAGACATCATGTCTGGTTGGCGGATTCAGCCCCGGGAAATAGATGACAGGCTGGTGGTTTCACCATATTCCAAGAATATGTATATAAATAAATATATACGTACATAATAATATAATATGTACATAATTATATATCGTATATAATATATTATATATAATTATGTGCATCCCATATGTGGTTGAAATCAACTGTCTGAAACCATCAAGCATATTTCCGCTACAGTAATTCTGACTTTTGGATGGAGATGACCTACATGACCTGCCTTTGATGGCACAGCCATGGCATAGCTCTCGAGCTTTGGTCAATGCTCTTGAAACGCCGCCTGGAAACACTGCGTGCGCTACACTCTTCGATTGGCTCCGTGTTTGATCTACTGTCTTGAGCACGATATCATCTATCTAAATCGCTGATCGGCCGAGTAGTGGTCTCAAAAAAAATGACCCATACCATAATTTGTTTAGTTCTATCCATTTCTATCCTCATCACAATTTCTGGTGAAATGAATAATTCCTGTTGGTGAAATCCTCGTGTTGTTTTTTGTATCGTGGATGTTACTTCTTTCATCGAAACGGTTTTTTGAAAGTAAACAAACAAGATCAAACAACCAATCATTTCAAAATCAATGAAACATCGGTTTTCTGAGGATCCATCACAAGTTTCCGAGAAAAAAAAAGTCAAATCGAAAAAGTCTTCTGGATCCACCATAATTTCCATAGCTTTCAGGACCTCCCGGCCCTCAGAGCTCCTCACTGCGTTCCAACATCTCCAGCACCGCAGCCAGCTCCACAGGCAGAGCTGCCTCCAGCGAAATGAACTCCTCACTGGACCAGTCGAGGAGCCTTGGCCGTTTCACCATGCTGGCCGTTTTTTTAACCCATTCCTATCTGAGAAAAACTCCCAAAGTTCAACCGTTCAATGGTTGTATGAATGCAACTGTAACTGCCAAGCATGAATACATTGAATACTATATCACATACATCTATAGTCATCTATATCACATATACTACATAATCAGTGTGTAGTCATATAGGATCATATAGGTGTATTTAGACCTTTCGCAAACCTGTCTTCCCGCCCTTTTTCTTGCACCAAAAAAAGCAGTCGACTCGAACGACTCCCTGATGGATCAACGATTGCTGGGTGGAACAGTCAAGGCTTTTTTTGTTGGTCACCAGCTGCGATCCTCTCATGCTGCGATATGTTGGGTAAATCGGGTAAATCAGTTGTGCGATGGCTGGTGCAGAGGTCAAGGTCAAGTGAGGCCTACAGGGAAACACAACTCCCACAAAGATATATACAGTACATGTTGAATAGACTACAGTGACTACAGGTCCATGTATATAATGTGGGTAAAACAATATAGTAAATTACTATGTGGGAATGTTTATACCACCTATAAAAATTGTGATTTAGGCGATGGTTTATTATTGTTTTACCCACCTTAGTGCCAGAAAACCACATGTTTCATGTTTCATCATCTTTGCCGCGTACACCCCCGGTACGACTTCAAGAAACTCCAGTCGCAGGCAATGAAGGAAGAGACGTTGACACCAAGCTACACGCTGGAGGCCGTACTGTCCTTGGTGATTTGTGGTGAATTTTCGTCCAAAAATGAGGTGTGAGAAGCAAACGATGATGATCCAAAGCATGATTAATCTGATATTTCAAACAAATATGAAGTTCGGCTGGGTTAGACAGATATACTATATCATCTATAATATCGTGTTTTAAAAAAAATCTTCCCCCAGTTATAGAAGAAAACGAAACTATTAAAGGATCCAACCGTGATCATCAAGTGGTAAATTTCGGTGTGTAGGCACCGTCGGCTCCCTACCAGTGGAAGTTGGATTAATTTTGAGAATTACATATGTTATCCGTGGATATCAACACAAATGAAGGCCCATAGAACCGCAAATGATTAGAATGATATGGGGAACGATAAGCAGGGATAGTAAAAAAAATATGGTTGGAAACCACCAAGTAGTACAACCCCAAATTCAACATGTAACAGTGTAGCTCAATAATTTGCAGTTTGCAAGAGTAGAATATAATCTCTGGGAGCCCATTATTCAGATTCCATGTCCGATTCAGGGAGTGTACCCTCTGGTAATCAAACGTGGCAATGGAAAATCCTCCCAAAATTGTGGTTTTATTGCGAAAACCATCTAGAAATGGGAAATTTTCCATTGCCATACCGCGTCAATACCGCGTCAAAGCACAAGGTTTTGCTGGTTGAACGCCCCATCAATGAACCCAATCTTGGGGATACAACCGTCCCAGACACGGTCTCCCACTAAGGGACAGCCAAGGCTAGCCATGTGGGCTCTGATCTGGTGCATTCCTTGGAAAATCATGGCAAATCATCCATCTCGATGGATATATGATGTGACTTTTTTGGGGATCCCATGGAATTCTGGATGATTCATGTATTTTCAGTTTTTTTGCATCTGACCTATACAATAGTGCGCACCATCCAGTGTCTCAACCAGGTCTCCCATCCTGATCCCAGGGAATTCCCAATGGAGTCCATATCATGTCCTCCCAGCAGTCTGGATAAATGCATCCATCTCTGGCAGAGTCTGCTGGAGAGGCTGCTCCACATGGATTATAATAATGCACTTGTCCTGAAATATCTCGTGGATATTTCACCAATGGTATTTCACAAGAATCAAAATTGAAAGTTTATGTCATCATATCTCATAAAGATGGTATTTGGGGATGGTATAAAATATGGGGATGCTAATTATATCATTATAAAATATGGGGATATAACATCAAATTACATCTCATATTTTATGATATACCATCCATATTTTATATCCCCATATTTTATATCCCCATATTTTATACCATCCCCAAATACCATCATCAAATATACCATCCCCAAAAGATATCAAAAGATCCAAAAGATCGCTTGGAGCACTGAGGCGCGTCCGGTTTTGGGTTTCGCCTCCACCAAGGAGTAGACCGTTCGCGTTCGCCCGGGGCGGTACTGCTTCAGCACCTGGGCGGTTCACCCACCAGGCACCACGGAATGACATCCCACAAGACCCTGGGAATTTGAAACTTGGTGAGTTTTTCATCTACCTCAATTTTTATTATGCATGTAATTATACATTATATAATATATATATAATTATATATATACACATAGATTATGTATTCATACATATCATTTTTGTCTACATTCCAATATGAAGTGGCCCACATGCAACATCAAATCTCGGAGAAAAAAATGGATGAACAAGCAAACCCATTGGCTTCGACGAAACCATGATAAACCATGGGAAACCATGGGAAATGGGTGGCTCCCTTGGTTTAAACCCACCCCAGGCCCCCCAAGCCCCGCCTTGTAGACCGTGACGGCCTCCCTCCCGTGCTCCTCGTCGACCAGCGCGCGCGCCGCAAAGCCAGGTGCGCCGTCGTCGACGCGGAGGGGTGAGGCGATCAGCTGTTCGGATCCAACCTGAGCTATAAGCAGAGACAATGGGAATATATAAACATATGTTCAAAAGTTATAATAACCATATATAATACATATGTAACCTGACTTTTATATATATATATATATTATAACCGATTAATTATAATTACCTATGTTCATCTATTTGAAAAGACACATCCATATAGATGTTTATGGATCCGATGAGAAATACGGAAAAACATGACGACATCCCACCTGTTTCAAATTGTTTCATGATCACCCCCCTGCAGCTGAGGTGCCACCCCCGAGCCGTGACACAGGCACAGGTACTGCTTCTTGGCCAAACGCCCCGCAAACTGGGCTTTGAACCATCCTGAGTTTGGCGACAAAATAACAGCCATGGTCCTGGCTGAGAAGATCAAAAAAATACATGGGATTTCATGGGGATTTTCATGGGGGATTTTAAGAGATAATGCGGGTGTTGCAGTAGATAACCATAGATAACCACGAAAGAAAAAAAGAACAGGTGCAATTCATCATTATTTCAGAAACGGACTTCGTTTTCGCATCTTGTTTGGGGAATTCGTAGTAAGCACTGGAGGATCAACATATTACATATTCAATCCCAACACTGGAGGATAAATAGTGTTGCATTGTTTTGCTATATACTATATATCTATGGTTCGTGTTTTCAATCCAATCCGTCCCAAAGTCAATTTGCTCGGATCATCCCAGACATGACATCCTCCCCTTTTGATGGCTGATCAACCATGTTCTAGGAAAAATACGACGCTTGCCACAGAGGAGGTAACCCCTCTATTAACCAATCAGTAGGAAAAGGACATCTATCCACTGTAAGCATTTTGGCACTAAGTCACTAATTATGGATTGTTAGAAATATGGATGATGTCTAAAATTCTACGGTATATAGATGCACATTTATTGTCAGTGCAGATCATTGATGCCCAACAGTCGCCACGTGTTCATTACCATCGGAGAAACCATCCCTTTGGGGATAAGCAATGAATGAGGTGGTTGGTTTTGTATCCCATAATTGTCCCACAATTGTCCAATATTTATCCCATAGGTCACTATCTTTGATTGGCTTCTACATTTACCTATTTATATGATAATAAGAATAATCAATAGTCATATAATGTCATATATAACATAATGATTGATCATCCGTTATCATATCCACTTGATGTTTAAATGCATGAATCACATCCATTTATAAAATGATAATGCCGCTGATACTGTATACACTATAGTATGCTTTGTTCCTGCAGTACTAAATGTACGAATCATATCCACTTCATTCTCACTATAGACCATAACATCAAATAACACATAGTAGTGCTATTACCATATTGTAGTATATCATTACCATTATCAATCTGTATAATGTGGTAAACCCAGTTTCATCAACCCATCCCCAAAATCACCACAAATGGTTTGCAAAGGCCCTCCCCAAATAGTGGGTTTATGGCATCCGGTGAATCCCACATTTAATAACCAACACTAACCATTTTGAGTAAATCCTCATAAATCATCTGGTGGCTTCCTAAAATAGTGGATCCCAATAGCTAGATGGTTTATTTCATCCAACATCCGAAAAAAAACTGGATGATGACTGGGGTAGACTTAGGAAACCTCCATATCCCATTCACTCCCATATACTGCAACTAATTACTGGTTAACTAACATACTTATGGTTTCTTATGGTATAAATGACCCATTGATAGTTGATTTACCATTGATTTACCTATCAAAAAACCATAAAATCCTCCGAAGCTCGGCTACTTGGACCTTCCAGCGCCACAGGCAGCAGGCCGCTGGTCCCCGCATCCAGCCGCGAGATGCATGTGGCGTGGCATGGCTCCAGGCGTTGCTGCAACGTTGCCAGCCTGGGGCCACTGTCCAGGTCAAGGGACCCTTTCATGGCTAGAAAAATCATGGGGATAGGATGGGATAGATGAGACTTATATATTATTTTTAGATATCTCTATGTGTTCAATGTGATTTATATCATTTTATATGATATCCTTAGCTGATTGATTTTTGAAGTGATCAGAATATGTAAACTAGCCTAGAGCAATTTGGGAAATTAACATGAATATCTATAGGAATATTTATGTGTTTGCTCGTACGCAAACTGTCATTCCATTAAATATCGAAGCGGTTGAAGTTGCACGCTGATTCCATTACATGCATAGCGTGGTTACGAACGGGATTTCCCAGTGCATGATAGTTCATGGATGATGATCATCGCCAAATTTGGGTCGTATCAGCCCACCATCTACCAACAGGACCCCTGTTGTGACCTTGCTTTGCTGATGAATCCCGACGGGAGTCCCAGTTCTGAGTGAGACCGGAATACGCCAAAGATTGTCAGCCATTGTCAGTCGTTCTGAAATGTCAAATATCAAACATTAAATTCTATATAGATATTATAGATATTATAGATATTATAGATACTATAGATACTATAGATATTATAGATATTATAGATATTACAGATATTATAGATATTATAGATATTATAGATATTATAGATACTATAGATATTATAGATATTATAGATGTTATAGATATTATAGATATTATAGATATTATAGATATTATAGATACTATAGATATTATAGATATTATAGATATTATAGATACTATAGATACTATAGATATTATAGATATTATAGGTATTATAGATATTATAGATATTATATATATTATAGATATTAAAGATATTAAAGATATTATAGATAGTAAAGATAGATAGATAGATAGATAGATAGATAGATAGATAGATCGATCGATCGATCGATGGATAGAGATAGATAGAGATAGATAGAGATAGATAGAGATAGATAGAGATAGATAGAGATAGATAGAGATAGATAGAGATAGATAGAGATAGATAGAGAGAAAGATAGAGAGAAAGATAGAGAGAAAGATAGAGAGAAAGATAGAGAGAAAGATAGAGAGATAGATAGAGAGATAGATAGAGAGATAGATAGAGATAGATAGAGAGATAGATAGAGAGATAGAAAGAGAGATAGATAGAGAGATAGATAGAGAGATAGATAGAGATAGATAGAGATAGATAGAGATAGATAGAGATAGATAGAGATAGATAGAGATAGATAGGGATAGAATGGGATAGATAGAGATAGCTAGAGATAGCTAGAGATAGCTAGAGATAGCTAGAGATAGATAGAGATAGACAGAGATAGATAGAGAGATAGATAGAGAGATAGATAGAGAGATAGATAGAGAGATAGATAGAGAGATAGATAGAGAGATAGATAGAGAGATAGATAGAGAGATAGATAGAGAGATAGATAGAGAGATAGATAGAGAGAGATAGAGATAGATAGAGATAGATAGAGATAGATAGAGATAGATAGAGATAGATAGAGATAGATAGAGATAGATAGAGATAGATAGAGATAGATAGAGATAGATAGATAGATAGAGAGATAGATAGAGATAGATAGATAGATAGATAGAGATAGATAGATAGATAGATAGATAGAAAGATAGATAGATAGAAAGATAGATAGATAGAGAGATAGAAAGAGAGATAGATAGAGAGATAGATAGAGAGATAGATAGAGAGATAGATAGAGAGATAGATAGAGAGATAGATAGAGAGATAGATAGAGAGATAGATAGAGAGATAGATAGAGAGATAGATAGAGAGATAGATAGAGATAGATAGAGATAGATAGAGATAGATAGAGATAGATAGAGATAGATAGAGATAGATAGAGATAGATAGATAGATAGATAGAGAGATAGATAGAGATAGATAGATAGATAGATAGAGATAGATAGATAGATAGATAGAAAGATAGATAGATAGAAAGATAGATAGATAGATAGGTTGATTGATTGATTAATTCAGTGGGGATGGAACGAGGTGTCCAAGTTTGAGACAACGCCTTCAATGTTTGTGGATTGATACACAACAGAAGAATAGTGAGGAAGTAAACCAAAAAATAAGGTTTTGAAGCAAGAAACATTAAGGTTTCACATGTCCCCAGTAAAGCAACCAGAAATGGGGTTTAGCAAAGTAAAATGCAGCTTTGACAAATGAAAAGATCGGCGAAACCACCAATCCGGACTTTACAGCAAAACAAAATGGACCTTGAATCAGCAATCATGATGGATATTCTTTTTAAAAGAAATGAGATACCCTCTGGTAAATTAACAAGACCCTGAAAATGACCCATTTATAGTGGAAACTAGTCTTCCAACGCCTATCTGCCAGAGGGTAAGTGATAAGTGGGTTTTCGCTAACTTTTTTGGAGCGTGGGCTCCAAGCAGACAAGTAGCAGGTCCTCAGTCAACACGCCAGAAGCCTTGTTCAGAAGCACCAAGCCTTCGACTTGAAGGATCACCTCTAAACCCGACAGCTCCTCTGGCAGATGTCCCAGGATTGAAAAGAAAAATCAGCAGGAAACCCCAAAAATTGATGGTAAAAAACATGATTCCTCTAGATTCTCCCTTCTTATATAACCCAATCCGTTTGATGAATCAGGAGACCCAATTACTTGACCCGTCCATCACCGTCATCGTCATCGTCATCATTCCCACCACCACCAGCAGCAGCAGCACCACCATCATCATCATCAACAACAACAAGATCACCATCATCATCATCACCATCATCATCATCAACAACAACATGATCATCACCGTCATCGCCATTGCCATCGCCATCATCAATTATACCATATCAGTGAAACATCAGGCATCAACAAAAATACCAGGAGGGATCCTGCACCATCCAAATTTTGGAGAAAAGCTACCCTGGAACTCATACACCATTTTTGGATCGGCCAACGCCGTACCAATGGTTCCACTAAACCGTCAAAACTGATCTAAACTGGGTATTCTTAGCATCTAGAGCCATCCGCTGATCCTTTTCCCATGGCATGGCCCAGTCCTCCATCAGCTTTGCGTCGCCGGAAGCATCCAGCCACCCTTTGCAGATCGCCTTCAGTTGCTCCACCGCTGCCGGCTCCCCCAGGGTGCGCTGCACCGCACCCACCACAGCGCCCACACTGATGCCGTCGACTGGAAGGGTCTGCTGCACCATAAGAGATAGCAGCTGAAGGGCATGCTGCCACTTCCTTGGGGTCAGAAAAATTGAAGTGGAAAGCAAAATCCTTTTGAGCACGAAAAGGATCGAAAAGGATGGAAAACGAAGAAGAAACTGAAAGAGAGGGGAAAACGATAGAAAAGGTGAATCAGCGCTCACAATCGCAGTAACAACATTTCACATGGAAGAGGCGTTCGATGGAAAAATCAAGGGGTGTTGGATCATCTTGGCCACGTTTCCCGGCCGCTTCACATGCGCTCAGGGCAGCGCTATGTGCAAAGACGTCAGGGGGACAGGCGCCTCTGCCGTCGGAACGAATCCGCCAGGAGAGATGTTCATCAAAAGTTGGGATATGTTTTCTTGATGCATTAAAAGACTCTCTCATATGTGTATGTGTGTGTATAGTATAGTATACATATACATGTATCTATGTGTATATATATATAATTATATATGTATAATATGTAGAGAGAGAGAGAGAGGGAGATTCATACAGAGGAGAGAGAGAGAGAGGGAGATTCATACAGAGGAGAGAGAGAGAGAGAGAGGGAGATTCAGGTGGTGCGTATATGGACATATAGATTTGCCTAATCCTAAATGACTAGAGTAGAATGACTTATAGTAGAGTTTACATCATCTCCTCAAGGTGTGGGGGAAGATTCAATGCAGAAAGGTCAAGAGAGCCAGTCTCAAGTTGAGCCAGTCTCAGGGGCCAATAGCTAATGGCCAGTTTGCAAGTCTCCCAATTTCTGCCAATATGGGTCTCTCTGAACACGGTGTACAATGGCAAGTTTTTTGGGGACAATTTTCTGGTCGACCAATGGATTTTTAGAGATTTTCCCCTAAATTTTCAGACATCTCCCCATATATCTCCCCATACAGAGGTTTCCATAAATGGGGGTACCCCATGGTACCCCCAAAATCATCCATGTAATCTTCGGATTTTCCATGAAATAAAGCATCCAGCTATTGGAGTACCCCCATGTCCCATATCTCCCCATATCTTCCCAAACATGTCACGCCTAGCAGGTGAAGGGCCCATCTCCACTCCCCTCCATTGCTACATGCCGAAATCATCGCTGAGCCCGTCGCAGCATCTGCCAGCACCTTCCAATTTTGTCAAGGGGATGAGGTGAATTTCGCTGCTTTACTAGGATCAAAAGTGGGCTTGTTGTATGTTGTTCACTGCCTCTGGTGAAATGATTCAACTGAGCAGTTGAACGGAGGATTATGAACTAATCACTCATCGACGATGGGAATCACCATTCGCGAAACAACCAGGAGGGGATTGGGGACAAGCTGACTTAAAACTGAGCACTGCTCAGCTGGTGCTTTCCAACTGAGTTGCTGGAGGCGGTCCGGATATTGGGTACCCATGGGTACCCCCAAATCCCATGGCGTTTATCACGTTCTATTGACATTGATCAACCTTTTCTCCGTGATCTAACGGCAATTTTTGGGCTTTGCTGATGTTTGCCCCATGTGGGCAACCCCAAAACGGCACCTGATGGGACGTCATCTGCTGCAAAATCCGCAGCGAGACTTGCCACTGACCCACTTTGGCGCAAGCCGCAATGGCCGCACTGAAGGGAAAGGCATCCTTGGTGTTTGAGCCATTCATGATCCCGACATATCCTGAACATACCGAAATATAGAGGTCACTTTTGAGAATCGTCTCATCCCAAAGAAAAACAACATAACTGAGGTCTACCCCAAATCCACCAGTGTCTCTTCATTTTCTCCATGTAAAGTCATTTTGATGGAATCCCGGTCTCCCCCAAACCTGTGTTGCGTTGCCAGCATCCAGTTGCAGCGCCGCCATCCGCAGCTGCTGCAGCAGGGCACACGCCACTCGCCATTCCGCCGCTTTCTCACAGGCCGAAATGGCCGCTGAAAACGTCACGGTGGCAGCCAGGTCATCTGCCTGGGACAGCAGATGCACCGCTGCCTCCCATTCTGCAGCTTTTTCACATGCACTGATGACGGCACTCACACTCACCTGAGATGAGAGTCCTCCTGAAAGATTTTGAAAAAATTGTGAAAGTAATTAAAGTCAGTTTGAATAGGTAGGTGTCCAAAATAGATTCAAATCATAGGCTTTTCCAGATGGAAACAGATGCTTGAAGCCCACCAAGCCACAGTATCCAGTTGCACCGCCAGCGTCTGCATCTGACTAAACAAGTCCAGGGCTGCTGTCCATTGCCCGGCTTTCTCGCAAGCACTCATAGCAGCACTGAAGACAATGGTGTCCGCAACAACTTGATCCTTGCGCATGTCGCCTAGAAGACTCAAAGCCACCTGTGGCAGATCAACCATGAGGTCTCAGGGTGAGAAGCGAGGGGACCTGGCAGTATCATCCATCAATACTGATCTTGCTGGTCACCTGACTTGTGGGACTTGTGAGGATTCCGAAGACTTCAAAAAATGCCAGTTTTTCCATCCTCCTCCCATCCCTGAAAATAGAGATGAAAGCAGGTGCAATGCAAATGCTGCTGACACCCAGAAGATCCTGAAGGTGAGATCAAGGGCTCATCACACTTCCAGCAGCACAAACTTCAGTTTGAAGAATGAGAGAAAAAAAGGACCCCAACCAAGACTCTCGCAACAATTGGTCAACAGCAACCCTTAGCTTACTTGCCCCAGCCTTGTTGCTAAAAGATGTTTGAACCGCTTGAACCCCCATGTTTGTTGGTTAAGACTCACCACTTTTCGTGGTTTAACATATTTTAATATTTTAACTGTTTCACAGCTCCAATCTCAATGGTTTCCCCGTTCAAATTGTCCCGCCCCCAGAATTCCGCACCGTCCAAGCCCCGGCCCGTGCGCAGGCGCTGATTGCTGAGCTGAACGTCACGGTGCTGCGGGGAATTTCCTGCACCACCATGGTGCCCAGAAGCTGCAGGCCACACCTGGCAGCGTTTTGCAGCTGCACAAATGTTCATGGCGATTTTTTGGGGGGTGGATCATCGTGTTCAATATGCCATGCTGGGGGAATCATGGGCGTCATCTTCATATACTAGGGCTGTGCCACAGCCGCCACAAGTGGGTACCAGGCAAGAATTGTGCGGCTCCAGTTTTACATGGCCTGGACAATTTAGTTTGATTTAGTGACATTTTGAGATTTAGTAACATTTAGTTGGATTTATTTAAGATTTAAAAAATCATGAAATACCCATCCAGTTGATTTCCATGGACGACCCATGTTTATATTGTGATGGCCTAAGCTACCCTCCCGCAAACTGTCACATAGAGAGCTGCAAACCGAACATGTGGAAAGCCGTTTCCATGTTTGCTTTTCGATACCTATGATGTATCATGTTGTATCTATGTATGATTCCTGGGAGGCTAGTCCCCGCAAGATGGAGTCGCCGGCAAAGTCATCACATCCCCATGTTCCCTCAGTTTTGCTGGATGTCAATGATCCATTGCCACAATGGTCATCATAATCCCAACCCATGGGTTCATAAGAAAAGATAAAAACAAATGGCTGTGTCACCACTCAAGTGTGGACATTCATCAAGGGCAAATATCATCTTCCAAGATCTTCCAAGTTTTTTCCAAGCTTAACAGTCCCATGTCGTCCCATGTCATCCCATGTCACCCCAAAAACCATCGGCGCCTCCATTGCCCCGCTTTCGCGCAAGCATTGATGGCAGCACTGCAAATAATGGTATTCGGCTCCACCTTAACGCAACGCACATTTAATGAGTAAGTTCAAGTAACTTCTCGGAAAAGATATATATGTGATATGTGTTTTAGGTGGATAAAAGGGGTCGTTTCCCTTACCAAACATCATTCATCTGGATAAATGACTAATGATTCTAGTTCACCAAGCGACCATTTTGGGATAGTTACCCCTAGCATCATTCCAGTGGCGCCAGCCATTGGAAGGTGGTGATATCCAGCCACAAAATCCACTCGACTCAGGTCCACCGTTTAAAAAAGGAAAGCCCACTGATACGATGCTGTGAGACTAAGGCTGGCCGGCTGGTCGTCATTTATTGTTGAAAAATGTTGAACATATACATTTACTTGACAGGAGGCATTGGGAATATTGCCTTCACTACTGGCTGGTATGTAAAAATGGAATGATTAATATCTCAAGATCAGCTTCAGCCCCACAGATGTTCAAACCAGCTGGATACTTTTTGAAAAGAAACCTCAAACCTAGATCGAAGCCACGTTTTGTGGTAGCCTCAATAGCAACCATCTTGTTGAAGTCGCTGTTCCCTATAAATCATCCAGAAACCATCAAGCGTTTGCAGGAACCTCCCAGAATAATAGGGGATGATGTCCCATTCCGTGGCCAATCAAACATGGGGAAACCATGGGAAACATATAGTCATCAACCATGTGATCTTGATAGATTTGCGGGTATCTCATATCATCCCATCATTTTTAAAAGGGCAAACCCAAATATCATGTTTTGACGAAGTATAAGTCATAATCCATATTTTCGAATGTACATACATACATATATCAATATATATATAATATGTGTCATCTGGGCAAATTATCATATTTCACTAACCTGAATTAAGGCCATTTTGGGATGATTCCCCTTACTAACTATGATTATGGTGAGGTCGCAGTGAGGTTGTTACAATTTACCCAAATAGGATCAAATAGGTATATAATTACACACATACATTACATATTATAATGTGTATTATGTGTATGTGTATGTGTATATATATATATACAGTATATACACATATGTATACAATACCATATACAGTGATTAGAAACTTACATGTCCATGTGCATTCTATTTCAATCGCCCAGGTACCCCATGTTCCATCAACCGCCGCTCCAGCTGCAGAGCCTCTGACCACAACTGCCCGGCAGCCAAAGAGCACATCTGAGTGCAGAAGGAAAAACTATCCTGGCGCTAAGATGGGGGGAACTATTCTGGTTAACAATGGTTACTGATGGTTGATAGGATAATAGTTCATAGTGCTTCATAGTGATTTATCATATATATATATATACAGTATATATCATATACATCCCTTCAACCAACTGAGGGTTTCCATAGTGGGGATACCCCATGCTTGCTGGATTCTGCATGGTTATGGAAAATCTCATGGAAAATCAATGGATGACTGGGGCTCGCCCTATGTTAGAAAACCTCCTGGGGTCAACTGAAAATGCGAATTAAAAAAAAGGGAGAGCAACCGTTCTCCCCAAAAAAAGGAAAGTTGTACCACTGAAATGTAAGTAGGATCTTACTTTAAAATCTTTTGCGGGGGTTGCTATGCCACCCAAAACATCCCAAAGTTTCAGAGGGAACATGATGATAAACTGGGTTACAGTACTTGAACGGAGCACAACTCAGTAACCATCAACGGATTGGCTGGGAAAATCTGCAGACCCTGGTGACTCCAAGTGTCCAATTCCAAACGAATAGAGCCCATGCGGGCTAAGACCGCTAGAGCCTGTTGCCAGTGTCCAGATCGTTCACATGCATTCGCCTGGATTTTCTTTGGTTGGATCCTGTACCCTCTGGAAAGTGTAACCAAGGAAGGTACCCCCCATTGACCTAGATGGAAGTGACCGAACATGTGATGATTTTCATCATTCCGAGCGGTTCCCTCAGCAGAACGTCTCAAACGTGCAGGGTCAGGGTGTCTCAAAGTCATTGGTTTCTCAACAGTAGTGAAACAAACAAGTTTAACCGACCTTTTGGTTGACTTGGCTCCCTGAATTCAAGTCCGGATGAATTTTGCCTGAGCAAACCATAGTGGATGTTTGGCAGTCTCCCCCAACATCTTTGGACCACCCAGGATGCAACAAATACCCCTCCACCATGGCTAATCTTAGACACCCTGGGCAATAAAATTAGTTGGCTGGTGTGTATCCATCCTATATCCATTTGCGGCTTTCCTGAAATGCAGGATCCCCAAGTCACCCTGGGGTTCAATACTAAAATGGCAATCCAAGACTTGGATTATTTGGGGATACATACACCCATGATTTCGCTTTCTATCTTTTATACACCAGATGAAAGATGCAATTCCTGCAGCTTCTTCTCCCATCCACGTCCCAGGCACCACCGAGTTGTACGCGATGGGCCCCGGCTTTGACGCCTCCAGCAGGGCCAAGGCAATCGGCCACGGCGCAGCTTGTCGCGTACAGGCGCTCAAGACGGGGCCCACCAGGCGTAGATCCTTTTTGCGGCGAAGAACCAGGGGTGCTGTTAATTGGGTATGGATCAATACCTATTAATACCATTTTTAGTGGGATGAACATCCATTTACCAGCTATTTTGATGTTCACCAGGGGTACAAGGTTTTGACACACTGCCAATTCATTGGGGATTCATCCACAATGGGATTCTGGTTGGTGGTTGACCTACCCCTCTGAAAAATGATGGAGTTCGTCAGTTGGGATGGTGACATTCCCAATATATGGAAAGTCATAAAAGCCATGTTCCAGTCACCAACCAGGATGTTATGATGGGAATATAGTAGGTGTTGGTATTTTTCACCAGGATACGGCTGTCATCCATAACCGGAATCCCAATCCTGGGTAAATCCCAAAGGGTTGATGATTCCCATTCCCGGGGATACAATCCAACTGTTGATCATGGCACGTATGATGTTAACATGAACTTAATACTATTAATTCTTGTTGATTGCCAACTATGTTCAATGTTGGTATATAGTTCATATATCAACTATAAATTATCATAATCCCTATAGTAGATGATAAACAATAGTTGACAATAGTTGATTATGCCATGCGACTTGACCATGATCGATGCAGCTCCTGCTTTCTCACTGCTGAAACAGCTTCGGCCTCTATGTCAGCAGCACCTTCCCACCGTTTCTTTTTCCCTCTCAACCATGTCTTCCATTGTCTTACTCTTACTCGAATCCTCCTGTGCACCGCTTCTGGTTTGGATCTGTTGGTAGTGACAAGAGAAGTTCAGGAGCGTAGCAGCGATAACGTTTTGCAAGAACGCAAAAACAAAGAACGTTAATACGCACCCACCCCCCCACCACCCAAACCACCCCCCCACCCCCAAACCCGCCCCCAAAAACGACCCCGACACCCATCTTGGAGTCGCCTACCTTGATTCACAGTATTGGTCAATTATGTGACCAATAAAATTGACCCTTTGTATTTTATATATGACCAAGTGAAGTATAGTTTCCAAACCAACACTGATTTGCTATAAGATCATCAGGTTGGCTATGGACAGTAAAGCAACTAATAGCTATGCTTGGTGACTATTGTGAGTAGGAATTATGACAGCTGTGGTGCGGAAGTGTGAAGAAGCCTGATGATTGTTACGTAAATCATCAACTATGACTAGCGTATGCATTTCTGTGGCTGCCAAATGAGATCAAATGAGATCAAATGAGGTCATGCCACTTGCAAAGCAGGAGTAGCCACTAGCCTTCTAGGTGAACTCAACCAAAATCCCGATCCCTTGGCATGGGGATCCTGTAGTACACCATGCTATAACCCATTTTCAGATCGCAAATGTTATCAAAAGGGAAAACCATTGACCATTGTATACCATTTGATGGGTAAATGATTAAATGTTATCCATTTTAAGGTACTTCATCAAGCATTGACCATATTGAGCATAAAATCCGTGCTACAACAAAAACCGTACTTTTTTTCTTCATTGCATGCCTCTTGTTTCTGAACCATCATGAACCATCTATGTCAGGGGCCAAATGTCTGCAAAAATGAAATGGATCCCAAATGATCGCAAACATATGGCCTTCGAATTCTACAATAAATACATGTAGAGCGCATAATGATCATGGTTTCGAACCATTTCAAGCCAGAGAACCATGGCTTTCCTCAATACAGAGGCGAGATCATCCGACATCATAGCGCAACGGATTTTTCATGTCCCACAAATGGGACCCCAAATCCACGTGTCGATCCTCATTTTCCCCATTAAAGTAGTTCTTCAAGAACTAAATGAGGCCATGCCCATCCATGCCCCATTTTCAGCCGCATTGATGTGAGCCATGGTCAATACTCACTATATGGTTGATGGTCATCCTATCCATAATAAGGATCCTTATAATGGTTATTATAAATCCCTATGAACCATTGGATGACTAGCCACTATTAATGATTATTAACCATGAGTATTGACCATAGCTCATGTTAAGTTTTGGACGCATCTGTCCCACTCTGGGCTGCCCAGTCTCTACAGGTTGCCTTTTTTGAAGCTCTGGCACCAGCAGCTGCAGCGCTGCCTTCCAGGAGCCTTTGCTGCGGATCTGCTCGGCTAAATCAGCGCCTGGGGCTGGGGTGACGTTGTAGAACAAGGTGCCAAAATATATCATGAGAAGCAATACCAACAATGATGGGTTTGCAAAGATCTGGGTATAGATTTTATATGATTTTATCCTCCTGAAATCTACTGAATATGTATTCATGACGTATATTGAGCTGCATCTACACCTAAAATGACATACATGTTGGCAAATATGCGGCACATGGATGATATGGGAGATGGTAAAACTGTGAACATTTGGGATGTTGCTCTCTACCTTCAAAGTTTCGACTCCGTTTGCTGTACGCTGCTGCAGCACACTGGAGAACATGCCGAGAAAGCCTGCCATGCTCACCGCTAAGCCTGGCCACAGTCAACTTGAGGCAGTCGTTAATCTCATCTGAGGTTTCTAAGCACGTTTTTGCACCGGAAAGTCAGCCTTAGACAACCTTAGGCACGTGAAAAATCCTCATATCTTGAAAATCTCGATAATCGATAGCTTCCTCAGACCCTGAACTCTACGGAAATGATGAAATGGATGTGAACCTTTCCACTTGGATGATTAGATCACTGGCGCCAAGTTGGTGCCATGGATAGAATTCCTTACCATGAAGCCCTGTGCCGAGATGACCATCCCCTTGTCTATGGGAAACCCAAGGCACATATGAAAATGCATATCTCGGATTGAAGACTTACAATCACCAGTATCAATGGTCAGTTACTAGTGAGTATCCATTGATCAACAAAACCATGATGACCATTGATGACCATGTATACAATCACCAGTATCAATGGTCATTTACTAGTTACTGACTAGTGACTAGGATGATCAACAAAACCGGTGATGGCTGAATCACACCCTTCGCCGCTCAAAACGCCCTTTTCAGTGGCTTCTGCAGCGTGAATCTGCTACCGGGGAATGCTTCGTCCTTTGAAGTCTGGGTACATGAAAGACGGTTAAATCTCCCATCCTCCTAGCATTAAACTCCGCCCAGAAACCATGGTTGAACTGGGGATTAAATAAAAAACATATTTGAGACCATGATTAATTACATGGGTGCAAAAAATCATTACACGGTGGGCTGGGATTCCACAAACCTCAAATAGGCCCCGGTGATCCAATGGTGGGAATCACTCCGGAATCTCCGCAGCGTCATCCACCTTCAAAGACACCCGAAATTTCCCCTTCACAGCGTTCCGTAAGTCGGTCGGCATCGTAGTACCAAATGGTCACGGCCACGCGTTCACTCCAGCAGGGTAAGACTTCCTAACCAATGCCCATTGGTTAAATTGGGGGAAATGTGGAGAAAATCACTGATTTAAATGATTTAATCAGCAAAAATTGAAGAATTCCACTGATTTACAGGCCCGAAATTGAGAAAATCGGGGATTTCAATCAAGGGATGTGAGGAAAAACCTCACAAGGGAACAGCGTCTCTGGGATTTCGTGGGTTGATGGTTTGGCGGGCGTTTGATTTACCTCATGGCCCCATGGTTGCCATTTGGGATCCAAATAGTATGATCTGAGAACAGCAGGATCATCTTGGAAAGTGAGAAGTAGGGATAAAAAATAATGATCTAAGCTGCGTCAAACAAAAAAGTCTCCCTTCTGCTAGGCCTTTTGCATGTAAAATTTAAACAGGAATGCCTACTTTGAAAGATGCAGTGGGAAAATCAACAGTGCTAACCCGTCCCAGCTTCATGTGGATTTTGATCCTCACATAAGAATCCCACCAATCGACCATGCAGCGGTTCGATTTCAGGCCCACTCTCATCTGCCAGCTCTTCCAACAGTCTCAAGCAGCCACCGTGGGCTGGTTGCCAGAAAGGGTTCAGGTACAGCACCAGTGTCAGCACACGCCCATTGCCCCGTCGCCCGCCAGTGGAGTCCAAATGTCGACCGTAGGCAGCGCCGTTGCCGGGGTACACGGCAAGCATCGGATGACCCTGGGGATGAGTTCCTACTCAAGCTGCTTCTGATCTACCGCTCTGATCTACGGCTCTGTCATCGTCTCTTCTTCTTCCTCTCCTTCCTCTTCTTCCTCTTCTTTTCTCTTCTCTCCTCTCCTCTCCTCTCTTCTCGTCTCATCTCTTCTCGTCTCTTCTCTTCCGCTTCTCTCTAACTCTACTGCTTCCACCTAGAATGCACATCAAACTCCCTTGAGGCCACCTCTCTATGGGCGGCGGGCTTGCCGAAGGCAATTAAATACCCGTTAACCCATAAATTCTCACATTGTATGACAAATAAATCAGGTTGTCCCAAAAGTCATTATATCATATGTAATTATGTTATTATATATATAATTATATATATATATGTATATGTACGACGAGAGAGGAGGAATTAATCACTGTTATCCATTATTATTCTCCCATAAACACATGTAATTTCTCAATTGTTCCAGCCTGCCAAAGGTTCTTCCCCTGTAACTTCTCCAAGCGGTCTGTCACCAACAGCTTGGCCAACAACTGGTTACAGCGCTGTGTCAGCTGTCGCAGGGCAGAGGGCAGACTGCCAATGGGATCTTCCAGGAAGGTGTATTCGTCGTTCTTCATGGGCGACTTGGTCCCTGAAATTCGTGCCAGTCCAAAAAAAAACAGACACGTCAAGGGCCTTAAACAGAACTATAAAATGCAGATTGGAGGTTCAATTCACAGCTCCCAAAAATTGTGTGCTAGTCCCAAGTCAATTGGCAAATACCCAAAACGTTGCATTACTTGTCCAATGAACCAAGGCACCATCTTCCCTCACCGGTCCTTCATGCTGGTTCTTCCCATAGCCTTGGGAGATTTGGCGCCCCCACTCATGGAGACTCGGGGGAAAAAGATCGGTTTCAAACCAGATCCAAGTGCAGTGATCCAAGGTTTTTTTCCGTGTTTCCGGATGACAAAAGAATACAGCAAAACATCAAATCCACACCAAATCAGATTGATGTCAAATACCCATGACATTCCATGGCTGTTGCTAGGCCAATTCTATTGACATTGAACACAGATCATCCATGGCTTTACCCCAAAACATTCGAGAGGTGTTGGGAGTACATGTACATAAAATGTACCGTACACGGATGTAGAGCTGAGGTATTCTAAGACCATGTTGGATGGCATGCCCCAAAATTGAGCATGCAACAACCGCTGGGTTCCCAAATTCGGAACAATGGACCTGTTTTTTCAAGGGATTCCCTTCTTCATTCATAACATATTAATCGTAGCTCGCATCGTATTTCTTTAACCACAGACGGTGCTTTGTTCCCTCAGATACTGGTGCTTCATTCCCTCAGATATGCTGGGGGCGTGGGGGCAATAGAAATAAAACAAATCAGAAAATGTCCAAATAGATCGTTTAAGTCCCCAGGACTCCTGGTATAGCAAAATATGTGGTGGGATTTCCCTTCCCCACACGATCCAATTTATGTCTACAGAGTATAAGTGAGTGAACAATCTTTACAAATATAAGATGGTGCTATGAGTAGCCTTGGGCTTCAATATCAATATATAATAGACACTACATGACAGCGTTTTCCCAGGTTATCCCAGGAAGGTGCATCTGATAGGTCCGATCATATTGACGACTTGCTAGCTACAATGCTATTGATATATCAGCATAATTTCTACATAAGACTTATAAGTTGGTTTTAATCCCATTATATCGATAAATCATGATAAATATAGTAGTTATATGAATAGTTATGAATCATTGTCCCTATAGAATCCGCATAAAACACCATATCATCACATCAAATCTCTCCAACATCCCCAATGCTCGGTGTTTGCAATATTTTCCAGTGTGACCCTTAGACTTTCCAGGACAACAACCACGACCCTTATGGCAAACCCCCAGTTGCTCTTCCAGGCAGCACAGCTTCCCCGCGGCTTTCTGCTCCAGCACGACGCGTCGCAGCTCATCCGCCACCGGGCCCGGCAGGAAGCCATCGATCGTGGCCCAGCCGCGTTCCGCGAGGTCCGCGGCGAAGGAGGGAGCCGAGGGAAAAACCGCTGGGGCGACACCTGGTGAGCTAACTATCAAACATGGGGAATAATATGGGGAATCCACCAAAAAAATAGGGATGGATAGTTGATTAACAACTATATGATAGCTAAGTTGGTGAACATACCTGGTGCAACTATGGTTTATGATGGTTCGTGGATATTTGTGGTAGATATGTCACAAGGAAAAACCACAAGACCAAGACCAAATGCGACAAAACCAAACAAAATGATGGTTGCAGGGACGAAAATGGTGGTTTTGCTTTCCAAGATAGGGATGGGACTCAAACCACACTGGAACCTGGCCGGAACCAGGATGGAAAACATGTTCAAAAATCTAATGGAAGAAGTGAGATGTCATTTTTCTGGGGGGTGTCTTGTCAAAAAAATGATTGAACATCTGTGGAGATCAGAGGTTTTCGAACGTGGACATGAACGGGAAAATTCATTGAAAACAGGAGGGAAAAACCATCTACTGAAACAGTCAAGTCCACTAGAACCTCTCCCTGCAAAAACACTGACCTCAATAAAACATACTGACTTCGAAAAAGTGATCTCATACAAAACCGAAAGAAACCATACTATGCCTTCATGGCATTTTTCTCCAGCCTCCATTGATCTTGGCAAATTTCATGCTCAGCAGGCGTTTCTTCCTCAACCACTTGGGCACAGGCGCTGCCATCTCACCCTCCGGCAGCGGCACGCACAAGATCTGACCGCCCTCGGCGCTGAGGCGCACCTGCGCCTCGGAGACGTCCAGCACGGGGCAGGTCTCTGGGGCGCTCAATGGCAGTTGAACCTCCAAGGTCCAGGAAGAGTCGTCAAGGTGCCAGGTGTATCTCACCTGATGGAAGAATCTTGGAAAAAAAAACGCGAAATCGTAGGAATTCATTGGAAGTGCTGAATTGGGATGTGAAGGCTCACTGGAGACATGAGCTAGAGATTAAATGGTGACTTCCTCCAACAGACTTCAAGAATCTGCATCAAAAAAAACGTAACGTTGTGGAATGCCCCCATACTTTCCGGCAAAAAGGCGGCAATAATTGTGTGAAGAGATTCCAGTCCCTTAAATTTCGGTCATGGAAGGCTAACATTGCTCTGCAAAACCATACCCTTCCATGAGACATCATCCAAAAACCATGTTGAAATCATCTCCATGGGTACCTTACAAACATGTGTGTTTCAAGTCTCGGTTCAATTGGGATAGTGATTACATTACATTGATATCATACTTCATTTCTCGTATTTGTTCCTGAGGTCCACTATTGGGTTTACCATCTGTGGACCCCTTGAGAATCCCATGGTTTAAATCATTTATTCTGTGAAATGGCAACTAGACGTATCCCATTTTGAGACAAGGCCAAAACATCATACTAGATGATCATATATGCCATGATTCATGATATTCCCATGATCTATTTTTTTTTATATCAACCATCATCAAATGTAGATCCCGGTGGTATCCCCACTGGTGTCATACCATCACCATATCCCCCAACCACCACCGCTGCGCCTGTGACGGACCCAAGCTGGACGGGCAGGACTCGGTTGCCAACTTGCGGGGCGATCGCTCAGGTTCGGGGTATCCCGCTGAGAGATCGACCTGCGGGAAAGCTCCGTGCTCCCACCCCAGGGCCCCCACTTAAAAGGGGAAAAAGTGATCCTAAATATATCTAAATATTAAAGTAAAAACAGCGCCAATTTTCCCCCCAGAAGTTAACCTACAATAGGTTGGAACAACCCTTCGTCCTTCCATGTTGAGGATTCTTGGGGGATAGTTGAATATGTTTGGTGGACGTGGGTTTTTGGGGGAATACTCCAAAATCCAGTGGATTGAAAATCATGTTCTTGATTTATATACCTCCTGATACCCACTGGGCATATACATAATATACACATGCATGTATGTATGTCTGTCTGTCTGTCTGTATGTATGTATGCATGTCTGTCTGTTTGTCTCTCTGTCTGTTTTTCTGTCTGTATGTCTGTCTGCCTGTATGTCTGTATGTCTGTATGTCTGTCTGTCTGTATGTCAGTCTGTCTGTATGTCTGTATGTCTGTCTGTATGTCTGTCTGTCTGTATGTCTGTCTGTCTGTCTGTATGTCTGTCTGTATGTCTGTCTGTCTGTATGTATGTATGTCTGTCTATGTCTGTCTATGTCTGTCTAAAGGTCTGTCTAAAGGTCTGTCTAAAGGTCTGTCTGTCTGTTTGTCTCTCTGTCTGTTTTTCTGTCTGTATGTCTGTCTGTCTGTATGCCTGTATGTCTGTATGTCTGTCTGCCTGTGTGTCTGTATGTCTGTCTGTCTGTCTGTATGTATGTCTGTCTGTATGTATGTCTGTCGTTATTTCTGTCTTTATGTCTGTCTGTCTGTCTGTCTGTATGTATGTCTGTCTGTATGTCTGTCTGTAAGTATGTCTGTCTGTCTGTCTGTATGTCTGTATGTCTGTCTGTATGTATGTCTGTATGTATATATGTCTGTAAGTATGTCTAAACTGTAAGTATGTCTAAACTGTAAGTATGTCTGTATGTATGTCTCTCTGTATGTATGTATGTCTATCTTTATGTATGTATGTATGTATGTATATATATGCATGTATGTATGTATGTATGTATGTATGTCTGTATGTCTGTATTCATGTAGGCATGCATGCATGCATGCATGTATGATGTGTGGATGGATGGATGGATGGATGGATGGATGGATGGACGGACGGACGGACGGACGGACGGACGGATGGATGGAAGATGATGTAAGGATGTATGGATGCATGGATGCATGGACGCATGTATGCATGTATGCGTGCATGCATGGATGCATGTATGTAAACATATAGTCATATACATGTACATATACATATGTGCTTACATGTTTTTGTTGTTGATATTGAAACTGATATTGTCACTATGATGATTGCTGTCATTAATATTCTCATGCCTGTTGCTGGTGTTATCATCATTATTGTTTCTGTTGGCATCGCTGTCACTGTCACAATTTTGTTTACTGGCATTATTATCATCATCACTATTGCTAGTGCTACTAGTTATGACTAGGATTACTACTTTTTTGACATTATTCATCATTAGTGTCATTATTATCACTGTAATCATTAGTACAAGTATTTTTTGTTCAAGATGTTCAAGAACTGCACGCCGTTGTGGCGCGAAGCACACTTCAAAGTCAAAATGCGCAAATCACACCACGTTCAGACCACTTTTGGAAGCTGAGATGTTCAAAAAGTGCACCTTTGTGGCGAAGGACATTTCGAAGTCAAAATGCGCAAACACACCACGTTCGGACCACTTTTGGAAGTTTCAATGTCGAAAAAGTGCATGCCGTTGTGGCCCGAAGCACATTTGAAGTCAAAATGTAGAAAACGCAACAGGTTCGGACCATTTTTGGACATCGATAGATAGATAGACAGCTAGATAGATAGCGAGAAAGTGAGATAGATAGACAGCAAGACAGATAGGTAGACAGATAAATAGATAGATAGACAGAAAGATAGACAGATAGATGGACAGATAGATAGATAGATAGATAGATAGATAGACAGACAGATAGATAGATAGACAGATAGGCAGGCAGATAGACAGATGGATAGATAGATAGATAGCAGATAGACAGATAGATAGATAGACAGATAGATAGATAGACAGATAAATAGATAGATAGAGAGATAGACAGATAGACAGATAGATGGATTGACAGATAGATAGACAGATAGATAGATAGACACAGACAGATAATTAGATAGACAGATAATTAGATAGACAGATATGTAGACAGATAGAAAGACAAATAGGTAGATAGATGGATAGACAGACAGATAGAGAGACAGATAGATAGAATAGATAGATAGACAACATGGATGGACAAGCAGATAGTCAGTAAGATAAGCGAATAGATAGACAAAAAGAAAAAATGGATGAATACGTGAATTCATCAAGAAGATCAACAAAACGTGGCACTCAAACATCGGCACTCCAACCACCTGTCGCCACCGACTTGCGCGATCCTACTGGTACTGATACTAATGACAGCAATAATGTGTAACATCATACGTACACCAGTATAATAGAATTGGAATAGCGTATGTTCTGCAAATTCTTGTGCAGATCTGAAATTCCCCCGCAGGGTGCCCACCAACAAAACGGCCGGCACCTTCTTGGTATTATCCAAGAGCCAGACAGTCACCGAGTAGCGCAACTTCTCGCTGGGGAGCACCTCATGCGGTGTGCGCCTGTCCGACCAGAAGAGCAGCAGCCGGTTCTGCTGCGGAGCCACCGTTTGACGCAAGATGTTGGGGTCGTTGGCGTCGAAGATCGCAAGCTCACCTCGAACTGTTGGTAAGGTTGTGCCCCAGTTGGACAAATTGTTGGGTTTATGGATGGAACTAGTTAGTGACTGTGGTGATTATAAACCAGCTTATAACTCTATAGCTCGGGGGGCACCACCTCGCTCAACGACAAAAATGGATGGTTAAACATACATTGAAATTGTACATTCTATCAAATATTTTAGTATTATATTACAGCCTATTAAATATATATATATATACATATATTCCCCATCTTTCAGGGGAGACATTATGACCCTAACTCTGTAGGTTACAAAAATGATTCACAAGCTTGGGGCTATAGAATGAGGTTGCTGAGCTCCATTTTCCCAAAATGGCCTTAGCTACAAAATGCCAATTCATTTTCAACAACATTGATATAAGAGGAATTTTCCCTTGTTACAAAATGCCCCTTCGTTTTCAACAACTGCACATACAAGGACATACCCTTTGCTACAAAATGCCCACGTCGTTTTCAAGAACTGCACATGCAAAGGAAAATCTTTGCTACAAAATGCCACGTTGGTTTCAACAAGACTTGCATCCACCAATATCCATCAAATTTTAGCTACAAAATGCCCATTTGATTTTGATACACTCTTATGAAGCTCATCATGTTTTCTTACAAAATGCCACTGCGATTTTCATGGTTGGCTAACATGATTAAAATGATTCCTTTGTAAAATGAAATTACAAGTTTAAGCTACAAAATCTTGGACCTGGATTTCATGTCACGGTTAGCCTGACTAACATGGAAGCCTCTGTAAGAGGCACAAGGCCACAAACTTTGTAGCTTAAATTCGTAGGGGGATAATGGGAGATATACATATGCATACCCAAAGAGATAGGAAAGTAATATCAATAACATCCCGAGTCCAGCTTGTTTTCGTCAGCTTACCAGAAGACAGCCAGTAACATCCCACCAAAACAGTGTTGCCCCAGGATCGGCCATCTCCTTTTGGGGGTACTATCGACACAACTAATCAATGGTGAGTTTAAGACTTATAACCAAACCATTTCATGGGAATGTGTGGCTAAGGGAACCCAATAAATGTAATTAAGTATCTAGGAATGGATATACCTATATATATATATATATAAAGGATTGCGGTGCTTGAGTATTGAAATGAGTTTAATTTTACTTTATTTGAGCCACCTAGCCCTTGTAGATTATGGATCTGGATGGTACAGTAGATGGATGAGGTTATCATGAAATATGTGTATATATATAATATATACAAATACATATTATGTATAAGAGACTAATCACTAGAATGACAATAATGATACCAATAAAATGTTAGCAATATATTAATTAAGAAACGCCATCCTCATATATCCTGATACTGGCAATATTAGTATCAATATGTAACAATTCTGAGTTTGGAGGGCCAACAAAGTCAGCTAAGGTTATATAAGTTATATAGCTATCCCGGCTATCCTTTGCTATTGTCCTCGTTTCCGGATATGAGCGAAAATAGGTCTCCCAAAATGAAAATCTTGGGGTCACCTCCATCTCCTTGTTGCCAACTCTCATTCAAATAGATCCTTGGAATTTGCCATCGACTGGTGGCAAAATGAAAACTTGTCCCATCTCTTCCCTATGAATTCCCCGTTTCTGGTGGATGAACCAATGTAAAAATCGGAAAACTAATGAAACTAGACGACGGATGGCCCGAGAGCGTAGAGGAGCAGGGTCTTCTCTTGTTAGTATGGAGACACCATATTACAAAACAATACGTATATTAAAGATGTGTTATAGGCAGTCGAGAAGAGGAGTATCAAGACAATATAGCACAAGTACAAGACAATAGTTATAGTTTGCATCGCAAGCACTTTTACACACAGAAGCTTTTACACAGAGCAAGCTTTTACACAGAACCCCTTACACAGAGAAGCTTTTACACACAGAAGCTTTTACACACAGACACTTTTACACAAAGACGCTTTTACACACAAGGCTCTTTTACACGCAGACGCTTTTACACGCAGACGCTTTTACACACAGACGCTCGTACACACAAACGCTTTTACACCACAGACGCTTTTACACCACAATCGCTTTTACACACAGACAGTTTTACACACAGACGCTTTTACACACAGACGCTTTTACACACAGCCGCTTTTACACACAGCCGCTTTTACACACAGACAGTTTTACACACAGACGCTTTTACACACAGAAGCTTTTACACACAGACGCTTTTACACACAGAGACTTTTACACACAGAAACTTGTACACACAGACGCTTTTACACACAGAGGCTTTTACACACAGACGCTTTTACACACAGACCCTTTTACCGACAGCACGCTTTTACACACAGAAGCTTTTACACACAGACGCCTTTACACACAGAGGCTTTTACACACAGAAACTTTTAAACACAGAAACTTTTACACACAGAGGCTTTTAAACGCAGACGCTTTGACACACAGACGCTTTTACAGAAAGACGCTTTTACACACAGACCCTTTTACACACAGACGCTTTTACACACAGATGCGTTTACATACAGCTTTTCCATACTTCGCCGGATAACATGAAAATCGCAATTTTACCAACAGTTTTTGGCGATCGAACCTCGTTTCGTGCGAAAGGGTCGCGCGGGACAAGTTGAAATCGCAATTTTACCGCAGTTTTTGCCGGTCGAACCTCATTTCGTGCGAAAGGGTTGCGACGGGAACCCAGAAATCTTAATTTTACCTTAAGTTTTTGACGATCGAACCTCGTTTCGTGCGAAAGGGTTGCGGCGGACACCTTGAAATCGCAATTTTACCGTAGTTTTTGACGATCGAACCTCATTTCGTGCGAAAGGGTTCGCGGGACGACTTGCAAATCGCAATTTTACCTCAGTTTTTGACAATCGAACCTCGTTTCGTGCGAAAGGGTTGCGGCGGACACCTTGAAATCGCAATTTTACCTCAGTTTTTGGCGATCGAACCTCGTTTCGTGCGAAAGGGTTGCGTTTCGTGCCGTTTCGTTGGCACTGCCCCTGCCCCCGCCTTCAGAAGAGAAATAGAAAAGAAGGAGAGGGCAAGAGGGCAAGAGGAGAAGATGTGAAGATGTGAGGATGTGAAGATGTGAAGATGTGAGGATGAGAAGATGTGAAGATGAGCAGATGCGAAGATGAGCAGATGTGAAGATGTGAAGATGAGCTGTGAAGATGTGAAGATGTGAAGATGTGAAGATGAGAAGATGTGAAGATGAGAAGATGCGAAGATGAGAAGATGTGAAGATGTGAGGATGTGAATATGTGAAGATGATGAGAAAATGTGAAGATGAGAAGATGTGAAGATGAGCAGATGTGAAGATGAGCAGATGTGAAGATGAGAAGATGCGAAGATGAGAAGATGTGAAGATGAGCAGATGTGAAGATGAGCAGATGTGAAGATGAGAAGATGTGAAGATGTGAGGATGTGAAGATGAGAAGATGAGCAGATGTGAAGATGAGCAGATGTGAAGATGAGCAGATGTGAAGATGAGCAGATGTGAAGATGAGAAGATGTGAAGATGAGAAGATGTGAAGATGAGAAGATGTGAAGATGAGAAGATGAGATACAGACCCCCACTATTGGAAGAACCCTGCGCTCAGACGCTCTCGGGAAAAAGTAAAACATATGAATCAACAAACCCCAAGGATCAGCGCGGTCAACAGCCGCGTTCGGCACAGGGGGTGGTTCTCATCGTTGTCCACGTGCTTCACATAGCGCGCTCCGTGGCCCGGGTAGCAGGCGGCCATAGCTTTGGACCGCGAGGTGACCTTCTTCAGATCCTTCACCGGGCGACCGAGCTCTTGGACCAACGTGCCCAACCTGGTGCCAGGGGGGACCCCAGGGGGACCCCACAGTGGCTGGGAAACATCGGAGAACCTCAATCCCTGGCAAAAAAAAATGCCTCACCAAACCACGGGGCTTGACCAGGTAGGACTCCAAGCCCTTGCCGTGGTGCCATTCTTCCGGATCGAACCAGCCAATGACATCACCGCGGGTGGCACGGTCCGCATACTTGGCGTCATCCGCGGACGGCAGTCGGCCGTTCACCAAGCCGCCCCCTGTGAGGCGCCCCTCGCTGTGGCATTCTCGGACCTCCCTGCGCAGTTGCCTCACCGCCAACGGCCAACGGTGCAAAAAGTAGGTGCAACCAGAGAAGGATCCAACGGCACGCTGCGCTGTTCGAGTTTGGAACTTTGGGCAACTGAACTTTGGCTCAACTGTATAAATCAGGAATATCATCTGATAGTGCTTGGTCCAAATGAAGCTTTTGGTTGGTACATGTTAGATTTGGGAACTGTGGGACCTCTCATTCCAGTGGCCAAACGGATGGCATCTGATAAGCATTGAACCAGACAATACCAGACACGATCTCACCGGCGATCAACGCTTCAATAGCCATAGCACAACTGGCCTGTGGGAGCCAGTTTTTAAATCTCAAATATTCCAAATCAGAGTGTTCATAGCTGAAGAGATTCTGATTGCTCAAGGAAATGGCTATGGGTCAAAACCCTGGTGCTCTGTATTTCACTTCAACATATCCTGGTTTGTTTTTAGTGCCCTTCATTCATATCGGAAAATCATGGTTTTGACTTAATATCCCCAGGCTTCCACACCAGAGATCAGGTGACTTGAAAAAAGGACCAGAAAAAGAACAAAAACTAACACTATCAAGTTGACATTCCCATTGTTGTCCATTTGCCTTGCGAATATTCCCGGTTCCTTCCGTTTCAGCTTTCCAAATGCAGCATTATATACATATGTGTATATATATATACATGATTCCTGCTTCATTCAAAGACATTGACGTTTATCCCTTCAAACCCAAATCTTTGCAATACTTTGAATCTACAGTCGCCATGTCGCCTAGCTATAACGAGTCAAATTAGCGCGGACCCGTGGCCGGTTGACCAAGGTACCTGACTTGCTCATTGGTTAGGAATCCATCCAGGATGCAGTAGCCTTGCTTCTCCAGCTGGGCTCCAATAGCATCGATGGAATCGTCCATCACCCACCACCATTCCTCCCGTCCCACCACAGTGTAGTACATCCGCAGTTGCTTGCCTGGTCATGGGTCATGGGTAGCTATCTTCTTGGTCATGTTGAAAATGAACAAAGTACAAAAAACGGAAGGTTTCCTAAAATGGGAAGATCTCCAAAACCATGGCTAAAATGGTCTAAGTTTGGATGATTCGGCATAAACCTATTTTAGGAAACCTCCGTATTAACGTAATGTAATTGATCATATATCTGATTATAATCTGGTATATAATTTCACATCGCCATGGAACATGTCCTATGAATGTAGATTATGTACCTCTTAAAACATGGCCACTCTCAATGGCTCTGTAGAGGCAAACCTCTCCGAGCCTTTCCCAATGCCATAAACCTAGCATTTAGCGATCGTTTCTTGCGGACCCATTGAAATCATTGATCTGGGTGAATTATAAGACAGTGATTATCACCTGAAACAAGGCTTAATTATATTGGGATGATTCCCTGAATCCAATTCCATCCAATTCATCATAATTCCAGTATATTCCAGTATATTCGGTCATGTCATAAAAATTCACCCCAGATGGTTGGTTGAAAAATGACCTGAAAACACCCGCAGATCTCGGATCTTTGTCCCAGCTTCACTTGGCGGCAAATTCGGCATCTGCATCTGCCATCTCAGAAAACTGGTCTCCGCCGTCGTTCCCATGGCGCCGCGGCGCCACACGGGAGAGCGGGACACTGGGAAAAGCCCAGTAACGCCCAGGTTGAAGGTTGGATCCTCATGAGATGCATTGAAATCCCATGGTGTCTGAAGATTGGGGGATTTAGTTTCAACATACCCTCTGGTAATTTAACATAGCTATTGAAAATGACCCATTTATAGTGGAATTACCCATTGAAAATGGTGATTTTCCACAGTTATGTTAGTTTACCAGAGGGTATCCCACATGATTCCCTATTTTCTTGTTGACATGATGATGCTTGTGGTAATGGACAGCCACGAACAGACATTTTTTTAGATGGCCTCAAAGGTTGAGATTGACCTGACAGTTTCATCAGGTGACTTCTATTATTTGACTATAGACTATAGATGACAATAGTAACTGCCCAAAGAAATTGGGCAAGCAAGAGGTTTTAGGTAGACTTCCAAGTCTGACACATAGCTATTCATCTATTTATGGGCGCTCAACGAATTACGGATAGTTCATGATTGCATCTCTTGTATGTTCGGAGCCGGCAACCCACACTTTTGGGGGTTCAATATGTTACAAACATGCACCCTGCCCAAAATGTTGTTGCCATGTCTGACTTCACAGAGCAGCAGTTTTGAAATTTTGATATGTTACCAAACTGAAGTTGTCACTACTGAGCAAATGCACCACTGTACTTTCTGTTGTGTTACCATAATATAATATGTGGATAGAAAAGTGGTTCTCTTGTAGTTTGAAGTTTCCGTGTTCTATCTATTTGGGCACCACTCTTCTGCAAGTGCAAGCTTGCAAACATTGCTCCATTCTGCCACCAACGGAATCGTGTGGAATGAGGACAACCACAGGGTACCAGATGCTACCGAGAAAACAGTAAGCCGGTGAAGGATGGTCTTGCGAATGGGAACATGGTATCGCCAGGAAGCCGATTGTTGGTGTTACAATGTTACAATGTTACAAACAAGCGCATTCAAAGGTATAATGTTGAAAATTGGTGATACCCCAAAACGTACGAACACGGAATCTGCAGGTGGTTTATGTACAATGTACCTCCTTCATTGATTATGTATCGACATACACCAAGAAAATGGAGAAAGACGATACTTCAGCTACCTGGATCTAACCCCCTGACGATACCAATCGAGGGGTTAGTGGAATCCCCATCACGACGTGTCCCCGGGTTTCCCAGCCTGGTAGCGCCTCGGTTTGACGATTTGAAAGTCGCTGGAACACGTGCTGAACTGGAGATTCTCTGTTACTTTGACCAATGGACACCCCAGGGCATACTGGATAATTCTCCTATTGTTTGATTCTCGCATGGTAGGTCTATGAGCGAACAACTGATTTTTAGTTGAGGCAATTGTTGCCAGCTTTTCTGCAACAGTGAAGAAGGTGGGTACTGATTTCACATGTCTAAGTATGACTTCACCGTTGATGGCATAGTGATATCCGTTCGCGCATATACTATCTATTTGTAACAGACTCCTAGGGCACCAACGGGTACTGTAGTTCGTCAACAGCATGACCAACGCTCTGAAACTCTGACCATCTCTGACCCAGAATCAGTTGATCTACAGGTTGCGATGGCTACAACGGCTTCATTCAGGTCATCCAAGTCGCGCTGAAGTTTTGACGACTGAAATCACTCACCATATGTATAGCATCCCAGAATCCAAACTTCGCCTATTTTTTATGCACACACTCCTGGAATTTCACAGCTGTGGACATTGATCTTGGGGATTCTTGGGGTCTAAGAAGCTGATCTTTCTTTCTGACCTCCCAGTATCTCAACCCCACCAGGGCCACGGCCAAATCACCATGGGCACCGCAGGGCCGCAGGGCGCTACGTCACTTGACTTAGAGACAATGGAAATCAGGTTGTATATCATTGTGGTAAAGCTAATCATAAACCATTCACAAGTCCGCCAAAACTCATGGTATAACAGTATAGCAAACTATCCCCAATTGAAGCTTACCAAAATTGTATGCAATTGTTGGGTTTGTGTGCAAGTCATTACAAGTCAACAGATCCACGTTGAAACTCTGGAGCAACTCTCGCTATTCCTGCGGACTGGGCAAAGACTTTTTTGGGATTTGGTGGATTTTTCAGCCAGTAGACAATTCGTCTGTGCGAGCTGGCGAGCACGGTCGTTTGTTCCGAAGTGAGCTACCGTGAACTAGCAATATGTATGATACATACTATCCATTAAATTCCATTAATATCTATTATATAATCATTGGTTTGGTTTGTCTGAAAATTGGGTACACAAGAATCACATGGTTCATTCTCCATCGATTGTTCCCACAAAGTCAACAAGCTTGGGGCATCCCGCCTTTCCAAACAACCCCATCATGACTGGTGCGTCTACAACTTTCTCTTTTGACTGGTCTTTTGTGGCCAAGATTTCACTGGTTGGTGGCTTTTACCGGAAAAAAAAACTTAGCTACTTTAGATCACTTTAGATCACTTTAGATCACCATGACAGGAAAGGATAGATGCCCATTATATATCCCCATTATACCCCCATTATATCCCCATATATCCCAGTATATCCCCGTATCCCCAAAGTAAGACATGTTTTGAAACCACCAGTGCAAACCCAACCATTTCATGGGGATATCATGGGGATATCATGGGCATCTCCAGGAGATACCCCACCTCGATCTCAGGGTTACCCCTCGATACACCCAATCATCATCGCTTTGGGACTTGGGGATGCGAATTATCCACATGTTTGTGGCTACCATCTTTCGATGATCATTTTTGATACCGATCTCTTGTCCCAATTTTGATTTCAGATTATTGATGGCAATTGATGATGGCTTCCCAAACATGAACCATCGTCTACTGTACCCTGAGATTCTTTGAAGTGGCTTGAGTCAATCCCTTCACCCCTCAAAACACCACGTTCGCCCTGGTGTTTTGGTGAATCTGTTCGCGGTCCCAAGGCCGGGGTTTCTCCGAGAAAATAAGCTGTTGTATCATCACTTCCCATTAGTTGATATTATAGAAAAAAATATATATATATCTACCGGTCAAAAAAAAACATCCAAAAAAAGAGTAATTCTGCCCCATTCTGCCGGAAACATCTCCAAATTCCATGGGATTTTGCCGGGGGAGCCCGGGAAATTGATGCCAAGGCAACGGTTTCGCCGTGAAACTGGACGTGGCGCACGGGACGAGCATGGTTTTTTGCCCATGGACAGAAACCAACAAAAATTGACGGATAAAAAGTCAGCTGCTGGTTTCACTGCCGTTATTAATGTATACTATACATGTATATACTACATAATCACATGTGTATATATATATATATGTACGTATGTATAAGTCCTAGGTGTCTTCCTTTCAGTTCAGATCAATTCAGTATGGATAACGGGGTTGGATTGAAGCAGTTCAAAGATGTTGAAGTTCAACCATGAAAGTTCATGAAAGTTCAAGTAAACCTCTTCATGTGCCCTGGCAAAATGGCTGGCTTTCCATTGGACTCTCTGGGTGACACCCATGGGTTTCCCCCTTGCTCGCACCACGCTGAGCTATGTCGAAACTGGTGCAACAACCTGCGACAACACGCGTTGCGAAATTACTTCTGCGGGCCGCGGTTGAAGGCAACTTCCATCTCGATCTCATCATTCCGTGTAATTATACAATATTTCATAATATTTCGATACATTTCCAACAGAAATGAAGTCATTTGGCTACCAAAATCATTTCGACTTCGATGGAGGTCAACCACGCCTCCCAGTACCGCTTTGCGGCACTGAGCTGCATGCATCACCTATAAAAACACGCCGTTCAACACGAAAGAATCACCAACGATGTGGTTGAACTGAACCCAGTGGAAATAAATATGGGAGTTTTACCACCATAAGTTGGAAAATAACCCTAATCACTTTGGTTATACATTCACTGAAAGTCCTTTGTTTTTCTCTCCACTCCCCCTCTCTCTCTCTCTCGCAAAATCATGTGTGAACAAAATTCTGAGTATTTAGATGTGTTTGTAGAATCATCTTATGTAATGTGGGTAAAACAATAATAAACCATTCCCCAGTCATCACCATGTTTATAGGGGTATGGTTACCATTCCCAGTCATAAGTGGTCTATTTCATTGTTTTACCCACATTATCGGCAATGTCAGAAATCACACCCATTCTACATTGTGAGTGCCGACTCGGAGTTGCATCTCAATTTGCAACTGGTTTTGAGACTTTGCGATGTCCCCCAACCATCATCTATGTTGAAGTCGTTGTCAGAACATGTCAAACACAATAATTTGCCAGACAAATGTGTATATATATATTATACATATATATATATATATATTTGTTTTCTAGATCATGAATCATTGTCTACATCAAACATCAAAAAATATGCATCCTTATACATATATATATATATGGGGTTCCTTAAAATGGGGATCTCCAAAAGCATGAGGATCTCCAAAAGCATGGGTTTCAAAAAAGTCTACCAAAAATATACTGAACTAGTCTAATTTAGAATGATTTGGGGGGTACCTCCATTTTAGGAAACCCGAATATCTTTAATCGCTTATATATACATCATTATATTTTGGTTTTAACAACAATATGGGGATGGGTAAAACCTATTATTTCCACGGGAATAACCATCCAGCTGTACCAGCTATTTTATGCTAGGCTACCAGGGTTTTGACCCATAACCATCTACATACAACTGGGTTACCTACATCGTCAGTGCCTAGAGAAAAACCCATGTCTCGTTGCGCTCGTTGCGCTCGGCGAAGTCGGCTCTGTCACCGAGTCTGAGCTATGTCCGAGTGGAGCAGCGCCTCTCCTGGCGGAGAGTGACTCAATCCACCCGAAATCATGGTGATGTAGCTTATAACCAGTATCATTACTATAATGGGGATAATTACATTGTTAGAAATTACTATAATGGGAATATATAATTAAATGATTATAGCTACTATCATAATAACCATGGTGAGAGAGTCACTTACCAAATATTCGTATCTATCACAATAATCACCTTTATGTATATTTTAAAAAATATAATTACTAATTACAAAGCACCATAATGGGGGAGAATTCACTGGATAATTTTGGATTTTTCTTTTCCATCTGATCTGTTTGATTCTTTTTGGGGGTTACAGTACTGTAAATTGGATCTATCACTACTGATTGGTGGTTTCAACCCCCGTGAAAAATCTCAGTCATTGGGGATCATCATCCCAAACAAGGTAGAACATACCAAAAAAGTGACACCACCAAGCAGAGGATCATATAACCAACCAATAAACTGTGCTGCGAACAATAAACGATAGGCAAGTCTGTCTACAACTAGGCCAACGATTGGATTTGGGGTGGATAGATACATCGAACTAGTTATATGGGGCTTTAAACCGACTTTGAACTAAGGGACTCCTGTGCGAAATGTGAGAGAACAATGTATAAGAGATACCCTCCGGTCATCCATCATGACAATGGAAATAAATGGGGAAATCATCGAAGGGGAAATGGTGGATTTTCCAGCTAGCCATGTTTCATTACCAGAAGAGTATATTATGATTCTTCAGAACTCTTGGGACATCAGTTCCTGCAAAGGCTTGGCACAAACGATGACTTTTTGCGGGACTCCCAATGCCATGGTCACCCAGAAACAATTTCTGGGGCTCCTAATGAACATCATCATCATCATCATCATCATCAGCCAATTACGAATGGGGTATAGCATGCTATAGCGATAAATCCTAGTAATATGATGGAATATGTGGGTTTGTCTTAGAATAGGGTACCCCCCAATGTGATACTTACCAATAAATTTCCCTATTAAAATGACCGTAAGTGGGGGATATCATTCTCAGACAAATCCGTTTAGTAGACAGCATTTGCGAATGGCCAAGGTTGAAGAACTGAAATTCATTCTGGGTTGATAATGATAATAATAGTGGTTCTTATACAATAGCAATAACAACCCATAACCGTAATGATAATATATGATAATAACAAGTCATATCGCTATTGATAATGACAATAATAACAATATGTAATATAATAATTCAAATATATACTATAAATAATAGCAACAACAATAACAATGAAACACTGATAATAACATTTATATTAGTCACATTCAATCGTTGTCATGTTCATTTTTTCTGTACAACTCGTTGATTTGCAGTGACAGATAGATAGATAGATAGATAGATAGACAGACAGACAGACAGACAGATAGATAGATAGATAGATTAGATAGATAGATTGATTGATAGATTGATTGGGACTAAATCCAAATTTTCCCAATGGCCCATTTGCGCGCCTCTGACAAACCGATGGCCTGCAAACGGCCCAGGGGGTGCAGCGCAAGGCTTCCGCCCTTGGCACGACGCCTCAGCGGGATTTGATGATTTGATATGATTTGATGGTTGAGCTAGGATTATAAACCAATTATAGTTAGTTAATGGTTAATAGTTATAGTTTGTTGATGGTATTATAAACCAACTATAAACCAACTATAAACCAACTATAAACCAACTATAAACCAACTATATAATTATAGTTAAGGGATTTATAAGATTCTAGAAGCCAACTTATATACAACTGGGGGGCCCAACTTGTGAGAATTCTACTATATGTCCCCGATGTCTACGAATCAAAAAAAAACATGACATGCTTTTGGTTGGTATACTCGTGCTTAAAACAAATGATGTTGCTAACCAAAAAACAACCAACAAATACGGATTGATTGAAAGGTACAGTGACAGAAAAACAAATGGGGGGAACCCTGAAACATTGGAGTTTACCCTTGAAACAATTCTGGATCATTGGGAAGAACTTGAGGGGTCAGTGCCAAGAACTGTTTATTGGTTGCCTTTCTATGGGGGAGTACCTCTCTTTTTCACCAATCATATAATATGGAAATGCCATTATATAATAAAGAACATCTATGGTAATATATGGAGCCAAAGCAACATGGCTATAAGAAAAAACCTTGGCACCCGGATGGTACCCTAACATCGCTGCATGGCTGAATGGTTATTCCCTCAGTCATATGGAAATTTCAGCTGGTGACCAGTGGAGCCAATCGCTTCTCTGGTCTAGACCATGTTCAACAGTGAGGATATAAATAAGTATATATGGTGTGTGTGTATATATATATACACTATATACAATATATATATGTGTATATATATATATACATTTATATATATATATATATATTATTTGAGATTATAAATTATCTATTATATATTATATATTGTTATATATTATATGTATATATATGTATATTTATGTATATACCTAGAAAATGCTGATAATCGATCAGGGTCAATAGCAAACAAATCCAAAACAATCTGCGGTCTGCTGGGTCGTCAACAAAAATCACCCAACGCCAAATCACCAAACTGTGCTGAACCCCACTCTGCCTCCCTCAAAAAGCGATGCTTCAACCCAAATGAAAAATCATGAAGGACCATCCAAACAGCCAAGAAATGAAGTTTAGAACCTTCACAAAAACACACCTCTAAAGACTGAGTTTGGTTGAAGTTGTGGTTTCTGGCCTCAGACTGAATAGTATTGAAAGGTTTCCTGTACTTGTTCGTCTCCCTCCCTGGAGACACCAGTTCAATTGAAATATATTATCTGCTTGGACGTGAACTTAGCTGGTTGGTGGTATGCCTACCCCTCTGAAAAGTATGAGTTCGTCAGTTTGGATGATGACATTCCCGATATATGGAAAATCATAAAAACCATGTTCCAAACCACCAACCAAATTAATCATGGTAATCCCATAATAATCCCATAATAATGGTTATTTAATAATCCCATAAAATAATATCTATATACTATCCAAACCACCATATAGTGAACTTAGTGGATAGTGACCACCTTAGTTCTCCCGGGAATCGTCACCAAGCCCACCCAGGCGGCAGCATGGAGCTAAGTCGCATCTCTTGACGAGCTGCCTGGCAGCGCGGGGGGCCAGGCCAGCAGCATTGGCACATGGGCACTTTCTGAAGTCAAAACATCAGACAAACTATGTTAAACATTCACAAACAAAAATTGACTCTGACAATTTCATCAAAATTGATGTGATCTCCATGTTACATGCTATAGCATAGGGCCCTCACATGATAGCCGCATTGGTTCATCACTGCTTCGTATGGTTTATGGTAGGTACAGGGAAGCGACAATGTCACGCCTGGGCCTAAGTCATGCCTAGCATGTTTTTGAATGGCATTTACCATTGTAAACGCTGTATCCAAGAAGTCATGCCTAAGTCATGCCTAAATGTTTTTCTGCATGGAACGCTGTCCTCAATAAAAGTGTAACCATGCATTTTAGACATGAAAAACAAATGAAACACAATGGAACGCGATTGATGAAAATATTGATTTTCTACTCTCTTATAATGTCATTCCCGTGTGAAACCTGCATGTCAACGCTGGGATTCTGCATCATTATTTTTCTATTCTCTGGGTCACTTCCCAGTACTACAAAGCTTGCACAAACTACTTCCCAGTACTACTTTGTACTACAAAGCTTGCACAAAGCACTTCCCAGTACTACTTTGTACTACAAAGCTTGCACAAAGCACTTCCCAGTACTACTTTGTACTACAAAGCTTGCACAAACTACTTCCCAGCACTACTTTGTACTACAAAGCTTGCACAAGCACTTCCCAGTACTACTTTGTACCACAAAGCTTGCACAAAGCACTTCCCAGTACTACTTTGTACTACAAAGCTTGCACAAAGTACTACTTCACCAGTACTACTTTGTACTACAAAGCTTGCACAAAGCACTTCCCAGTACTACTTTGTACCACAAAGCTTGCACAAAGCACTTCCCAGTACTACTTTGTACTACAAAGCTTGCACAAAGCACTTCCCAGTACTACTTTGTACTACAAAGCTTGCACAAAGGACTTCCCAGTACTACTTTGTACCACAAAGCTTGCACAAAGCACTTCCCAGTACTACTTTGTACTACAAAGCTTGCACAAAGCACTTCCCAGTACTACTTTGTACTACAAAGCTTGCACAAAGTCCTTCCCAGTACTACTTTGTACTACAAAGCTTGCACAAAGTCGTTCCCAGTACTACTTTGTACTACAAAGCTTGCGCAAAGTCCTTCCCAGTACTACTTTGTACTACAAAGCTTGTACAAAGGACTTCCCAGTACTACTTTGTACTACAAAGCTTGCACAAAGCACTTCCCAGTACTACTTCGTACTACAAAGTTTGCACAAAGGACTTCCCAGTACTACTTTGTACTACAAAGCTTGCACAAACTACTTCCCAGGACTACTTTGTACCAGAAAGCCTGCACAAAGTCCTTCCCAGTACTACTTTGTACTACAAAGCTTGCACAAAGTCGTTCCCAGTACTACTTTGTACTACAAAGCTTGCAAAAACTACTTTCCAGTACTACTTTGTACCACAAAGCTTGCACGAAATACTTCCCAGTACTACTTTGTACCACAAAGCTTGCACAAAGCACTTCCCAGTACTACTTTGTACTACAAAGCTTGCACAAAGCACTTCCCAGTACTACTTTGTACTACAAAGCTTGCACAAAGTCCTTCCCAGTACTACTTTGTACTACAAAGCTTGCACAAAGTCGTTCCCAGTACTACTTTGTACTACAAAGCTTCCAAAAACTACTTTCCAGTACTACTTTGTACTACAAAGCTCGCACGAAATACTTCCCAGTACTACTTTGTACCACAAAGCTTGCACAAAGCACTTCCCAGTACTACTTTGTACTACAAAGCTTGCACAAAGCACTTCCCAGTACTACTTTGTACTACAAAGCTTGCACAAACATGCACAAACTACTTCCCAGTGCTACTTTGTGCTACAAACTGACATGACAACCTGCTTGGAAACCTTCGAAAAGGAGAGGTTTTGCAGCTTCCCCCATAGACACGGAATTAACGACGCGACGACGACGCGACGCCGACCCGGCGACGACGCGACGCCGACCCGACGACGACGCGACGAGCCACTCGAGGCGAACAAGGGTCCATTCCCCAGACCCCCAGACTATAAACGGGAACCCTTCGCTACGCATTCGGGAAAAACAGGATAATCTGGGATGAACATCCAAAATCACCAAATCACCAGCTCAACGCCATCTTACCTATAACTAATCAACATACCCACAACCTGGAATTCTGCATGCTACGTGATCTCATAAGAAAACGGGTTACATATCCAAACTCCAGAGTTCCTATGCGTTCTTGCTAAAGGCACGACTTTTGCGAAACACACTTCCCCAAGGCACAACGATTTTTTCCTAAAACAGGTACGACTTTGTCAGATGCCTGTATAACTGTCTATAACGTGATTATATACCGACTTATAACTAGAGAGCCCCATCTTCTATTCGTGTTGAAACAGCACAGAATCACTAGAAAATGACTCTGGGACAAATGACAAATATGGAAACATCTAGGATAGCATCGGATAACCATGGCCTCAAAATGGGGGTCGGCGGCACCAGGGCGTTAGCCCATTCCGGCGATGCCTCGCCGTGTAGTGTGGGAAGCTAAGCATAGCTTTAGCTACCCGGGGGCGCGCCCCTGCCGCCGACCCTCCCCTAAAATCCTTCAGCCTGCTGGGATTTTCACGTTTTTGGGGGTTCGGGGTGGGAAAAAAGAGGGTAAAATTTGAAGATACGTTTTGGAGGTTCTTGTTGGGCGTTTTTTGGTCGATTTTTGGTAATTTTTCCTGTTTTTTTGGTACTGTCCACGCGTAAAAATCGTGTAATTTACAATGTTTTTGTGCCTTTGGCATCCAAAAAAAGCTTTTGCCAACATGCAGGAAACTGCGTAAATAGCAGTGTTTTGGCTAGGCTCGGGCCACAAAACACTGTAAATACCGTGATTTTTGCTCGCAGAGGCTCAAAACCTCGTAAATACCGTGGTTTTGCGTTGGTGCGGAGCCAAAAACATTGGTATTTACGGTGTTTTTTTGTTCCGCGAAGGTGAAAAATTGCGAAAACACCGCCGATTTGACGCTTTTTGGGGTTTGCAAAAAACGTCCATTTGACAATTTTGGGGGGTTTGCAAAAGTACCCAGTACAAAGATAGCAACGGCAACAACAACAGGACCACGCAGCAACAGCTATAACCACAATAACAACAACAGCAACGACGACGCTGACGACGATGAGGGTGCCGACGACGACGAAGACGACGACAACGACGACAACGACGACAATGACGACAATGACGACAACAAGGACAACGACAACGGCAACGACAACACGAACAAGAACAAGAACGAGAACGAGAAGGAGAAGGAGGACCAGAAGCAACAACAACAACGACGACAACAACGACAACGACGACGACAATGACGATGACGACAACGAAGATGCAGCTCGCAGCATGTCATGTCCGCAAGTTCAGATGAAATCCCCCTCTCTCTTTCCCTCCCCCGACCCCTACAGGCATCGCCGGTGTGCGAAGCTCTACAATTATTATATATATATATATATATAATATATAAATATTATTATATATTCATATATATTCATGATATATGAGATAGTGTGTCAACCGTGAGGCAAGACTAGTTGCTTGCTTCACTCCATCTCAAAAACAGACCCTTCGATGGAGCCCCAAGCCATGTCTCGGCACCTCCAATCTAAGTAGGCCGCCCTCCAATGCAGAGAGCTGGGAGGCCTCGCCGTCGGTACTTGCGAAGGTCTTTAATGAAAAATGTAGGATTCTTAGTATGGGGATATGATTGGATAGGATTGGATATGGATCTGGTGTTGTGAAGTGCAGAGCAACAGAGTATATATAAGTAGAGTATTGTGTGTGTTTTTGGCCGAATGAGCACGAAAGGAATGCAATGAGGAAAGCCAATCTGTCACCAGCAACAACGGGTTTCGATCCAACATATTTACAGGACTCAAAACTCTTGCCATCTACCTTGTGCCTCAAAAAAGGGGGTTGGGTATGCCTTACTTAAACGGAGTTTGAAAAAAAAACAGTTGGGAGTGTGAACATGTTTGGTCCCATTGGATCCCATTGGTGCATTCCAGTAAGCTTAGCCTCGGATTACAATGAACCCCTGTTCAGTGGCCGAATGAGTCATCCCCCAATGACCATCCCCCAATTGATGGGATTAATATCAAGCCAGGATTAAATAAACCCTTTACAGTTACAAATTGGGGAGTACCATTCATAAAGGGAAATATCACTATTGTTGGAATTTACCCATATTTTCCATAAACTGGGGGGTCATTAATCCTTCTGCTAGTAAATCATTGGCACCTTGCGAGCAGCAGCGATGAGATGTTCGCCCTGGCTTACCTCAGCGTCCCGAAATTCAGGTACCCCAATAGCTGGATGGTTTACATGGAAAAATCCGATGAAAATGTGGATGAGAACTGGGGGTACCCCCATGACTTAGGAAACACCCACTTCTCTTTAAAACGGGATGGCCATGGATAACCCCACTGGACTTGTAAAGCCCAGGGTTTTTCAGTGCCTGTCAGAGAAGCAAAATGCATAAAATCACGAGGACATTGACAAAATGGACCTACAAACCTGTTGTGGCAAAATGTTGCTTTGCCTCAACACAATTTGGGGAACGAACCAACAAACCAAGCACTTCTTTGTGACTTCACCAGTAATTTGACAGTTTGCGAACTGGTTTGGGATAACCCATTGAGTTCCATGATTTACCTCTTGAACAATGGTGATGTTCCAGTTCGCAAACTGTGAAATTGCCGGCTAGGGACTGAGAGGCTGCAATCTCCTCCAGCAGTACCAAGGCACAGTAAAGAGGTGGATGATAATCCATATCCCATATCGAACATACATCTAGCCATAATAAGTCAGTGGGAATTTCAGGATCCTAAAATGGAGGTACTGTACCATAAAGGCCATATTTTGTGGGGATATTCCCTTACATAGGCCTTACATAGGCCTTATATATGGTAGGTACCTCCAATTTAGGTTCCTAAAATTTAAAATGACCATTTTTCATAAGTATACGTAGCTATTTCATGTTTCCCATATATAACTATCTGTAATTAACTGGGTTATACCCATAACATCCCAAAAAAACACGTCGCCACGTCGCCCGTACGATTCTTGGGATGCACATCCAAGTGTTGTTCTGTCGCAACGTGCCGGTTTAATATGTATGTAGCTATAGATTATCTGATTATCTACCTGTATATACTATATGTTATATATGTTGCATGGTGTATACCTGTATACACATCTACAGTATTTAAACACATGGTTTTGTGTACAGTTTATTTCTGTATTTTTTCTCCAACTGGTTCCCCTTGTTAGATCATGTTGAGAAGCTGCAATGATTCATCACTCTAGGCGTGCGACAGAAAAAGCATCAAATTCCGGTAGGCCACTTGGACCTGGCGCACCAGGCATGGTCAGGTTGTCACCCAGCTCCTTTGGTGCGAGGATCTACCATCAACAAAGGCTGTGTTCAACCCATCTTGAAGATATAGAAGTCACTAATATGGGATAACCCCAGAAGCAATGAGGAATTGTTATAAGGGATTATTAGCCACCATCAACCCTTTAGGACTTACTCATCAAATGCTGGTGCGGGGGTACCTTTATGAGGTATGCCTTTGGAGTACCATTGCATTAACATCCGCTGATCCCACTTGCAGTGGATACCGCTCCACCCAAATTTTGTGTGGTCAAACCTTTCGGTTCATGCTTGGATGTACAGCTCTCGGGTGGCGCCAACTACTTCCCGTTCCTGAGGGATTTAAAATTTTGACACACACCGGCATGCCACACCGGCATGGGGGCCATGTGGGCAATGTGGGATGACCATAGTGCTTCGTGGCTTTGTGGTCGACAGTCAGGCGCTAACCAGAAATCTCTCAAAGCGGGATGGATTCAAATAAAGGAACAAACAAATGGGTCCCTGCCACTAGTCGACTAGATCTCACCAGCTGTTATCATTTTTTTCACAGTTTGACCTAAGAAAAACCAGTCACATCGTCCCTAGGCCTTCCTCCTTTGATTTCCAGATGGATGCTGGAGAATACCAGGCCGCTCCTGGCCCCGGGGCGCACACCGCAACCCTGAGAGGTGACCCTCCGACTTAATACTGATGATTCTCCCATTAAAAAAAGGATAGGATTCCCCATTGCCAATTGCCATGGTTTGAATACCCCAGGTTTACTAGAGTTTTCATGTCGATCTTGTGGCAGGGGCACTGGTGGACATATCGATTCCCAGTTTTGTTGTGGTAAAATCACCAATGCGTTGGTCACATCTGTGAAAAAAAACTTGCCTTGTTGATCAAACCCTTCAATATTCTATAGATAATAAATACCCTCTGGTTATTTAACATAGCTATTGAAAATGGCCCATAGAAATAGTGGATTTACCCATTAAAAATGGGGATTTTCCATAGCTATGTTAGTCATTACCAGAGGGTAAACATAAATAAACCATCAGTATTTGTTGATTCAATATTTGTTGCTTGGCATCTCCATCAGCCACCGCTATCGCCTGACTCCATGGAGCTCAACGTGCCACTCTCCGGACTGACAAAGCCCCGCGTGGAGGGCGGCGACCTCCGAGGGACCGCGGGAGGATCCCAACCCCCTCATTTTGATCTTAAAGAGCCCTCATCAAGTTTACCATCTGGTTATTTAACATAGCCATGGAAAATCCCAACCATAAATGGAGGTTTTAATGGGAAAATCATCTACAAATGGGTCATTTTCCATGGCTATGTTAAATAACCAGAGGGTATAAACCATGGTCTAAGATGGTTTAAGTAGGGGATGAAACTGATGAAACCAACCTTTTTTTTAGGATCCTAAGGAATCTGTTGAATACCGACCATCTCGGGAGGATTGGAATATGGAATCCAAACCAGGGATGACTTGAGAATGGTTTATGAACTTGGTTTTACCATGTTTTACCACATTAATCATCATTAATCCCATCTATAACTGGCGATCCTCCAAACTCTGTGTAAATTACCCTTGGATGGTCAGTAAGTCCCTAATTTGTGGTTTATCCATGGTTATCCCATCGATAACGGAGGAAACAAAACTCATTTACCCTAGTGAGAAACCATTGGTGCGACGGTCAAAACTCAATTCATGTGGTGAGGTCATGGCATCGCTTCATAAGGCCCCCTATCGCTACACACAGTCCCAGCACCCTTTTCACCAACTAGGCAGAATTGCTGCTAGAAGAGGAGGATCCAGATGAGGAATCGGATTCTTATTCCCCTTGCGATGGTATCTCCAGGGAAATTCAAACTTTTACTTGATCACCAAGGCTGACGTCGACAGCTTCAGCTAGACACCAGCCGGACTCACTGCAGGTCATCTGACCTCGGAGGCTGCCCTTGGCTTGTGTTGGCTTGTCTTGGCTTGTCTTGCCTGTGCTGCCTTGTTTCCGGCGCCTTTTTTTCTTCACCCCGCCTCCTTTGCAACCTAATACCACGCCAAAATGAATCGGCAAAACCCTGACCAAATGAACCCTTTAAGAACTAACCCAGTAAGAACTTGAGGGTACCCTTGTTCATACTTCCCATATTTTTCCACCTATAGCACAAGTTGTATAGTTTCAAGTGACCATGTGGGGTACTCCCTAATTTCATGGATTTCAGGTATCGCTCTGGGTATCGAGGGGTATCGCTTCGGGCATCGCTACGGGGACCAGAAAATGTGTGATCTCAGGTGTATGTTTCAAGTGACACGAAATTCTGACAAGCTCCATGTTGCAATTCTACTCCTGGACAGTGGCTTTGGAGAAGCGTCCGTGACCGCACAAGGATGCTTTTTCAACATATCTCAGCACGGTCACTATCTGAATCAACATCATCACCATCACAATCATCATCAGCATCATCACCATCATCAAGCTCATGATGCGTTATGAATTAGTTTCTTGCATACCTTATAGGTCAACATACCCCAATATATCAATATTGTTTAATGTAACTATCTCATATATACTTGACGACAGGCCATCTTGCAACTACCCAGGAAGACCAGCCCACTGCGACTGCTCCAGTGTCGCACTCTGACATCAAAAGATTGGAAAGTCATGCGCCCAACAGGAAGCTTCAATCATAAACAAAGTCTAAAAAGAGGTATCGCTACATAAGGCCCCTATCGCTACACACAGTAAATCACATATTTTGAGTAGTGATGGCGGATCGCAATTGAAGCCTTTCATAGCGTCTTTTGACCCTTGCTCAAATTGGATCGGAAATGTTGGAGGCGTGTCATCAACCGGCGCTTCTTATCACAGCACCTGGTTTTAAGAAAAAAAACGATTGGTGTGAATCCTATTTCTACTCATCAACAATGTGTGGTTCAGCCATCACAACCGCAGGTCTTACATGTTTTGACTACGCGGGTTGGTGGTTGGTTCTTTTACAATTCATTCACCGACAAAAGTGGTTTAAGCCCTACTTTAACAGTTGCTGGTTGTATGTTTTTTGTCATGGATGGTCAGATGGTCATGGACTGTAAGTTGCTGCTGTTCTTACTTTTTCGAAAGCCTATCCCTTAATATCCCTTAATATTAAACAGCCCCCCTACAAACCATGGTTCAATAGGGGATGAAATCATTGGATTTACACATATGGCTAGCTTTCTCACCGTGGTCACCGAAGGAGGGTCTCCGTTTCCGCGGTTGCGCGGCTCGATCGGGGAAAGTGGTCGACAAAAAGCGCACAGGACTGTAGCAAGAGCTCGATTTCATATCAAAATCGTAAAAAACTGTCGGTCCTGGAGCACTTTTGGAAGATGAGGTCGATAAAAGGTGCACGAGATTGTAGCGAGAGCTCGATTGCCACTTGAAAATGTTTAAAAAAACTGAGGGGCTCGGACCACTTTTGGAAGATGAGGTCGGCAAAAGGTGCCGAGCGCACGAGACTGTAGCGAGAGCTCGATTTCACATTAAAAAAATGTAAAAAAAAACTGGGGGTTTCGGACCACGTTTGGCAAGTCATTCAATTCATTTCAATTCATTCACTTCAATTCATTCATTTCAATTCATTCATTTCAATTCGTTCATTTCAATTCATTCGTTTCAATTCATTCATTTCAATCCATTCATTCATTCATTCTTTCTTTCATTCATTCAAACACTCATTCATTCGTTCATGTCATTTCAATTCCTTCATTTCAATTCATTCGTTTCAATTCATTCATTCCAATTCATTCATTTCTTCATTTCATTCATTTTAATTCACTTCTTTCCAACTCACCAAGAATTCCTATAAGCAAACTGGTTCCTATAGCCATGTCCTATTTTCGAAACATCCGCCCCGGTGCGTGCCGGGCACTACCTGGTATTGAGGGAATGATTCATTTTGTCGGCTTTTTTGATCTATGAGTCAAAGACCCTCCTGGGTCTAGCACCATGAAATCGCCCAAGAATCGTCCATTTGAATCATCCCAAATAGCCTGGGAAAAATAAGATCTTGAAATCATCCAGCAATGTTAATCCTCATATCCCTCCCTATCTCCCATGATTTTCCCAAATGTCTTTCCCATTCTCCATTTTAGATGTTGAAAGCCCCCAGCTTTTAGGTCAAAAGATCCATCCCGACTTGTTCAAATGGGGACCAACTCACCTGGAAGACCCTGGCAGCCGCTCGATGATTCCGTTTCCGCGCTCTTGTCCTGCTCGACGCACGACCTGGCCCAAATGTAATTTAGTATGTTTATGTAGAGAATCGGCAAAATCTCTGCATCTGTCTGGATCTTTATATATATATATATTCCCTAGTTATATATATTATATATATATAGAAAAATCGTTTAACATCTCCTGGGGAGAAGACCTTTGGGCCTAAAACTGGCCTAGTCATCTGTCTAACTGGGGCACTTCGTGGAGTTGCATCGATACAGCCAAGCACCGGAGCCAAGGCACCAGTCCATTCTCTTCCAGCGCGGCTCTGGCGCCCACGGCAGTTTCGCCACTGGCCATTTCCGTGTTGCGGACCACCTGAAGGGTGGCCAAGGGGGGACTCCGTGGCACATGATTGTCATTGCACATCTTATAGTCACACCATGGGAGTTTGCCTGGAAAAACATCAGGAATCCACAAAAGATCAAAAGATGAACTTTTCTGACTCCAAAAACTTGGAAGTTTTGTTCGCATAAAAGCATCAATGGTGAGGCCGAGGCCTGGTCCTTCTACGGTGGTGGATTTTGCAAGATGGAGGTCCCCGAAATCACTGGAAGCCCTGGAGAACCCGCCGACCCTGGCCTCAAAAGCAATGGCGGAGATTGTCTCTGAGACCTAGACGGCTTCGACCCTGCAGGATACGAACATATACTAACATGTACTAACATGGATAGAGAAAACACATTGTAGTCCTCGGAAAACACGTTGTAGGTTTTTCCCACAGATCTGTGTGAGTTTTCTTGAGGATTTCGGGAAAACCCTGAAGCAATCCTCAATCCTCAGACTTGGGGACCATCAACAGTTGGGATCGCCGAACGGTGCCAATATTTACCATCATTTACCATCTATCTGGGCAAGTCATTCTAGTGATAAAATTCACAAACCTGGAATAAACCATGTTTGGGATGATTCCCCTAACCAAGCTGAGTAAGCTAACCTGGCGAACTGGCTAACCAACTAATCTTGTTCATTTATAGTGAGGTCTTGGCAAGGTCGCTATAATAATTTACCTAGATCATCCCAGACATATGTCATTACTTGTATGAGTCCTCAGAATCTTGTCAAAACGATGACTTCAAGGGGTGTTTGTCTGGTTACACTTGAAAAAACAAATCGATTCTATTATATCCAAGCATATCTAAACTGAAAATTCCAACCCTCAGGGTACCCTGAAAAGATTTGTGGCAATTTGATCACCCCATGTAACTTTGACCCACGGGTTTGTCACCCCATTTTGGTTGGACACCCCATATGCCATATGCATACTGCTAGCCATAACAAGTAGATAGATTGTATACATACATATATACATATATATATACATATATATATATATACATATATATATATATATACATATATATATATACATATATATATATATATACATATATATACATATATATACATATATATACACATATGCATATATGCATATATACATATATACATATATACATATATACATATATACATATATACATATATATACATATATACATATATACATATATATATATATATACATACATACATTACATTACATTACATTACATTACATTACATACTTACATACATACATACATATATACATATATATATATGTATATCCCATGTTATATCCCCGTCTTATATCACTTTATCCGCTATCACGATGACAATATATCCCAGTGATTCCCTTTTCGAATGTCCCTGGGTTCCCGCCTTCAGAGACTCCAGCTCGGAAGGCTCCGCGCTCCCGGTGTTCTGCTGATGGGGTCTGGCGGCCATCGAGCCAGGTCTTCCAGGTCTTCCAGGTCTGCACTGGATTGATGGGGTGTTCAACTGAAGTCAGATTTGTGAACCAAAAAATACGCTTTTGGGATAGAAATATATTTGTGAGCCATTCTAGCAACTGAAATCTGTTGAAATTTGAAACCATATCTTTTGGTCGGCAATACTGGGGCGTGAATCAGATGGGCTGCCCATCCAATCCTGGGACACTTGGACTTCATCCATTTATGGTAAGTCGGCACCACCGCTTCGAAATGTGATATGATCTTGTATGTTGGGTATAGAATCAAGATCAAGACAAAACAAGAAAATGTGTGTCATGGTCAGTCCTAACCATGCATCAAATCATTGCGTATCCAATGACTTTTTGATCCCAATCCATCCCCCCCGACCCGCAATCCACGCCCAAGTCGCTGGCACCTTCTGGCCTTGACCATGAGCGCTGAGGCTCGACTTAGGGGAACGCTCCCCAACTTGATCTTCGGCGCGGCCTGAAGGTGTGGGGCTCCCGGAAAAACCCAAGTCTGGCCATGTTATGTCCAAAAAACAAAGGAACCGTCAAACCTGTGGTTGCGAAATGCTTCGAAAATCATGGTCTCCATTGTTTAGCTGCCATATAGTGCCATATAGTGCCATATATATATATGAGCAGGGACCCCCACACCCCCCCCCTCCCCAGCCAGATGGTTCCCCCCCCCCTGTGGCCGGGGAGGGGGGTTTTCTCAGCAGCCAAGCCGATTGTTGTACAGAGTGTATGTGTGGTGTATATATATAAAAACATATATATAATATGTAAGATATAAATAGAATATAGGCAATATATATGTATATATTTATAATATATATTTGACATACATATATATATATTTATTTAACATATATATATATATCGTATATGTGGATTTTGATAGAATATAGATAGTATATGCCACATGTACTGTATCCACAGTAGATGTAATATATACAATATAGGTAAATATGTTCGTTGAATAAATTTTACATAGTATATGTGGTATATTGAATATCGACAGCAATACACGTTGTATATCTAGAGTTTATGTATATATATACATATATACGTGTACAGTATGTACAATGTAAACGAAATATGTGATAGATACAAGATCAAGATATCAATATGTAGTATCTAGAATGTGCATATATATATATTTATTGTTTTTCTACTGTACATATGTCTAGGTTTGCATAGGTAAGCTTTGCGTAATCCATAGGTAGCAAATATGTTGTAAACCATGTGCGAGGCACGCTATAGGCGGTTCGAAAAAAGGTTATGATAGAAATATACAGGTAGACAAGGTCCGCTGACGAGGTCGTGGCTCTCAAGTGCTGCAAATAACGTAGAGATGCGAGGTTGGAGGGGTGGAAAGGGGAGTATATATATATATGTGTGTGTGTGTATATGTGTATGTATATAATATGTGCAAATAACATGCAAATACTAGGTTTTGAGGGGGTGGGGGGGGGGTTAGGAGTGGGTGGGGGATACCATTGGGGGGGGGAGGGCGGGGGGTTTGGGGGTCCGGGGACCGGGCTCATATATATATATATATATATATGGGGTGTAAGTGGGGGTGAATACCCATTAGACGTCCCCGGGTTCTCGACACGGCCAGCAATGGGATATGATTCACTTTCTGGGGTTGACCCACTTTGTAGTGATATGTAGTGATAATCCACAATTCACCCAGGGTAAATCAGGTCATTGGGATTTTCTGGGTAGAGTAGTTAAATAAGAATTCCAGGAAAACAAAAAGGACTTGGCAACAATGAGGAAGATCAACAGCGATCAGAAGTTCAGGAAGCAGTTTGTGAATCTCTGGCTGAAACCAACATCTTCCATTTCCGAGTGCGGAAAAATGGTGTGTGGCGGACTCACCATTTGGCACCCGAGAATCTCCTGGTTTTTGGCACTCGTTGTTTTTCCCATTGCGTCATGGCATGTCATGGCCATACGTTGGGGACCATCCCCCTTGTTCAGACAAAACGATATTATCTAATCATCTCGATATACATATACATGTCTTTTCTTGATTATCTTCCATTCATCGATTCTTTGTTCATTGTTCATTTATGCAGTGTTTATTAAATATTTACTAATCTAAGTTATTCATGATGTTGATACGAGTAACATACAGATATCCAATGATAGTTATCATCATAATTAAAGCAATAGCAACAAAAAGTAGAATAAAAACAATAATGACTCCCAAAAAAAGAGAAGAAGGGATGTACTACCCAAAAATAACAATAGTAATAGTAGCAAAACCAATAACTCGTGACTACCAAAATTATTTCTAATAATGAACAGCAAAATATAACCAGTACTAAGGGATACAGAGGATTAACAAGAATAAACATTACCAACCTACAGAAATATAATAATATAATTAATTAATGTGGGTAAAACAATCATAAACCATCCCCCAGATCACCATTTTCATAGGTGATATATTACCATTCCCAGTCATGGGTGGTAAACATGGCATTGATTTACCTCCCTGGGGTGGCCTTCCGCAGGTCTTCTTCTCGAGCACCTGCTAAAAGGCGTTTCAACTCCTCAAAGAGTTGATCCTGCCGTGCCAAGAGGTCCAAGAGGTAAAGAAAGTGTGTGAACCACAAAAATTAAATCAAGAAACTGTGGGTTTTCGCCAAGAAACTGTGGACTTTATTACCAAGAAACTGCGGGTAGTTTTCGCCAAGAAATGTTGGGTGTTAAGCACAAACAATGCTGATGTAACAAACCAAAAAAAGGAAAAGTAGCTCTTCAATCGTTAAACCTTTGAGGAAAACTTGTTTTTTCATTACAAATGAAGTCGTTCTGAACATGTTCCCTTCATCTAATTATATTCTTGGAGGTAAGGAGCGCGGTTGAACCCAGCAAAAACATAATAGATATGAGGATGTTATGAGATATGAATAGCGCTTGCAAACTGGTCGGATATTACAGAGTAGCAGCGTACGGATTGAGATACGACACCACTTCACCAGTAACCATTAATTTTTGGCTCAAATATGCTCAAATAGATCTTGTCCGAAAAATGATAAAATTGAAGGGGTTATTCTGTGGTACCAATATGGTACTACAGAAAAAAAAAACTTTTGGTGGTTCAACGGTCGTGCTCCCAGCCATCGACCAATGCTCCTCCACTAAAGTGGATCTTTCTCTTGTGAGGAGCTCCATTGATGCAGCCTGGCGGGGAGCAAACATTTCGGGTTTGTTTTTTTTTTTTAATGGGAATATCATATTCAAACCAACCATATTGGGGATATCATGGGTATAGTGTATTGGGAAATATTACAGTAAAAAAATTGTAATTCTATGGGCGGTGATGACAACCACAGCTCTCCCAATTTTTGTTGGGAGATACTGTAGGGGATTTCCATTAGGATGTGGCTACTCCAAAATCACCCATTTATAGATGGATTTTCCCTAAGAAAAAACAATCCAGCTATTGGGTGTACCCCCATGACTATGGAAACCTCCATATAACCTCAGTAAAAAAGTGATGGCAGCAACTTGGCAATCTGTCCTGTGTAGGGCACGCCTGTCTGAACATATCTATATATATATATATGGTAGGTCTGCACTGCAAATAATGTGTAATGTGATGTAAATAGTGCAATTGAATGCAATTAATGTAATGTATTCAAATGTAATCTGATTAATGTTCTGCAATGTAATTGAAATGCTGCAACGCAGACATGTAGTATATAAATGTATTGTAATGGAAATGTACTCTAAAGAACATGTGGTATAAATGTAAGCAATGCAATGCAATGAAAATGTACCGTAAAGCAAATTAGAGTAAATGTAATGTAATGTAATGTAACTATATATAATGTGAAGTAAGGCAAATGTAATCTAATGTCAAATCAGCTCATGTCCGGTGAGGGTCGAGTCACGCCATGAATATCAGTGTACAGTGTATATTGGGTGCTTCATCTCTCAGAAATTGTACTGGGAGGAAGCAACCAATGCTAACCATTCACGTTCAGGTTGCTTGAAGTTCCGGAGTAGCGATTTCCGCAATTGTCCAGAAAGATTTGGGTCTGAAAATAGCCAAATATGCCAAATCCATTGGATTCTAATCATGCTCCCTATGAAAAAATAGCCATTGGTATGCCCCATTTTCAGACCCATCAAGTTATCCCAAGTCCCCTGACGCTTCTGACGCTTCTGACGCTTCTGACGCTTCTGACGCTTCTGACGCTTCTGACGCTTCCGGGTGCCGCACTGATTCAAAGATCTCACAGGACCGACACCAGCGTTTCAGTCGCTGCTCCATGTTTTCCTTGCATCCACATGGAGAACATGGAGCAAACTCGTGGTGACTAAGATCCCAGTGGGATAATAAGCCCACTTCCAAGTAGGAGCAGCGCATATCCGTGTACAAATAACCCATTTACAGGTGCGGATTTTCTTGCTAATGACAATTTCCATGAAGGAAATTTCTACTGAAGTTCACCTTCTCTGCACTGTCTTTGCCAGGCTATGCCATAAAGACTCCCTAACGTCGCTAGTACGATCTCCCCATGACACTATGACCCAAAATTTTACGTCACACCAATCTCAAGAATCAAACAGTTTGGTAGCTACACCCCATGAAATCCCATGAAATCTCCATTTCTCCAAAGCTCCCTGGGCACCGCATGGCTGCCACTTCCCGTGGAGGACGGCCGCGACAGCGCCGATAGCGCCGTGGCGCTGGGCGACCTCGGCGGCGTCTCGCGGCGGCCGCCCGAGACCAGAGTGGCCAGCGCCGTGGCAACGGCGCTGCGGCAGGTGTCGCCCGGGACGTAGAGAAGGCCTACGTCGTTTCGAAAAAAGGGCCGGGAAAGGGATATATATACATATACATATACATATACATATACATATACATATACATATACATTTACATATACATATACATATACATATACATATACATATATGTACACACATGCATACACATACATACATGCGTGTGTATATACATCTATATATATATATATATGCCCAGCAAACCCCCCTATCATGGTCCCGTATGTACACTGTATGTTGGAAGTTTTGTGTCGGATATAGTTAACATGTCGCTAGCATATAAATGATCAATGTAGGGTCTACTTTACCCCCGCCCCCCGCTGTGGGGTGGGTGGGGGCTAGGTAGTGTGTCACTGGCACAAATAGTGTGTAAGGCAGTAAGTAGGTCGTGTGGCCAGCATGTAAATTATCCATCTAGTGTCTACTTTACCCCGCCCCCCCCCCGTGGGATGGGTGGGGTGTGATAGAGGTATCATGTAGAAGGTGTATGGGTAGTACGTGGCCAGCACGTATGTAATTATAGCACATGAGATCTTGATAGTAGGTATTCTATCGCTACTATAAAGGTACTTCATGGGCAGTAATACGTTGAAAATACAGTGATGAAGGGTGTAGCTTACCACCCCCGTGTGGAATGGGTGGGGGGGATAGCATTGGGGGGGTTGCCGGCCGCCGGCCGGGACCATATATATATATATATGTGTGTATATATATATGTTTTTAAATAATTGTTGTAAAATGGAATATATAATTAGGATATTTCATGGCTTATGATGGATTCTGTGTGGTTGGTAATGGGATATCGATGTTTTTATTAATGGGATATAGTGGGATATCTGTATGGGTATCGATGATATCAATCATAATAATGGGATATAATTGATATAGTGGGAGTTTATATGTAGTGTATGTAGTGTATGTAGTGTATGTAGTGTATGTAGTGTATGTAATGTATGTAATGTATGTAATGTATGTAATCTGTGTAGTGTATGTAATGCATGTAATGTATGTAATGTATGTAATGTATGTAATGTATGTAATGTATGTAATGTATGTAATGTATGTAATGTATGTGATGTATGTAATGCATGTAATGTATGTAATGCATGTAATGTATGTAATGTATGTAATGTATGTAATGTATGTAATGTATTTAATGTATGTAATGTATGTAATGTATGTAATGTATGTAATGTATGAAATGTATGTAATGTATGTAATGTATGTAATGTATGTAATGTATGTAATGTATGTAATGTATGTAATGTATGTAATGTATGTAATGTATGTAATGTATGTAATGTATGTAAGGTATGTAAGGTATGTAATGTATGTAATGTATGTAATGTATGTAATGTATGTAATGTATGTAATGTATGTAATGTATGTAATGTATGTAATGTATGTAATGTATGTAATGTATGTAATGTATGTTATGTATGTTGTGTATGTTATGTATGTTGTGTATGTAATGTACGTAATGTATGTAATGTATGTCAGGTATGTAATGTATGTAATGTATGTAATTATGTATGTATGTATGTATGTATGTATGCAATGTAATGTAATGTATTGTAATGTAATGTAGTGTAAATGTAATGTAATGTAGTGTAATGTAATGTAATGTTTGTATGTATGTATGTATGTTATGTATGTTACGTATGTTTTGTATGTTATGTATGTTATGTATGTTATGTATGTAATGTATGTAATGTATGTAATGTATGTAATGCATGTAATGTATGTAATGCATGTAATGCATGTAATGCATGTAATGTATGTAATGTATGTAATGTATGTAATGTATGTAATGCATGTAGTGCATGCAATGCATGTAATGCATGTAATGCATGTAATGCATGTAATGCATGTAATGCATGTAATGCATGTAACGCATGTAATGCATGTAATGTATGTAGTGTATGTATGTATGTACTGTATGTACTGTATGTAGTGTATGTAGTGTATGTAGTGTATGTAGTGTATGTAGTGTATGTAATGTATGTAATGTATGTAATGTATGTAATCTGTGTAGTGTATGTAATGCATGTAATGTATGTAATGTATGTAATGTATGTAATGTATGTAATGTATGTAATGTATGTAATGTATGTAGTGTATGTAGTGTATGTAGTGTATGTAATGTATGTAGTGTAGGTAATGTATGTAATGTATGTAATGTATGTAATGTATGTAATGTATGTAATGCATGTAATGCATGTAATGCATGTAATGCATGTAATGTATGTAATGTATGTAATGTATGTAATGTATGTAATGTATGTAATGTATGTAATGTATGTAACGTATGTAATGTATGTAATGTATGTAATGTATGTAATGTATGTAATGTATGTAATGTATGTAATGTATGTAATGTATGTAATGTATGTAATGTATGTTATGTATGTTGTGTATGTTATGTATGTTGTGTATGTTGTGTATGTTGTGTATGTTGTGTATGTTGTGTATGTTATGTATGTATGTATGTATGTATGTATGTATGCATGCATGTATGTATGTATGCATGCATGTATGTATGTATGCATGCATGTATGTATGTATGTACGTATGTAAAAAAAAAAAAAAAAAACATCCGTGTCTAATGAATGATGTTCTCGGTTTTGAATATGATTTAGCTAGTATAATATGTTTTCGTCATCAGGCACTGCCTGCTTGATATATTAGAATGCCCATTCACCGTTCTCAAGAAATACAAAATCCTGGAAATTAAAACAAAATTCGCCATGAAATCCCATGAAATCCCCTAAATTCCTATCAAATCCCATCAAATCCCACTAAGTCGCCATGAAATCATCAAATCATCCCCAAATCCCCCCCAAAAAATAAAACCATGGAAGTCAAGATTTCATCCAGCTGCCGCCTGCTTGCCATAGATCTCCCAGCAACGGTAACGCCTCGGTGGCCTCCTCCATCGACCAACCCTTCCGCAGCATGCTGGTGCAGCGTCCCGAGACGGCCGCCACCAAGGCTGCGAAGGCTAACCTTGTCCGGTGCCATGGCCGGTTTCCCCATGAAAATTTGGATGATTTTTTGGTGACTCATGGAAGATTCAACATGAACAATAGAAAACCCACGAAAATGGAAGATCAATATGCTTTTTCGGGATGTTTCAATGGACGACCAACCAAATTGGGGATATTGATGGGAATTACCCTCCCAGTAGACTAACATAGCTATGGAGAATGGCCGTTTAGTTATATAGAGTTTTTGCCTATAGAAAACGCTGACGTCCATAGCTATGTGAAATTACCAGCGGGTATGTGAGCTATGCTCAAAGATATGGAAAATGGAAACATTTGGCCATGTTTAAGAGGTATTTTTTGATTATCAAACTGACGGGGCCATCTATACCATATCTATGTGTCTATATATACACCAAAACACTTCTTGTGGATTTCTATAATATCTCTGATTTCAGAGAAAATGCTTTCAGAAAATTAAGAACGAAGAAAAGTTGGATGGAGGTTTCTTCTTGAACCACGTGTCCAGAAATATAATTGTATTATGTTTATAGGTATATGATATGATATTATCATGGAATATCATGGCATGATCTAAAACATAACAGTACTAAATGGCCCATCCACGGTTGACCCAGTGATCTAGCTATGGCAAACGGAGGAATTTGAATCCTATTAACTTGAAAGGGGATGTCATAAGCAGGATGCCTTAAAAAAACCCTCCGGGTGCTGGATTACTTGAACATGGTAGGTCAACAGTAATCATGCACACGGAGCAGAGATGTTGTTTTAATTCATCATTTCCATGCATCAGAATTTGGATTTGCACATTTTTTGACCCGGGTCTCCATCAGCATCACCCAAGTTTTGACTCGATTATCATACGTGCCAAGCTGAAGGGGTTAAGCCAACACATAGCTGGTAAACCTCCCAAGAACGCCCAAAAAAGTGGAGAGTTAATAGATTTTATAGCGCCCACTTCTGGCAAAATATGGTAAAACCGGGGATTGTTGGTTTACCAGGTTACCATATGGTTTTCTCGAAAAAACAGGATTTCAATGCAATGGTTTACGCTCGTATTCCGCATCAAAATGTTCATCTTTGAAGTAAAATCAACATCTGAAAACCAGCATCTGTGTTCCATGCCATTTTCGGGGGTAATTGCTAAATCCCCAAATTTACTAAATCCCATTAAATTGACCTCTGGTCAACTAATGGTGATTTGGGGATTTAATGGTGAATTACTAATAGCGTCTCTGGTCAAACCCACTAAATCTCTTCAAAGACACCGATGCGAGGAGAGCCTCCCTGAGATTTGGAGCGCCACCCTATGGAGTTTTTCCTGAAGAAAAATTGGCCACAACTTGTGAATTCAAGATGGAACAAAAAGGTAAGCCTCCAAAGATCAAAGAATTAGCAATTCACTATATTATTTATATATATATATTATACTATATTATATATATATTATATATTATATATAATATATTATATATATATATATATTATATATTATATATATATATATACTAGCAATCCGCCGGCCTGCCGGCGTGTCTCATTGGAAGGTGTTGTTCTTCTTTCTGTTCTTGGCTTGTACTACGGGTAAGACTACTAGTACTACTAGTACTACTAGTACTACTACTACTACTACTACTACTACTACTACTACTACTACTACTACTAGTACTAGTACTGCTACTACTACTACTACTACTACCACCACTACTACCACTACTACCACTACTACCACTACTACCACTACTACCACTACTACCACTACTACCACTACTACCACTACTACCACTACTACCACTACCTCTTCTACAACAACAACTACTACTACTACTACTACTACTCCTGCTGCTACTACTACTACTACTACTACTCCTGCTGCTCCTACTCCTACTCCTACTCCTACTCCTACTCCTACTCCTACTCCTACTCCTACTACTACTACTACTACTACTACTAGTACTACTACTAGTACTACTACTACTACGACTACTACTACGACTACTACGACTACTACGACGACTACTACTACGACTACTACTACGACTACTACTACGACTACTACTACGACTACTACTACGACTACTACTACGACTACTACTACGACTACTACTACGACTACTACTACGACTACTACTACGACTACGACGACGACTACTACTACTACTACTACTACTACTACAACACCGGTAGTGCCGGTGGCTAGTGACACTGCCTACAGCATTACCGTCGTCTCCAGGTACTCGTCACAGGACGCACACGGTACTGATCGACCAGTACTCATTTGGTATGCGTTCCGTTGGCTGTTCAAGCACGCACTTGCTACTCAAGCTGCTTCTGGTCTACGGTTCTGTCTTCGTCTCTTCTTCTCTCAGGCTTCCACCTAGCGTGCAAGTCAACCTCCCTTGGGCAATCTCTCTCCCCTGTCTCCTTCCATGCAGCGGTCTGCTGTCAAGCCAGAGGCTTATACATAGTACCTGGCGCTACTTTGCTGGGGGCGGTACTAATGTGGTATACGGTCAATAGGTTGTTACAGCAAACCTTGCTACACAAGCCGCTTCCGTTTTACGGCTTTGTCTTCGTCGTCCTTTCTTATTCTTCTTATTCTTCTCATTCTTCTTATTCTTCTTCTTCTCCTTCTTTTCTCTTCTGCTCTCTCGCGGGCTTCCACCTAGAGTGCACATCAAACTCCCTTGGGGCCACCTCTCTATGGCCGGCGGGCTTGCCGAAGGCAATTAAATATTCAGCAATACATAATAATCCTTTATATAGATGTAAGCAGAAAAGCAATTCAAATTGCTGTTTTTCTATCTTTTTGGTAGGAACGACTTGGATTAACTTACGGTTTAATTTGTAGGATTTAGCAGCCAAAAAAAGTACGGTTTGGCTCGGCAAGAAAAAAAGCATATCTTCTATACAGGTTTTCTACAGAACTAAGGGTGGTGGGGTGTCCTCGCCTGGGACACAAGCTCAGGGCAGCAACATACAGAGCCTAGTGCTGTACCCCTGATAGGGGCTGGATCATCTGGATCCACATCTTTCCGCTGTCAAATCGTATCCTCGCTTCTTTGCTCAAAACCCACATGTGTACAAGCAATATATAGCAATATCGATTTGAGTTGATTCCCAACTTTAATCAATTCCACTGATTTCGACGTATTTTTTCCGTGTCAATCTACTGTTTGAAGGCTTCTTCAATGGATCATGACCTAAGACATGTCACTTTCTGGGAAGGGATTCACATAGACATGGATAGAATTGGATAGATATAAAATGAACATAAATGAACAACTATGAATGTGATGTAAATGTCATGCAATTTACTTTGATTTCCCATCCCTCTCGTCAAGCATCCAAGGTGAAGCACTCCTCTAGTGGAGCCTTGGTGAGCTGGGAGAATGGGATTGAAAAATGAGGTGAACCTACCAAAATTCAACCATTTTACTAGTTGCTTCCAAGAAAAAGAAGCTAAAGAACGTCTTTCTCATGTTGATATGATCATCAGAATCATTAGATAATAGATGATAATAGCGATCAGCTTCAATTTCGGTGATACAAGCACAACAAAACGGGCGCAGCAACTTCTTTGTGGCGGTAAAAATATGGATTTACTGGAATGGACAGCGGTGGCCAGTCAACCCACATGGAACTCCCTACCGCTGGCCAGTCATAGCGATGTCAATCATCCAAACATCATTTCCGAGTTGCATCCACGTGTTTGCAACTTGGTATCCCGAAATCTCTTGCGTATGCTCGGATTTCGGATTTCAATGTTGATATAAGTGATATTCATCATGATCATCATACCTGGGTTACGTCTCGTTTGGTTCAAACAAAACAGTGATCTATCTCGACATGCCTCGTTTTGAATCTTCTTGAACCGGTTGGTGGTTCACAACCCATGCAAATGATATGATAAATAATCATCCCAATTTCAGGGATCAAGAATCAAGAAATCCCTGGGAAAAAATGCACTGGTAGTTCAGGGGTTTCAACCCTAAATCTTCTCTTCCGCCAGCTCTGAGAACCAAGAATTTCATCGTCTTGTCTAAAAATAGAGAAATGTTATCCTCATTTTCCCTACAAGTATTGAAGCTGCCATAAATTCAGGGTATACAAATCCCTGATTTCGGGAGAACCCCAAGTTGTTCTCTCAGTTCCTCTCTGGCAATTGAAACATAGCTATGGAAAATGGATGAGAATGGCCCATGTATAGATGAATTACCAAAGATGCTGAGGTGTCCCATGGTTTTCCCCACATTTTTAACGCCATCAGGGCACGGCGAAGGTGGAGGAGAGCTGTCCCACGAGCCCGGCGTGCGGCGCACCGCGCCTTGACCAGCGATTTGCACGAGATTGAGGTTTCAGGTTTTAGAGATTAATTAAGCTTAGGTTTTTTGGGATTTATTGTGGTTTATTGTGGTTTATTGTTTCAAGATGTTTCGATGCTTCAGGGTTGATTGTTTTGGAAAGTTCTTAAAAAAAACTAGCCCGACGAGCAGGGATTTGAGCATGTCGGATATGCGGGATCGGTGGTGGGCAAACATAGGGCAGCGAACATGTTTTGAAACCAGCAAGCAGTGCAAAACCAACCATTTTATGCGGATATATGGGGATATAATCGGCTGGTGGGATACTAGTCAGTGTAATATGGGCATTTCTTCAAGCCAAAATTCGTGAAATAGGAACTTCAATGGGTTGGTTGGGGAAATATGGGAAAATCCATCCAATCCAAAAACCCTCCAAGTGGGGGACGGTTTCAACAACCTTCTGGTAGGACTGAAAACCCAGTGCCCTTCTGTTCCTTGTCTTGGATGATAACTATTTATAAGATGTTATAATATGTTATGAATATTTAGTGTCCCCGTACTTCATCACCCCCCATTGTTTTTGACATTTGACATCATTTGACAAAAAAAATCTGGATTCGACATGCATGTTACTAAATTACAAAATTATTGCATTCTGAATTTATTGGTAAATCAAGTCCACCACTAGTTAGGTGTGTTTCCCTAAAATCCCCATGTTGTGGACATTTACCAAACCCTGGTTTCCCTAAATAAACTTGATATAATATGCCATATTAAATCATATTTTTAAACATATGATCTAATATTAGGTGATCTATTATATTAGATAATATGTATTGGTGTTATAATTATTCAATGGATTGGTTTAAGGGAAATTTACGGGAAAGCCCCATATTTAATGGGAAAATCTATGGTTTCCTGTAGATTTTCCCTTAAACCAATCCATTGAATTATCTAATAAGGAAACCATCCAAACATCTCATCATTTTCCCGCAAGAACTGGCGGGCTTATCGAGACGCCACCTCTTGGCTTTGGCGGGCGTGGAAGATCGGCTCGAGCCACCCACCTGAAAGATGGGCATGGGATTTTTCACCAAGGGAGATGTTTGGTGAAACAGGATCAGAAACCCCCGTTTTTATGTCTATAATATATATATATATCATAATATATATATATATATCATAACATATATATATTGTGAAATTGCCATGAGCATGCACATGAGCCTTGCTTTGACCTCTTTCATGCTTGACCGCCTTAAGTGGTCGCTCAAAGAACCAGCGTGGTGGGTGGGACGCGGTACTTTCGTTTGCTGGTGACAAAAGCCATTTAGCGGCTGATTTGGCGGGGCCATTTCATCATTCAGATCAGGGATCTGTATTCTTTGGATTGATCAGTGACAGGGTTCACTATTCATTTGATATCATCACTGGTTGGATCCAGTTTACTTCTATCTTTGACTGAACAGGGTTCAGGGCCAGCTACCAGTGGGTTTGGACTCCGGTCCATTCACAATATATATATATATATACATAATATTATATATATATAATATAATATAATATAATATAATATAATATAATATAATATAATATAATATAATATATATATACACATAATATAATATATATACCTTATATATATAATGTAATTATATATATATATAATATGTATAACATTATGTAACCAAGACTTGGAAATCTATTGGAACATCCCCAACATCAGTAGCTTTCAGTAGCGGATTCCCAGAGAATCGCATGATGTTTTTCGGTTGTTCTGCGCTATCCCCGTAGCGCTGTTCATGGTGGAAACTACTGGTGGTATAACACCATTCTTCTCGATTCTAATGAAGACTTCTGTATAACCATTAGTGGTGGTATTACACCATATTACTGGTGGTATTACACCATTCATTATCCTGTATAGTTATATTAATTACAAATTATTGTGTGTGAGAATACTGCGTTTTGCCGATTAGATCCAGTGCCCTTGAAGAATGATTCCACAATTAACCAGCCTCAAGACTTCCCATGTATGGGACTTTGTCGAAATGCCAACCTTGATCTGATAACATCAAAGTGATGCTTTCCACTATGCCGATCATCATTTAGGCCATGGATCAGACTCATTTTTCAGTATCCTGACTCATTCATAGTCTCTTTTATCTTCAAATAAAAATCATCAACAAAAGATCATCAAGAGTCATTTTTGAATTCTCTTTTTGTTGCGTTTTTTGGCCCAGCCCGGCGGCCCTTGACGTGGCCTGCAACGCAGGAGCTGAACCACTGATGCACAGCTGCCTGGCACGAATCTTAGCTCAGAAGGCTTCGTGGGATACCATGCGATCTCGTAGGATATAATATGTGTGTATATATTATAGTTCATGGGGATATAGACAATAATACCAATGATGATAATATTGGGTAATAATTGGGATGATACAGCAATGGTTAATGTGATGATTTATGGTTAATAATGGTTAATTAATCATGGTGATTAATTTGGGGGTTCCTAAGTTATGGTGGTACCCAAGTCACCACGCTGGTTTCAATACTAAGTCACTAAGTCATGGATGACGACTGGATGTGATGAGAACTGGGGATACCCCCATGACTTCGGAAACCCCCCTAGGGGATAGATCGATCCATTTGTGTATTCTGGGGTAGTTACCTGGTAGGTGTTGAATAGGGGTTCCAGGAAGGTTTGGCGCCACTGGGAGATGTCAAAGATGGGACGGCAGGATTGGTGGCTCCAAAACACCTTCAAATCTGATTCTACTGCAAACATCTGCAAACCCCAAACAAGCAAATCTGGTGATTTCCCCCATTTCCAACCAGTTTGGATGTAGAGAATCTGAGTACCACGATGAAACAATCGTTTTTCGGTAATAGGGTCGAAGAACTCACAGAATAACCCGGCCAAAGCCTGCGTTTCCCAGGGCTCAAAATTCATCGTTGCCGCTGAACAATCTTACAATCTTTAGATATATGATATACAGTACGTCGTACGTTGAAGACCCTGTGGAAATTTCTTACATAGCTATTGAACATGGCCACTTTTTTGGTTGATTTACCTAAATTTACCTATGAGAAATGGTGATTTTCCATGGTTACTTTACCAAAGGGTACCGTTGAATTTCCAATTTCGCTCAGCTAGACCCCAAGATCGCCCAGGGCTTGGCGTCATTCACTGGGATTCCTCCCAAAAAAACTGACCTTTCTTGAAATTTAAAATATATCGAATTCAGTCTAATTCTACACTTATAACATCATAATCATCATATTGTGGCTGAAACATATTGATTCACTAACCTGGTGATGGGTGTAATAGTGAGTGAAAAAAAAGGTCATTTGGGGATGCTTCACCCAAAAAAAAAACATCATTCCAGTGCCTCTCGTGACCTATGTCATGGTGAGGTCATTATAATTCATCCAAACCATATACGTATATATATATATATACGTATATATATATATATGTATATATATATATATATTTATGTACAGAATTCAATGTCTCCACAAATGGCTGCTGCTAAACAAACGAACCCAGTCCCCAGAACCCCACAGCCCCTCCCCCCCGCAATGGTATGGTGACCCCCCAAAACCTCACACTTAAAAGTTATTTGCAATCTCATATAATATTATTGATATGTGTATATATATACATATGTATTCTTATATTATATTATATCATATTTGTATTGTATTGTATTATATCATATATTATAGTTTATATTAAATTATATTACATCATATTATATTATATCATATATCATATTATATTATATTAGATTAGATTATATTATATTATTATAGTTATAACTATAATTATATCATATATATAATATTATATATATAATGTTATATTATGTTATATATAAATATAATGTATACGTATATATATATGTCCATATATTCCACATTCTATCCCCATGATCTCCGACTCTCCGCCTGCAATTCAGCCCGAGATCATCGCCGCGCCGTGCTCGACGGTGCATCCAAGGAAAAAACGGCACGGAGAAAACGCCTCGAACCTGGGAAATCTGTGGAAATCTGTGGAAATCTATGGAAATCCCATGGGAAATCTGTGAAATATGGGAAAATCACCAGAGATTCCCTGGTTTTTGCAGTTTTACCAAGGTTTTACATGATTTTAGCCACCAAAATATGGGGCGGGTCCTGCAATTCTTACAACCAAGAAGCTGATTCTTGTTTGGGCTTGTGGATTGGTTCTGAATGAGTTGATTCAGTCAGGACATTCCCAAGATTAGGTATGATCCAAATGACAGGTGTTCAAGTAGCTCTATTCATTTTGGTCGACCGGTGCGAGCTGGTTTTTAGGGTGACATTAAGAGACTAGGGGCCTTTAGGGCCTTTAGCACCAAAATATATGGAGGTTCATCATGGTTCACCGTTCCAGTCTTCGTCCCAATGGTTGAGACTCTGATAAACCCCTTTTTGAAAAGTATGCATCATTTTATGCTGCTGAAACACAGCCAGCCTTTGTGCCGCCCTGGAAAAATTGGACCCAGATTTTTTTTGCTGGTCATCGTTGGATCGGTCATCGTATGCTTAAATCCCCATCAGTCTTGAAGCCTTCAGTCTTCAATGCAAACCATAATGATTTACCAGGTCACTATCCCCCAAACTACCAATATCTACCAATTTTAATTGTTGGGCGTTGTCTTCTATTGGCGGGTCTATTGCAAACTTGGAGAGATGGCAATCAATGGTAAACCAATGAGTATACCCCATGTTTATCCAATGTTTGACAACCGGCCTGATAAAATTACATGTATTAACATCGGTATGGGTCAAAATCGGGTCCTACAATAGAAATGACTATGACCAAAATGTGTGGTTTCCAGGGTAAAAAGTGTGATCCATATCATCATATCCATATTCCGAAAATTTTGATCCATATTTTACTCACCCTCTAGTAACTCTAGTAATCAAACTTGGCAATGGAAAATCCACTATAGATGCTATTTTCATATATTCTAATCATCTATAAATGAGGGATTTTCCAGGGTACACCCCCTAAACGTTGCCCAGGCGCAATGCTCTTCCTCGGAACTTCTTTGGGCCTCGCCACTTTGCGGCGGCCACAGCTACAGAGCCTCAGGGCTCGAGCTACGAAAAAATTGGGTATAGCCTTCTCGACAGGTGAACTTTGTAGTGAGGAAAATGATAAACAACAACAAAACCAACCAACCAACCAACCAACCAACAAACAAACAAACAAACAAACAAGAAGAAGAAGAATAAGAAGAAGAAGAAGAACAAGGACAGCAGCAGCAGCAACAACAACCACAACCACAACTGACAATGACACTGACAATGACAATGACTTTACAACGACTCGACAATGACAACGGATGTATTGATGGTGTCCATAGACCTCCCTTCGAACAGTTCACCTCCAGTAGGACATGATATTCCCATGTCTGAAAGTGGCAATTCAACAACCAAGTTTTCGATGTCATACGTTCCAATTGTCCAACTTGGGTATAGACGTGTATAGTGTATGGTCATGTATGATCCATCAACATACAGAGGGGGATCTGTCCAAACAACGGTAGTACCGATTAACCAGCAACAAGATAGACAGGTAACCCACATACGTAGCGGTGTGAATTTTGCAAGAACAACGGAAATACCAACTACAAGTGTGGATGTGACAAGAGTGGAAACAGAATCAACTAAATCTGAATGTTGCAAAACATTGTTATTATATAACATTGATAATGTGGGATATCGTATCTGCATCAACAATGGCGGCGATGTTGCCCATTAGAATGGGGATATCAACAACGAAAAGCTAGGGGGTATGATACATCAATTGGTTTCTCCCGAACAAAAATAATTACCCTCTGGTAATTTAACATAGCTATTGAAAATGGCTATTAATAGTGGATTTTCCCATTAAAAATGGTGATTTTCAATAGCTATGTTAGTCATAACCAGAGGGTACACGTAGTCTCTTTCCCAATTACACGTGGTTTTTGACATCTTCCAGTTACTTGGACGGTCCCATTTCTGGCTGCAAGAACTTTCGCCAAGTCCCCACAGCTTCATATTCGAAACCCGCTGTCTGTGGCTTGGTCAGTTGAACGGGATTCCGAGTTCAATGATCATCATCCCTAATATTTTGGGCAGTATAATATAGTATAATATATAGTATAACATAGTATGAGATATTATAACATGGTGTAACATGGTGTAACAATGGTGTAACATAGTATCACCCACTACTATACAGCAACCAATCAACAAGGGTTTGGAACCCTCAACGCTTCCTGAGGGCCGGGCGTGAACCAAAACCATGTCCTTTGAATCTTCAGAGCCAGGAGGAGGCAGCGCAGGCGAAGGCGACAGCCCAGATTAAATGGATTGGTTTATAGCCAAAAAGATCCAAAAAAGATCTACCCTCTGGTTAAGACTAACATAGCTATTGAAAATGGCCATTTATAGTGGATTTACCCATTAAAAATGGTGATTTTCCATAGTTATGTTAGTTTACCAGAGGGTATAGGGAAAAAAAGTTGAAACAATTGATAGACAAGTTGGAAACCTGGAAAATATACGAAAAAATTTGAAGGAAATTTATCATCACCGAAACAAACAAAAACTCGTGGCAAACATTTACCGTATCTATGAGGGGTTGAAGCAAACCTTTTTTGGCGCACAATCTTCATACATATCATGACAAAACTTAACATTGCTTGTTTGATTTTTTTCAGGTGCCAATTTTTCGAATCTATGGCTCTTTAGATGTATTTCTAAAAGCATCTCTATGTTCAATGTTCAATGAGCATCTTCAGATGAGCTATATAACTATTTATCTATAATATATACAACATATAATAATATATGTGTATGTGACTGTGTATATATATATATGTGTGTGTGTGCGCGTAGATTCTGATTATTTGGGATGGTGATCTTCATAACTTCAACAATCAGCCCATAAATCTTTCCTGGTGACCATCTTCCCGATCCTTTTCAGACGGCGTCGGCGTCGGCGTGCTGTTCCTTCAGACAGATGTTCCAGGCCATCAATCAGTGCATGGTCTTGGACTTGATCAATGGGAATTTCAGGATCCTAAAATGGAGGTACTGTACCATGTAAGGCCATATTTTGTGGGGATATTCTCTGAGGTTCCTGAAATTCCCATTGACTTGACTAGTCTAGAGGTACCCACGCTATCGAAGTATTTTGTGGACGTCCCCAACTTTAACTTGGCTTGCCACTCAAGGATACCCAAGGGACGTGAACCAATCAGAAACTACATGATCATACTTCTAGATGGGTGAGCCACCCATCCTACAAATACCGGCAGTACCCAAACATTTCAAACAGGCAGTAGTCCACTCACCTGTTGTTCTCTTGGCGTTTGACACCGACAATCGTCGGATCGTATACAGCTTTTGGTCTCCATTTGAGGACTGCAAGAAACTCTCTGTCATTCATTGTCGTTCCGTTGCACTGGTTGGTTAAGAACGGTATTTCCAAATAATGGAGTATGATAATCCTATATATATATATTGGATTATATTGGATAGTACAACCCAATACTATTAACTAATTATTCAACCAGCAGGGGTTTTGCACACTGCTCAGGCAAGTGGCTGAACTGAATTTGGAACAGATTAGACTGGCTCACTTCTGTCCATTCGCTGCTGAACCGCCCCCGAAAAGTCCGCAATGCATGCTCTGCCACTGTGAAGGTCCAAACAAGCGCCACAGCTGGCATGTGCTGTTTTTACTCTATGGATGTGTGATGTGTGTATATTATATATATATCTACATACGCAAAACACATTACAAATATGTATATATATATATGTAAATTTAAACAACACATGTAATACATAATATGTATGTAATACGCAACAGGCATCTTTTAGAGTAATATACCACGTGACATATACATATTATTACATTGTATATACAATAACATAATGCATTGTATATAATAGGAAATGTGTGTATATATATGTAATATGTATATATATATACAAGTAATATGTATTAATATATCTATATACATTATATATACAGTATCAAACATAATCATAGCCATCTACTTATAATATGTAATATGTATATCTAGGATATAACATAGATACACTACATAGAATCTAATGAATCGTATAGATATCCGTCGTATCCGTACCCAGATTCCATCAGGTCGTATGATTCCTGGGATTGTAATGTTTTTGTCACATGAAGCACTTTGACAAGTTTTAGGCAGGAGCCGTGCTTTGCCCATTCTCTGGAAGCCCAAAATGCATCCAGATGTGAACCCTATATTAAACACCCCGAGAAACCATGCTTTGGTAGGGAATTTGCACGTATTTGTGACCGTTTAGGGGGCTACTAGGATGGGAGTAATGATATGTAATGATTAACAGAAGAATGGTCTTCCAAAGTTCCAGTTTCCCAGCTTTTGGCTAGCCAATTGTGGATCTATCATGATATATCTGTGAACATCTGTGAACTTGACTGTGTATTCAATGGATTTCTGATGATCGATGGATTGGATACGTACATTCTCCAGCTCTTAGAATGGACTTCGAACTTCTGTGAACCTCATCAGATGTCCCCACCGAACAATCTCTTCGAGAATGTGTGTTTGAAGCCACAGTATCACAGTGATCCTTGAGGAGACACCACGGAAAACCGTGTCATTAGCTCTGGCATGGGTCAAGTTGTGGCAACCCAAATCATCCCAAATCTGCGATGAAGTTTTGACCCGTTGTCATATTGTCATATATTGTCGTTATAGGGATCCAAATTGGGTAGCCCCAAAAAAAGTTGGAAATGTCATGCTGACATGCTGAAACTCACTCAAATCTGATCAGATTCCTTTTTCTTTTCGCAAGAAACAGATCTTGACCCAGTTTTGGGTGAAACAAACACGGCGAACTCATCCTGCAGGTGCTGCAGAGGCCTGGAAATGCCCAGATTCGCTGCGAATGATTCAGAAACCTCAAAATAGGCTTCATAACTGTCATAACTGGAGGTGATTCCCCTATCATTTCAGAATGCTGAATCAATTTTAGGACATTTTGGGACGCGATTTTGGAGACCAGATTAGAGATGTCGAATGGAAACCCTTCGAAAATCATCCGAATGATTCGGCCATGAATTCGAAAAAAAATTGGAATTCTGACCCATCTCCATTCGGACTTCCCCTTGACATCCCTTGACCATATTTGCTCCAGGCTTGAACAATCTTATCAATGTCCTGGTGTCTGTTGATGTACGGATGTAACTATGGGATTTTACCAACAAGAATGGTGATGTCCTGATGTCATCGGGAATTATCCGCTGGTGAAAATCACCATGCTCAAAAACGGTATGTGGCATACCTTGATTCATTGCAATTTTAACAAAAACAATTGCTGATCGACCATTGGATTTGTTTGGGGGTGCCCAATTTTCGGACTGCTACCCACTTGATGCAAAAATATGTGCAAGAATGGATCCAAAACGATGTTTCTGATCCACAGTCTCCGCCAAATTTATCGGATCTCCCCATATTTGTGCAGAATTTTTACTTCTGTGTCACTCATCCCCAAAGCCATGTGCAATTTTCCAGCCGTAGAAAAGCCATGGCAAACCAGACATTCAGAACTCGTTCCAAACCCAAATAGATCTGATAGTCACCTGGCTTTCAGGCGATCCAAACACGAACTATCCATCCACGAACGATGGTTTCCCGACTCTATTGAAAACCTCAGGCTGGGGCAAAGAAGGGAGCTGCTCTACCCTGAAGTTCCAAGTCGCATTCCTGGCCCAAAAAATGCAAAAACATGCTGGAAGAATCATCTATACCTTCTGATAAATTCACATAGGCCCTGAAAATCAGCCGTGTTGAGTGGAAACTCATCTTCCAAGTCCTATCTGCCAGGATCTATTTTTTCATCTACTGGAGCGTAGTAGCTGTCAGTTGGAGCAATTCTGGTGAATGGGGCGCTTTGAAAAAAATGGTGGCTTTAGTGGAATCAACAACTTTCAGGTCATGGTTTCATTTGTACATAATTATATATAATATATATATATACACACACTATATATAAGTATGCAGATGTATGCACCGAAATTGCCAGTATACCTTTCAACAATGGAAGCACGGCGCATTGGGCGTGAAACCCACCACATTGCGAGCAACGGCAACGTGTCCATCCCTCAGATCTTCCGCTCATTGTGCGTGATTCAGAAGGCTGTTTCCGGACGTCCATCGCGAAGGAGTACCCTCTGGTAATTTAACGTAGCTATGGAAAATCACCATTTTTCATGGGAAAACTCACTATAAATGGCCATTTTCAATAGCTATGTTAGTTTACCAGAGGGTATCCAGAGTCGTTTTGGCAGCGCAGATCCGACTCCTCCAGTCTGGGTGCCGAATCGCGGCCACAGCCGATCCATGAAGCCTGATTGCCCGTCGTTCTGAGCGACGGCTGGTATGCACGAACGCCACGAGCAAGACTCAAAAGGTCGAGAAAAAAAAAATATAGTAGTGATATGTAGTGATATGGTTGTTTTCCAATGTTCCAACCCAGTGATGAAGTGGGTGCTGACTCTTTTTTAATCTAAGCTGGAAAATCCACCACTCCTACCCAGTTGTACTTCTGCGATGCACAATAATTTCTTGTTTAGCTTATGCAAAATCCTTACGTCACCTTACGCCACTACGGGCTCTGCTTACGCCTTACGCCACTTTGGGTCCAAAGTAAAGGATCTCGCTTCCTAGCCATAGGGCGTTTTGAACGTGCTTGTATTGGGTTGCGCCACTCCCGAAATTCTGAGATCAATGGGGAAACCAACATGTTTGCGAGCCAAAACATCCAAGGAGGCTTCAGTCACTTGTAGGAAGCAGACTTGCTGTGGGACCCACCCGTGAAAGTGCCTGGGATCATCGAGCAGCAACAGGAACATTAAGCCGCCACTGGATGAAACTCCATTGGCAAAAAAAGGGACGATCTTTGCCAGGCAACCCATGAGTCATGTCCAAAACCTCAGAGCCTGCTGGGTAAGAATGCTAAGGTCCATTATAATACATAGATAATCATAGCTAATCATAGATAGATGGATAACTGGTTGGTGGTTGACCTACCCCTCTGAAAAATGATGGAGTGAAAATCAATTGGGATCATTATTCCATTCCCAACTGTTTCTGGAAAGTCATAATCCAGCCATGTTCCAGTCACCACCAACCAGATAATCATGATATACGTCATGATATATGTAAATATCTGATTTCACTAACCTGAATTAAGGCCACTATTGGAAGATGATTTCCCTTATAAACCACGATTCCAGGGTTCGGTCGCAGTGAGGTCGTTATAATTTACACAGAAATATAGAATAAAGATAGATAAATACCGTTGAGCCCCTCCGAATGTGTGTTGAGCCCCTCCAACGCCCCGGAATCCATCTCCATTCCTAGATCCCTATTTTTCGGGGCAGAAAATCGACATGTCCACTCCTCACTGACGTGACAACGAAAAGTAGATGTACCATCTGGTTATTTAACATAGCCATGGAAAATCACCATTTTTCATAGGTAAACCATCTATAAATGGGCCATTTTCCATGGCTATGTTAAATAACCAGAGGGTAATGTAGATGTATTTCTGCCACTGCTAGCCTGGCAACCCCTAGCTTTTTTCAGGACTTTTCTATATGTTTTCCAATGTTTTCCCATTCAAAATAACAGCGTCAAATTTACCAATGACAGGGTAGCGGCAGTGGAGGATCATCCCACTTCAAGTAGCAGTAATTCTGTGTGTGAAAGCCCTGCCACAATGGGACCCCGAAAGATCACCAAATATCATGTTTTCTGGTGTTCATCTTACCCTCAATTAACAGGAGATTTAAAATATTTAAATAGATGTCATAAGAAAAAATTGGACAAAAACACTTTTATAGATACTGTTCCTGGGGAAACTACCATGAGTTACCATGTATTTCCACCGATTTCCCATGGTTTTTTAAACGCCAAAGCCGGGGCGCCTCCGCCCGGCGCCGTCGTTCTCGGTCCACCAGCTGCTTTCCGTCTGTCAGCCTTGGGCAAAGCCATGGGCCATGGGTCATCAATGGGGATCATAATCTATTGGAAATTATTGGGGAATATGGCGCCATATAATGTTTTCATATCTATTATAATATGGATATATATGGGATATATAATCTATTGGATATCCATATTATATAATTATCCATATAAAAAATGAATTCCCTAGATATTCTCCATATTCTGGTTACTTTATGTTGCTGGCGTGGGCACAAATCCAATGGTTTGGGCTGATCCCATCAATTCAACGTAACTTTTCCAGCAATCCAACGCGGCTGGAAATCCTACGAACGAGTCATGGAGGTTACGAGCTGGGAAAATCATCAAACTCAATGGTGAATTGGCCCAATTGGATAAATTGGATCCCATTGGATCGGCCATTGCCACCTTTGATTACCTTAGGAATCCCCTTGGGTTCCGAATAGGGTTTTCCAATGTTTTCCCATTTTTCAAGGGCCCAAAAAAAAAAACACAAGGTCCAAACGGATCATCTCCAGCAGAAGCCTCACCCAGCTCGAATCTGGCGCGAGTTGT